AGTATTAATATTTTAGACTGTTTTTATTGATTAATTATATTTAATATAATACATTTAAAGTATATATAGTGTAATTAACAAGAACTCCTTAACTGAAAACTAAGTAATCTAAGTAATATAATATTCTACTCACTAAATGGCGATTTAATCTTAAGTCATTATTTTGCATATTTTATTTAATATACTGTACAGTATTATTTAAACCATATTAACAAATAAATGAATGATAATATGAATAAGATCTTGCAAGATATACAGTACTCTTATACTGTAAATAAAACATAATCTTACGAAAGCGATGTTATAATTTTATAATATGATTATAGCAATACAATACACCAGTTACTGCGCTTCAAGCCCATGTAATAATAATGGAACATGTATAAGTAGTAACAATGGATATAATTGTACGTGTGCGGCGCAATGGACAGGAATTAATTGTTCGCAAGGTAAGTAATACAGTATACTCGTATATATAATACGTAGTGTTCATTTAGAATAAGTTACGTTATAAAATAATAAATGGTACATTTTATTTTACTTGTATATTATAGTTAATATGTATATCATAAATTTTAGAAGCAACAGTCATAAATAGATATTGACAATATATTCCCTGGATATATTGATATTGAGAAAGCGGGATCTTGACAAATTTTATTACAATTAATTTATTCCATATCATCATTAATCAATAATCAATAATTAATAATTAGATATTATCTAACTATTAAATTTAACATTAAAATAATTTGCGTTATTCTTCTATTACAATTGCTATTGTAGAAGTTATAGACTATTGTAATTCTGACCCATGCAATAATGGAACCTGTTTGAATAATGATAGCGGATATACTTGTTCATGTATATCAGGTTGGACTGGTCGTAACTGTACAGAAGGTAATACGTGTAACTTTGTTAATAGTAAATTAAAATAACAGCTACGATACTAATTATTGTACAATGTATATAGATATCATACTATTTGATCTAATATAGTTCTACTATAATTTAATTTAGTTTATTTAAGAGTAGAAGTCTATACTTTTAATAGTTATTATTACATTCGTAATAATAGACATCAATATAACTTATTTATTGTTGTTTACACATAATGAGAAGAATATCTAACCGGGTATATATACGCTACATGTGATGTTAATACGTATTTATACAGTTTACGTATTACTATATGTATGCCGGTAAATGTTCTTATACATGAAATCGAATTAAATTTATGTAGCTGTACCTATATGGGAAGAAGGCGATTTAAGATTAGTTGGCGGTTCTACTAGCAATAAAGGACGATTAGAAATTTATCATAATAATCAATGGGGTACGATATGTCATGATGGTTTCGGTGTAAGCGATGGACGTGTCGCATGCCGTCAACTTGGATATACAGGATTCGTCAAATATCAATGTTGTGGGAATCTCGGAGGTCAAGGGACAGGGCCAATCTGGTTAGAAGGAATATCATGTAGTGGGAACGAATATAATATTCTAGATTGCGGTAATAAGGGTTGGAGTAACACAGATTGTGACCACAAAGAAGACATTGGTGTTGAATGTCAAGGTTAATTTTTAAATCAATACTTAGCTACTTACTTTGCACTTACTGTGTGTAAAACGTACTGGTAAGACACTGTTACGTATTGTGTCTGAGTTTTAATTCAATATATAAATTACAGCATGATGTGTAGCTAAAACTTACCACTATACGTTTAAACTTAATTTATTAGGTAATTTATATGTAGAGCATTAAAAGCGAATTTGGCCATAATGAAAAGAGCATACTATGATCTGTTATAATTCTTAGTATTATCACAGTTCAAGTAAATGTAGTAAAAGAATAGATAAGTTTTAAATATACCACAGTGTTTAAATATCGTTAATATTTATATAAAAATATATATGTTAGCATATGATATAGTATTAAACATATGGATTGGTGATATTAAAGCCTAATTTTCAAACAAAATTTATTTTTAAAAAGGTATATGCGGTATAGATATACTTGTTAAGATTGATAGCTGAATAAGATAATGTTACTATTGTATATGATACATAGATCCAAGCATTTGTATTACTGCCAATCCATGTTCAAATGGAAAATGCCAATTAACAGCAAGTGGTTACGTATGCTCATGCTATTCTGGATATACAGGACAGAAATGTGATCAAGGTATGACTATATAAGGTTAAAGATTAATTAATTAAAATGGCTATACTATATGGTGGTGTATTAATGGAGTAAATTGTATAATTAAAAGTAGGTATGAATATAGTAATATACGATTATTAGTTTAATATCATTTGATATAATAAATACCCTTATTAAGGATAATGATAAGGTTTTAGTAAAGAGGACTTAGTATTAATGATGATATTAATCGTATATTACTAAACTTCGACTCAAAATAGAATAAAATTAAAATTAATATGCAAAATACTAATGCTATACTTTATTGTTCAATAAATTTATTATAGCAATGCAAGATTATTCTCGTATAAATCCATGTAATGATAGCGAAACTTGCATGAATAATAATAATATGGGGTTACATTTGTACATAAGCTAATTGCTCTAATGAAAGTATAACTTGTGGAAGTGTATTGATGTGTTTTTTATATTATGATATCACCCCAATAGTATGTACGAGTATATGTTATGGGACATGCATACTGTAAATATAAGAGAGTTATAATAATTATGCAATGTAGAATACGTGCACAGATGCTAATTGACAATATACTGCAATAAATTAATAATTATTACTTCCATGTATATGTATATGTAGCAATTATAGATTATTGCCACCCTAACCCATGTAGCAACGGAACATGTATGAGCAGTAACGACGGATATAATTGTGCTTGCGCTACCGGATGGACTGGTAACAATTGTACAGAAGGTAGCGTATACGTATAGTTAGAGCATCGTACTTTCAGTCTACGGTATCGTACATAAACGAATGTAAAAATAGACACAGGTATTGCGCGATATAGTTCTCTAGTTTTCTTAGATAGTATTTAATAATGAACGCCTTTAATTATACTTTATGATGACATAATTACTATTTATCTTTAATTTAAGGCTATCTTTAGAATGTGCATAGCTTACTTGACTTAACTACAAAATATTTATAGGATACAATATACCGGTATAAGAACTAGTTACATCAAATAGTTTATTGTGCAGAATACATCCGTGATAAGTAGAGGAAATATGTGTTTTTAGTTGTTGTTACATAACAGTAATATTGGGTTTTTATGATCTTGTAACGGCTAGATGTTGCTAATTGTTCTTAAAAGGGCAATATTTCGTAGTGAATATATTCATTTTTAATATAGACATATTAATTCAATAACACAATATTTTATTTTACGATTTCGCACCAAAAAGTATTACGTTTCAAGACTTCTTTATATGATGCAGTTATATGCAATATAATTCTTATATAGTAGATCATATACGTTAATGTGGTAATTTAAAGTTTCCATGATTGTCTCGTTTATTTAAATATATGGTAATCGGTAACACCTACACCATTAGTCAGTAATATGGATAAATTCTATAAATATTAAGTAGTAAGAAAATGGAATTGCTATTATTTTTCGTAATTTTAGCATTACAAAACATCAACTATTGCGATTCAAATCCATGTTACAATAATGGCACCTGCATAACCAGCAATAGCGGATATAATTGCACCTGTACATCGCAATGGACAGGGATTAACTGTTCACAAGGTAATAAACGTTAGAAAGTACGTATTCAGAGTATTTGCGTTTAATATGTGCTACACTAGTGCATAAGGTATTCTAATATGATACGGGTAATCATTTGGAATGAACAAGCGCATTCATTATTATTCGTAAAAATCATCAAGTCAAAATTTATAAAGTACTACATACGGATATATTGTGATACTTAAAGACCAAGTTTTACTAATTATTAAGTATCTAGCTTTTGTCCTTGTCTATTAAGGTGTTTTTGTTTATCTTTTGAACGGTATAGAAATTATCAATTACTGTAGCCCTAACCCGTGCAATAATGGAACCTGTTTGAATGATAACAGTGGATACAGCTGTGCCTGCACGTCAGGCTGGACTGGCCAAAATTGTACAGAGGGTAATAATGACTACAGTATACACTGTAGATACACTTACAGTACTATTAAATAATACATATCGAAGTTATCTGTCATAATTTGAATTCGAATGAATTTTATACACATGCTCTTGTAAAATTTATCTAGTTGTACCTAGATGGGAAGAGGGTGATTTAAGATTAGTCGGTGGTGCTTCAAGCAATGAAGGACGATTAGAAATATATCATAATAATCAGTGGGGTACAATATGTCATGATGGATTCAATACTAATGATGGAAAAGTCGCATGCCGCCAATTAGGTTATACTGGGTTTGTCAAATTTCAGTGTTGCGCGTCGCTCGGACAAGGAACTGGCCCAATTTGGCTAGAAGGAATATCATGTACTGGAAGCGAATACAATATTCTAGATTGTAGCAATAAGGGATGGCAAAATACCGATTGCAATCATAATGAGGATATTGGTTTGGTCTGTAAAGGTGATTCAATACTTTGATTTTCTGTTAGTACATTGCCGATCCATTCGATTGATAATATTAATGTTACATCCGTAGATAGGGTGCTTAATATGAGAATTATTATGAAGGCCCTACTATGCTGATTTAAATATTCACTATGAAATACTTTGAATATACTATTAGGATGTTTAGGCCATTGATACGTATTAATTAATTATTAGTTATTTCTGGAGACTTAATATTGGTCTCTAGTTATACCAAAGTCCATGCTATGGTAATGTACTTAGAAGTGTAAGCAAACTGTAGATTGCTATGGTATTAGTAATATCGTATATACAGGGTAATGAATGAAATCATTTTATTGCTAACGGGAGTATCTTTACGTGTATTGTTTTATATGATAAATGCAGCGATATTGCTTATCACCAAAGCCATAAAAGTTATTTGCAATTTCGTTTTGGAGTGTTCTTACGTATTAGAATACTGATAAATGTACTCACTGATAAAGGTATTTATGGCAAGAATCTAACAGAAGTTTACGATATTAATAATAGATCCTAGCATTTGCATAACTGCAAATCCGTGTACAAACTCTAAATGTCAGCTAACTGCGAACGGATACACCTGTAAATGTTCTGCAGGATTTACCGGACAAAACTGTGAACAAGGTTTTTGTATGATTCTATTAAGTAATATCTTGATTTTATGACAAACTAGATCAAATATTAAAAATATTTTAGCATTTATTAAATAGAGAAAATATACTAATTGAAGTAGACAACGAATTGAACAGTATTGATTTGCTCTTCTGATAGTTTAGCAAATACTTGGTAAATGAAAGAAATTTTAATTTGAGCTAATTATATTAATTTTTAAAATGTTTTGACTGTATTACTATAAAAATATTAATCGTGTTACGAGCTTAACTTTTCTAATGAAATACTGTATATAAAGTTTCAAAATATGAACCAGATTGTATATAACTACTTAATAGTAGCATAGATTTACGTATCGTTCAGTTCTCCAAAGTTGGAAATTAAAGCGGACACCCGTTTATTATTTATGTGCTCTGGTTCGATTAATTTAGAAATTATGAGTTTTTGCGAACATAATCCATGTAAGAATGGAACATGCATCAACAACGATAATGGCTATAGTTGCAATTGTCCATCAGGTTGGACAGGCATTAATTGCTCACAAGGTAAAATTAGTAATTCATTGAAATTCCGGCTATGTAATGTAAACGACTTTAGATGTAAAGAGAAGATATATATTCGTTATTTCAATCAGTATCTATGAAAAATGTGTAATTGTTCACTAGTTAAAGTACTTACAACTTCAAATGGTTTGAAATTACGGAATCACTTTAGGTGATAACAATTTCGTCATTTTTTTACCATCTAGAGATCATAAATTTTTGTACTAATAAGCCCTGTGGTAATGGATTATGCGTTAATAATCCAAATGGATATACTTGCAACTGTGCTGCTGGATGGACCGGCATGAATTGTACAGTTGGTATGACAGCTTATGCAAATTACCTACATATCTATGCTTAGTAAATTTGAATTTGAATGCAATAATATCATGCAAGTACGAGTATCGCATTGTGTACGACTGTAAGTTATACAGTGTATTGTAGATATGATTTCGAGGAGATATTAAAAGGCTCCGGATTACACCAGTTATCATTCATTGTTTAGATGGTTGAAAGATGTAGAGTAAAAAATTATAGTGGCAGCAGCTACGTTTTATATGACGAAAATCGGTTTGTCTGTAAAACAAAGCTAAAAAGCAGTATTTCAACTTAAAATTTATACTTCAATGTTGATGTAAATTAGAAAACTGACTTGAAAACTATTCTCATGAAAATAAAAATCACTTTAGAGCTTCATGATTATTGTAATCCGAATCCTTGTCGAAACGGAGGACAATGTATGGACAAGAAATATGGATATAATTGCAGTTGTTCGTCAGACTGGATGGGCGTCAATTGCACGCAATGTATGTGTTAACTGTAAATATTCCTAGGTGCAAATAGCAAGCATTCATTCTATCGATCACTTAGTAGTGATCAGATGTAATATGAAAATATTGAATAATTGGTAAAGTTTTATTTATATTGTGTAATTAAACGTTAGTACTATTGTTATTTTTTTACTTAAATAGATGTAGGTATTCAGCAAGAAGGTGCTTTAAGATTAGTGAATGGTACAACTGTAAATCAAGGTCGTTTAGAAATTTATCATAACAATGTATGGGGAACAATATGCCATGATGGTTTTAATCCTAATGACGGACGTGTAGCCTGTCGTCAGCTTGGTTACGCAGGATTTGATAAATATGAATGTTGCGGAAAGATTGGAGGACCGGGCACTGGGCCAATTTGGCTAGAAGGTATAAAGTGCAGTGGGAGTGAGAGCAATATTATAGACTGTCTTAATAATGGATGGAATCAAACTGATTGTGGACACCATGAAGATATTGGCATAATTTGTGAAGGTATGTTTTGTGAATATTGCTTCTATCTATCAACATGTGGAACATTTGAAAGGGGTACCGTCATGCAATGGAAGGTTTCGTACGATAATGTAACAAATCATTTTAAGTTCAAAATTAACTACAGATTTTAGTATGAGGTACAAAATGTCTGCTGGCTTTTAATCGTGATTAATCAATAGTTTTTGTATCGTCATATGTTGTTGCAAGTATAGTAATTATATTTATTAGTGATATATGTTTAATGCTGCAATAACTGTAAATAGAGTATAATTTTTTCGTTACTTCCTGCCCGTATACCACATTATCGGTAGCTTTAGAACAGATTACTTTATCAAAGTTTATGTCATGAATACGACCTTTATTGATATGCTATCCTGCATTAGACCCTAGTATATGCATAACGTCAAATCCTTGCGCGAATGGAAGATGTGTACTTACATTAAATGGCTATTCATGTAAGTGCTCACAAGGATACACGGGACGAAATTGCGAAATAGGTTTGATTATACCATCAATCGTTAATTTCATGCATTTATGCGCAAATTTTAGACTTGATATTGTTTATTTTACCATATTTTATGCTGATTATATTTTAGAAATAAGACTATATCCATATGGGCCAACGATTAGTGATCAATCATTCGGACGAGTAGATGATATGTCTTACACAGTCTTTTTAAAGTCACCGATATTCTACCTCAATAAATTTTACCATAAGATTTATGTAAGTTCTATCAGCTAATAGTAATTCTAGTAATTTTAGTAATTTCTTTGAAATTAGTTGAGCAATTAAAATACATCAAAGTTATTTGCTAACGCTAACTTTTATGACAATTTCTTAAATTAGTAAGATCTGTTGATTTTATTTCAAGGTATCAATGAACGGATTTATCTCATTTGATCGAGCATACTTCGGATCACCAACCAGGCCATTATATAACTCGCATAATACTCCTATTATAGCCCCGTTCTTTGCCGATGCAGATAGTCGTGATTCAAAATCATCTCGAGTCTACATTGCCCAATACTCAATATATAATCCCTCAGCATCTGGCATGAAGATTTTAAGACGTGCTACAAACGATATTAATCAATATCAAAGTTACGTTAGCAACAGCGTCGGTTCAATTCAGTATGGACTATTTAAAGAGCGCGTAAATAATTTTAATGCGACACTAGTTACTGTTGTTACATGGCACAAAGTTGTGCCTTTTCCATCGTCACTTACTGCAAAATTCGATATTACCAATACGTTTCAGCTTATCTTAATCTCAAATGGTATCAATTTATTTACAACGTTCCGGTATGAAGATAAGGGTATGAACTGGTGGAAAAAGTATAAGATAATCAAGCCGCAGGCAGGATACACTAATGGATCAATACATTATACTCATGAATTACCAAATTCTTTTACAAAACAACTTTTACGTATCGATAGTATGGTTGGTAATTATGGTAAACTAGGACAGTGGATGTTCAGAATCGATGATCCGTCTGTTAAACATATTAACTATTTTGAGCGTTGTCAAGTATGGTATAGTAATGAACCATCACCATCCATTTATCTCGACGCTCTTAGGAGGAGGCCTTGCCCGTGTTCTGCAATTCAAGCCATTCGTGACAGGCGATATAGGTTTAATTTTTACACATTTTGCGCCCGATCGAGGTTTTCACGTCGAGCCAGTAATGGCGAACGGGTTTATCAACGATGCTGCTACTCTTCATTAAGAAGATCTTTCGGTTCATTGATCACAAACTATCCGTCAGGTAGTTCTTTCATTTTCAAAAATAACGATTTACAAGCTAAGAGCAAGACAGCATTCACAGCTTGTTGTGAAAAATCTAGTCTATGCACGTTATATTCAAGAAAAAGGCCTATTAATAGATGTTCTGGTTATAGACCACCAGGAAGAGGTTGGTTTTGGGGTGATCCACATATTAGGACACTAGATGGCAAACAATATACATTTAACGGTCTAGGAGAATATGTTTTATTGCAATCTACGAATAGCTTCATTTTGCAAGGGCGTACAATGAAAGCTGTAAGGAATGGCTCGTTATCTGCAGCAGCGACGGTATTCTCTGCATTCGCATCAACTGAAAATGATGCCGATACTGTACAATTTATGCTGAATAAGACATTGAATGGAATTGATATCTCAATAAATGGAACTATAGCACTCTCGATGAATAGCCTTAGTGAAAATGAAACTCATGAATATACCAACGTTGATATTATTCGGATGTCAAATAAAACTGTTTCCGCTATTTTTTCATCTGGAGTATCAATTGAAGTAACACTGCTGACACAAATGCTAACTGTAGCTTTTAATGGACCTGACGAAATTAAAGGTACCACTGTTGGTTTATTGGGGATGTGGAATGATAACGTCAATGATGATTTCAGGCGACCTGATGGAACTTCACTAAATATTAACTCTTCAGAGTCGCAAATTTATTATAATTTTGGCCAATTGTGGCAAGTTACACAGAGCAACACCATCTTTACCTATCTAAGTGGTCTAAGCTATAATAATTACACCGATCCAAGTTTTACACCTATCTTTGGTGACAACATCCAAAATTTATTCGGTAATAATACAGAATTTTACAATCAGGCTGTAGCACAATGTAACAATAACAATGAATGTCTTTACGATGCTGCCTTAACTTTAAATCTGGAAGCTGCCGTTAACAGTAAAGATACCTCCATAGGTTACCAAGAAACAACTAATGAGTTGGAAAATTTTCCACCTCAAATAACTGGTCAAACAACATATAATGTCAGTTATGGAGAAATATTTTCAACAGAATTGAATATAACCGATCCTAATTGGGGAGATAATATCACTGTTGAACTTATTAATGCTCCTGAAAACGCTCAATTCAATCCACATAATTATACATTTACCTGGATGGTGTCTGAATATCAAAATATTTCTTTTAAATTTGTTGCTACTGATTCTAAAGGGGCTTCAAGTGAGTTGATACCCCAGATCATTATGTGCTATTGTGCAAATAACGGAAGTTGTGATTACACAGCAGAAATGGTTAATGCTGGTAATATTGATCAAGTTGAATGTATTTGTAAAGCTGCATGGTCCGGTGATCATTGTGTACAAGATGTTGATGCATGTGCTGATGAGCCTTGTTTCGGCAATACAACTTGTGTAGACAATCCTGCGCCTGAATCTGGCTATACGTGCAGTGGCTGTCCTTTGGGTTATTACGCAGATGGTGCTAAATGCAGTGATATCAATGAATGCGATAGTGGTGATCATCAATGCGAACAAATGTGTATCAATGAGGACGGAAGCTATTCATGTCAGTGTTTACCTGGATATGTTTTAAGTGATGATAATCATAACTGCCTTGATATCAATGAATGTAAATCAGAATCTGCAAATTGCAGTTCCTTCGCGACTTGTACTAATCAACCTGGCTCTTATGAATGTACTTGTTTTACTGGTTACGAAGGAGATGGTTATATATGTACTGAAATCGATTTATGTAGTCCCTTTAATTGTAGTCAAACGTGTAATAATGGTACATGCTCTTGCTATTCAGGTTATCAATTAAATAGTGACGGCCAGACTTGCCAAGATATAGATGAATGCGTTCGTTTTAGACCTTGCGATCAATTATGCTTTAATTCGATTGGCTCTTATTATTGCAGTTGCAAGACAGGATTTACCGGAGATGGCTCCACATGTACGGATATTAATGAATGTACATTAGCTGTTGATAACTGCTCATTGAATGGTACATGTATTAATAATATCGGATCATATACCTGCACATGCAAGACTGGATTTGCAGGCAATGGCACAACATGCTCCGATATAGATGAATGTTCTTTGGGCACTGCTAACTGTGCTAGTAATGCTATATGTAGAAATAATCTTGGATCATACACTTGCACCTGCTTATCGGGGTACTCCGGAAATGGAGTTGTATGCCAAGATATTAACGAATGTTTAACGAATCCATGCAACAATAATGCTATTTGTACTAATTCCGATGGATCTTATGGGTGCCAATGCAAGAAAGGCTATACAGGGAATGGATTGACTTGTGACGATATTAACGAATGTTCAACGAATCCATGCAATAATAATGCTATTTGTACTAATTCCGATGGATCTTATGTGTGCCAATGCAAGAAAGGCTATACAGGGAATGGATTGACTTGTGACGATATTAACGAATGCTCAACAAATGATGCTTGCAATATTAATGCTAACTGCACTAATTCGATTGGATCTTATTCATGTCAATGTAAGCAAGGTTTTACTGGTAATGGATTAACATGCACTGATATAGATGAATGTCTAACAGAAACAAAAATATGTTCAGATTGGGCAACTTGTTCCAATGCTATCGGTTCATACAGATGTTTTTGTAATTCTGGATATACTGGCAATGGTACCTATTGTCAAGATATTAACGAATGTAGCTCATCTAATTTAAATGCTTGCGTCACTAATGCCCTTTGTGAAAATACTAACGGTTCTTATAAATGCAATTGCAAAAATGGATTCTCTGGTGACGGTGCTACTTCATGTACTGACATCAATGAGTGCCTAACTAATCAAAATAACTGCGACGGAAATGCTTTGTGCACTAATACTATAGGATCTTATGCTTGTAGATGTCGATTCAATTATTACGGCAACGGTTCCTATTGTGTCCCAGTTGTGGCATGTGCTGGTAATAATAATTGTGGCGTGAAAGCGAATTGTATGATTTTTGAAAACAAATACTATTGCAGTTGTAAGACTGGCTACTATTCAAATAGTCCGTTACCGCAAACGCAACTTACAACAGATACCCATTGTCAACGCGGTAAAATTTTCTCTGGAAGTATTCAATTTGTTGGCACATTCAATTCATCCTTGAATAATCCAAGCAGCTTTGTTTATCGTTCACTTGCAATGCAAGTGAAGACTGCTCTAACTGTTGCATTTAACTCATCTTCCGTAACAAAAGGCATATTTGAACAAGTTGTAATAACAGGATTTAAATCTGGTAGTATTGTTGCTAATTACGAGGTACTTTTCAAGTTGGATGCCAACATTACTCAAGATCAATTAACGAATGTACTGACCAGCCATCAAATTACAATTAATGGGGTGAACGTGCAAAATGTTGCAGTTCAAGATTTCAATGAATGTGCTAATATATCCGACAATTCATGTTCTAATGAACAAATTTGCGTTAATTTGCCTGGTACATATGCTTGTAAATGCAACTCAGGCTATACTGGACCAAGTTGTAACGATATAAATGAGTGTACGACGGGAACACCTTGTGGAAGTAACGCAACATGTATAAATACTGATGGATCTTATAATTGCACGTGTCGACTGGGCTATCAAGGCAATCCGTATTCCGTTAGCGGTTGTAGTCCAATTTGTTCTAGTAATTATTGCTCTAACGATGGAACGTGCTATTATGAAAATAATCAACTTAAATGTCGTTGTACGGGTGGATATAGTGGTGACAGATGTACTAATGCCTATGGATTAATTATTGGAATTTCAGTTGGATCTGTCGCAGGGGTAGTTTTAATCATTGTTCTAGTCTATGTTTTCTTTTTACGGAAGCGGTCAACGAATAGAAAATTAACATTCAGAACTAGTAATCCAGGTTATAGTACTTCTATCAATTCAGTCTCTGGTGGCGATAACGTTGAATTGAATCTAATATCGTCTAGTAAATCGAACGAAACTAATGTGTATGAAAACCTTAATCTTTCTGACGAATTTGGTATATCTAGAAATCTGGATACATCTGACTCTAATCTGTAAACGATAGCTAACGAGGCGTGCTGGTGTAGAATTATTTCCGATAATTTATAGCAACGAAGAATTCGTTTCGTTTTTTGTCCAGGCTAAAGTTATTACAACTATAGGTATTTTTTGTTCTTGAAAATTGATACCGTACTAGTGTGCTTTTAAAATCACTAAACCGTAGGTATATGGACGCACGCAATAGTTGCCCTTGTATCATTACTAGCAGCCTTGATATACTCGTATCACAACTATCAGTTATAAGGACATCAGGGATTGCTCAACGTATTTTATCGAGTGTTAAAGTATTAGCATTAGACATTGCTTAACTAACGATAATTATTAAAATTTTAATCTCACCCTTTCTAATGTACTATGCTGATGTAAGATTTTTACGTAGAATTATAGACCGATTCAATTGTTTCCCAAGTGCTTAGTATGTAGCCGTTATGACTACAAGAAATAAATAGCGTGATTCCATACTATATGTGTAGAGTTGTAACGAAATGGCATTTAACTACTTGTATATGAATATACACCGTTAAATCTGTTGAATGATATCGCATTAATATCAATCTGCTGCAATGGTCTTAAACTACGGTACTGTAGGTACTTTCTGCTCATCAGTACACGGTATAAAGTTATTGAACCTCTGACAGGTCTGTCAAATGGTAATGCTATCTGTTAAATGAGCACATTATCGTAAACCGTCAGCAAAGCGACGGGAGTTTGCACTAGTACTTATTGTAAAACGGACGGTTAGCAATTACTGTTTCTACGAGACTACGACTACACACTGGGTACGTAAAAATGGACGGATAATTATTTATATATATAGTCAACATCCTGATAGTTATGATGTACGGTAGTATTGCTTGAGCATGATTTCGTTCAGGAGTAGCAACTTGATACTTTACACTATTTTATTGTTTTTATATTTATTAAAATCATTTATATCATACTCGTATATAGCACATTGGCATCGTCTTTAAATACTCTCTTACGTATTATCTTATTGTATGATTCTTTCAGCAGTATTTTACACTAATGTTCTTGAGCTCCTTAGTCACTGCCTAGCTTGATTTGTCGAATCTAGTCGTATCGTCTTAGGACACGTAAGCGTTCTTGAGTGACGTTCTCGAAAAGCGTCATTGCATCATATCAGATACTGTACTGTACACTGAGTGTACAGTACAGTACAGTATGAATACTGTATACTGTACTGTACAGTACTGTTCTGTACAGTCTGATAGTATTCTACAGTACTGCACTGTGCTATTCTGTACTGTATACTGTAAACAGTCACAGTACAGTATTGTAGGTAAGTTGGATAAAATGACGTCATAAGGCCCTTTAGTGTACAGTACCTTAAAAGACTTAATAGTTCAGTACAGTCATACAGTACTGGGTTTCACAGTACTGTAACAGTGACACTGTACCCTACATACTGTACTGTACAGTACAGTACAGTATAAATACCATATCATTCAATAACGTCAAAACCATTTCAACCCTCTCAATCTAAGAAACACATTTGAAAATTGAATGTAGACAAATAGAATCAAATTTTTCCTAGATTCAAGTATTTCCTTGATTAGTAGTTCCTTGTAGAATACAAGAAGAGAAGAAATAGTGAAAGGGAAACCCTCTTTTGACGGCAATAGAAGAGATTCCAAGCCACCGTACTGTATTCATACTATACATTTTACACTACTGATTTCTACGTCAAGATCTGTCAAACTTGATTTTTACTGCACGGTAGATACCGACGTACATTCACTCAAATCACAGCTAGGCGACGTAAGTTATGCTCAATCGTAAAGCTTATAATAATGACTACTCATTTCTTTTTTATTCATAACCTTAGTCTACGATTTCCTACCACTTATCAATGTAGGAAGAATGATGTTGTGCAACCATGACTAACTTTGCTGTACGGATTGATCGCAAGGATTGATCTAATTAATTGGTGAAATTTTGTTGAATTATGATCGTCTTGTAGATAACATACGCGTACATATCAAAAGAACAATCACTATGAAAACGCAAATACTATCGGCTGCCTTGATTATTCTACTGCTGAATTCTGTCCATCTTATCCAAGGTATCAAACGATTGGGCTTTATAGAAGTAACATGTTTCTGCTTTAGGCACAAAGTTTCAATATCCATGACTTTGTAGTTGTTCATGTTAGACAATTATAAGCGTAAACTAAAAATGATTAAAAACTTGATTATTTTCTCTCATACGTCTATGAGTATGCGATATTGTTTTAGTAGTCCCTGTTAATTATTGATCAATGTAGTCGTATAGTGAAAATAAAGCCATCTGTATACTCTACAGCGCGGCATACGTGGGCCTATCCCAAGGATTATAGTATCAATATTAAGTAAGTGTTTACCCTTTACTGACAGACTACAATACTACGGTCTGCAGCTACGGGGATAATTCTGCTTTTGGACCCTAATTCTCCTGCCGAATTACAATCACTACTCTAGCGAGCATACTTTACACCCAGCGCTCCTAGCTTTTAACAACATTCAATCCATCACTTTATTCGCTACTATCTTGATGCAGTATTAAATAAATACTCGAAGTCTACAGTAATCGTCAGTGTCGCCTAGGCATTTGTAAACATTTTTAAATTTCATCCTTAATCACCGTATAAGTGTATGTCAACCCTGAAGGTATACGAGTGTTTTCACTAGAAATACTTGCTAGCGACATTGTTTTGATACTTGACGTAATAATTTCGCACAGTTTTAGATCTGTGCCATATCGCCTTTATCTTTAAAACAGACTAAAAATGAATCTTTGTTAATTTATCAATTCAGGCTACTCTCGTGATCGAGTGTTACTACGCGATGTGGAAGCCATCACATTACATAGTGGTCGAATGACCACAGGTAGAAGATCCAGCCCTATACCACAGGTACGAATGTTCATATATCTACTTACTTTAGCTTCGATTTCAACTTTAATAAATTCTATAGTCCATACTAACGTAATCTACAATTAGGATAGATTCTTTAGTATCAAGTTATTACCATACCATTATTGTTTATTGTACTGTATTCATACTGCATTAACTGTAAATTAAAATCACTTCCTTGTGGGCAAATTAAAGACTTTACAGTTAGCATGCACTTACTTTCATGGTATCGTTAACGTGCTGTTTCTTGACTAAGTTAAATTGAGGACGAAATAATGTTTACTTGCTATAGATAACATGCGTTGGTGGTAGTGCCAGCCATAAATACCAACCCGATGTGATACAGTGTTATAATCGCGGATGGGACGGATCTGAAGTTCAAGTAATTTATTAACTGTAAACATCAATCATTTTTCTCTTCCAACATTTGGAATCTACTATATATATGCATGTACTGTACAGTATATTAAGATTACATCTGCAGATACAGTATTTGCACTAATTTACACTACTGCATTATCTTTTGTAGTGGGAATGTAAAGCCAATCTTCCAAAAAAGTACCGACTGGGCGCTGTTCAGGTAGCCTGCGAAGGTTATGATTATCCAGACGACCCTTATATTTTGAAAGGTTCCTGCGGTGTAAGTTAAAACTGAATGGAAATTTTGTTGTTGGTAATATAATATAAAACAACCATATGCTTTCTTTCTTAGTAATACAATATGCATAGGTATATAATAATTTCTTCAAATTTTGTATGTTAATATTATTTATACACATTATGTATATCGCTTGCTTTGCCAGTAAATACTGCACAATACATAATATTGATACAGTAGAGTATTGGAATTGCATTACCGTACCAGCTGTTTGGTTTATATTACCGAAGATACATAATCTTTGCATTTGTTTATTAGGTCGAATATCGCCTAGAGTATGCATCTTCCAGTGGTTCATATAGCAATAACTATTATCGTAGCAAAAAGTAAGTATATCTGTCTATGCATATAACTACGATACACATATATGAAGACCTAATTTTCAATATCCTTCCATGGCATTACGTGTTAATAACAATTCAGTCGTCCATAAACACAAAATTTTAGATTAATGACATCAATATATTTGTAATAACAGCCGCCTGTGTTTTGCCATCATTACGAGTAAACTTTAAATATTAAGCTTTTGCTTGTACTTATGTCTATCTGTTGATTCTATAACTTAAGATGAACACATTATTAGTTGCTGTACTCTGTGCTTTGCAGTGCTGTATAGAGCCCTATGTAGCATATTAAATTAATTAAATGTTGCTTGCATAGCAGTATATAATATTACTCCTTACCTTCGCAAATTTTTTTATAATTTTAGTCCAATTTGCTGATATATTTATGTACAACGTAAACATAAATTACGAATATTTTTGATAATATCACTAACTGCACGAATTCTTTGTTGAAAAGAGGGGGAAGCTGGTTTGGAAACTTATTCATGATCGGTGTTTTGGTCTTTATATTCTATACAATTTATAACCGGTTTTCAAGTGCTAACCACGAAAAATATCCATACTTAATCAGTCATACGAATTTAGCTTCTATTGATAATTTGATATGTTAAAATTACATTTCCTTAACATTTAATCACTACCCAACATCATACTACCAATCCACCTCCTTATCACTCAGGCAATCGACCTGACCAGTCATATCCGTCTGCGTCGCCCCCACCTTATGGCTTTCGACCAGAATATCAAAACGGTAGTAATTTTATTAAAGCTAAGCTATATATATGTCTATATGTGAACACATATTGTGATGTAAAGCGATTTATTATCAGCAAGTAAACAATTATCCAATACTGTAATTACTGGATAAATGGATAATAAATTATTAATTTGTACTCCTCAAGATTGCTCACAAGGAAGAACTTCTACCGGCTATTCTGATACTAACCAAGCTAATCATGGTAACTTTTGGACAGGTAAACCAATCAATCCAATTTGATACCACAATTATCTTCGTATATGAATTTATACTGTCCGATATGCCAGCAGACTTAAATAGAGTACTTGCATATGGAAAGAACATTGAATCAACTCATTTACCATTAACATAAAGATTATTCATTTAACGACTAAGCTTATACTCGTATTGTCAATTACAGGCGCCGCTGCAGGTGGCTTTTTAGGATACCTTTTTGGAAGCAGGTATTGCCTACGCTGAACTATGGAATGATTGAATAAAAGTATCCTAGGATACTTTCATATTATTTCCTTATTATAATGTAAAACGTTGTAATTCTTTCTGATCATAATTTTAGCAGAAGCCATCAAGCTGGCTATTACGACTCAAACTACTACTCCCCCTCGCGTAGCTACTTTGGTCACGGTACTCATACCGTACATCATCATCACAATAATAGCAGTTCCTCAAGTCACGGTAGTCATACATCTTCAGGTTAGAATGTTGTTAACTTTTTTACAGCGTGAAGACGACTACGAACCATTTGCAAATACGGTCATGTTATATCTTTCAGAATAATTAGCATATGAATTAATTCATTTAATTGTAATAATTTAAATGAAAAATGTTTCAGGTTTCGGAGGGACGAAGCGTCGCTAAATTGGACAAAATACGCGTACAACTGATGAACGCTATCCCAGCTACTAACGTGCCAACATATAAGGCAATTGTATATATATATATATATATATATATAAGTAAATAGGTCAGTGTATTATCGTATAATTTGGTAACTAGTCCCTATTTAGTGTAATTATTACATCGATTTTGTAAGTCTGAGCCATCTACAGTATGTTATTACGACGTAAAGGTACAATAATTATTCAACACTGTTTTCAAACTATGCATGGGTCCAGTATTTAAAGCATCTTAGCTTAATCTAGTTAAATAATGTCATTCGATTTTCGTTGGATCGTACATATCCTTAATCTCAAGCTGGTATTATTATTTGTCAGATCATTCCCAATTGAAAAAAATACGTACTTTATCGCTTGCTCACACTTATGGCTGTTGCAGTTAAAGTCGAAGTACACTACTCTCCATTTGTAAATTTTATAAAATTTCTTACCGGTTAAACTATTCTTGTTAATCTTATAGTCGTTTGGATTAACGCTTTCAAATAAATGAAAATTTGAAATACCTACTGATAGCAGAATCATTGTTTATTCATTGAGTTACTGGACTACTATAAATAAGATTCTTCTGAATTATTTTCGTGAATATTTATAAAGATTCAGAACGTTGGAACAGTACTGTGCAGCAAGAGTAATTAAAACTGGCCATACTGTATCAAATGAAACATGATATTCCATATTAGGAACTAGGAAGTTGCCAGTTACACCCACTGCTTACAATCGCTATATCGAATGTTTACTAGCGCAGTATATATTAATAATGTATATAATTGCAGTTTTACTATTGACACCTCCATGGCGAAATCTATGGTTTCAAGTACTTAGCAGTCAATTATATCATACAAATGAGAGCAACAAACAAAGTACTCACAAACATCGTAGCTTTACCACTGATAAATTGCCTAAAGACTATAATATAATTAGCATTCGTTCGAATATTGGATAAATGTGTAGCAAAGATCGTGGTAATGTAATTATGCTTTGATTACGAGTCACTTAGCTAAATAAAAACGTTAATTATAATTAGCCGGACGACAGTTTTTTCAAGTTGTCTGCAACCTATAGAATGTATGATGGTGTAATGGTAAAGTTTATGTTAGGTTGAAAGCTGAGCGTATCATATGCATGGGTGATGATGATCAGCACCTTAAAAGGGCATCCAGTTGCCTTCTGTATATCTTTAATTGTTTGGTCTTCATATATTTCCGTTAAAGTCAAGCCGTTCTTGGAACAAACCTCAAAGACGCACTACAAACAAAATTTTTATTTTTTCTTATTAAAGTTTCTTTATCATATCTACTAAGCCGTGAATAATATTCGTACCTTTTCCGTGACAATCATATCGACCACAGATTTTCCAGTTAAGGGCAATGAGCATTCTTGCAAAATTTTGTGGGCTCCTGACTATGATCATAAAATTACATCTGCATATTAACATCGCTATCAATGTGATGTTAATATTGGCTAATCAGGATAAAATTGATGTGCATGGAGTCACAGTAAAGTTACGAAATTTAGCTGAAACTCCGAATCCCGTGTATGGCAATAGCTGAAGTAGTAAAATTAAGTAAGCGCACAAACCTTAACTGCATGCTCCATAGCCACAACAACTTTTGTACCACTACTACTGACAAGATCCATAGCACCTCCCATACCTTTAACTAGCTTTTTCTTTAGTATTTAAGAAAACAATTTATTGGCTGATGTAAACAATAGATAATGCGGAATCGACTACATACGGGTATCATCCAGTTAGCCAAATCTCCAAATTGAGAAACTTGCATGGCGCCTAAAATGGTCACGTGTATGTGTCCACTAAAGATTAAATTAATACGTATGAATTTTAATTCAATTCGGCATGGTAATCCAAGTCTAGGAGGTACAATAATTTCGATTACCCTCTGATCATTGCGAAGGATTCATCACTTCCAAAGAATGCACCACCAGGCAATATCGTTACAGTTTGTTTTCCTGTACATTCGTATTTAAAATTAATCACATAAGTGTTATTTAAGAAAATATTGCAATAATGGTATTAAGTTTTTTGCGCATATACTGTATGAATTTTTAATTAATGGATTAGAAGGATGCGTGCACATTCGAATAGGAATATAATCAAATCAGTTACTTCGTACCAGCATTAATTAGATCAGCGTCTACATCCTTCTCGTGTGGAAATGGCCCCTAAAAGATTAAATTATAGCAAAACCTCGATTTTCTTGCAAAGCAAACTTAAAAGATATGAAAATAGAAATACTAATTTTTAATCAAAATGGTTGGATATCGCAGTATATTCAATACCAGGCCAAGAATTCCGTTTTCACTTTGTAAATGAACTGTAATGTTAGGATCTATATAATTACTACAAAGCATTGGTAATCCTATCCCCAGGTTAACATACATGCCATCCTGTAATATTAAGTACATTTATTTATATGTACAAATAAACAAGAGACATCTACATATAAAAATTTGAGAAAACAAAAGAGGTATCACTAAGATAACAGCCATACTTTAAATTCCTGAGCCGCACGCTTGACAATTCGTTGATGCTTCTCAGGGATATTTACTACATCATCGTCCCTTGTGATAGTTCTAAACTGAAAGTAAAAATATCGGATCGAGAGTGTCAAAGGCTGGTAATACCATATGAAAAATCATTTATCTAATTCAAATTACTTCTATTCTTTTTTGATATTCTTCACCAACAACCACTCTCTGAACGTAAACGCCAGGTACATGCACTTCGTCAGGTTCTAATTCGCCAATTTCAACAAGTTGTTCAACCTGCAAAATGATGATTAATTTATTATCGCATAAGAATTAACAAGTTTTCAAGAAAAGCCTTTGCAGTTGCAGTAAGAAATCATAATCCAAACAAATCACCTCAGCTATGGTAATTTTACCGGCTTTTGCAGCAGCCGGATTAAAATTTCTAGACGACTTTCTGCGGTATAACAAGAATAAAGTAAATAGACGAAATTACATAAAACAAAAATTTCTATTAGCGAAATGCAACCGAAAGATTAGATTTCCAGCTTTGTCTCCCTTCCATGCTTTTACTAATGCAAAGTCGCCAGTTATCGCTTTTTCCATGACATAATTTCGTCCACTAAACTCGCGTGACTGGTGAGAAAGAGGAATTAATTTTGCTACATTTTTTTATTATTAAAAAGTCATATATATCATAAATTAGAATATATCGTAATTGAAATTCAGTTATATGAAGGAAATGAAAATATTTTCGCAAATCAATATACGATGGACCGAAACGCGATAAAAGCATCCAAATTTTTTCGCGTTATTTCATGCTATGATGTCAATTACTTAGAAAGTAATTTGAAGCATCTTTTTAACGTTAGTCCGAAATAAATGATTTTAAGTCCTTTAAGGTTAATTGCTGTACCTCCCTAGGCTCACTTGCTATTGCAATTGAGCCATCAGTGTTGTACTTAATAGGAGCGCCACCTTCATGAATAACGGTACCATATGCAGTAGGGGTGTAGAATGCAGGAATACCGGCACCACCAGCTCTGATACGTTCTGCTAATGTTCCCTATACGTACGTTGTGCATTTACATTGAAATTTGTTATTTAAGGTAAAATTAATTTGGATAACGTCCCGTTACAAAGTTTTAAATAATAAATGGCATGTTTGATTGATGTGGTAATTATTAGTTAATGTACCTGAGGTGTTAATTCTACTTCCAATTCTCCACTTAAATACTGACGTTCAAATTCCGCATTTTCTCCAACATATGATGATATCATTCGCTTGATCTACAAGTGTTACAGAGTAGGTTTATGTATTTATAAAAATGAGAAAGAGTTATATAACTTTATCGAAATCGATATCATATAAACATAATACTTCTACTACCTTTTTGTCATCTAATAAAATGCCTAAGCCCCAGCCTGCGACGCTAACAAATTAAGATAATAAATGATCCATTAGTGGATTATAAAGACTGAAAGTTCAACGGTATATTCGATTATAATTAATTAATAGTATTAGTAGTTATTTTTTTTATTTTTAAATACCCGCAATTGTTACTAGTAACTGTTAAATCTTTAGAACCGGTTTTGTTGAGGGCTATGATAAGATTTTCTGGGATACCACAAATTCCAAATCCTATGGAAACATGATGATGAACGATAGCCATTATGCTTTAAATGTAGCATACGAGCTTCCTGCATGACTTCGGTAGATATCATGCAACAATATTCTAACTGACTTCTAAACTATTACATCTTACATTAATGAATGTGAATATGTCTATAAGTGAGTACTTATAAAAAGTAAGTTTATTATTGTACCTCCAACAATTAAAGACGAACCACTACGGATATCTGACACAGCTTCGAGAGAGGATGGATAGACTTTATTTGTTTTTCTTAATGACGATATCGAAAGATACCTTGCAGCCTAGAATTAAGAATGTGCTCATCATTGCCAGTATAGGAAAAGCATACAAATGCAAAGGTGTGCTACAGTAAGATGTGTGAAACGATGCAATCATAGACTGGGTATTTGAATGAGAGTTAAGAAATACAACACTGGATAGAGAATGTTCCGTGTCATTGTGCCAGGATATCCCATCGATCGTTGCAGCTATGTAGTATAATCGTGATTTGATATCTACATCCAATTTTTCTCGATATCATAAGTTACCTTATCTGTACTACAAGCAAAACTTTGTTGGAGGAGATTTCTTAATGATTGTTTAATGCACAATGCCGAAGAAATTCGTTGGTATTAATAGCTATAGTCTGATCGTGAGGATCGTATGCACAAAGAATCTCTGTGTAGGATTATTGCTAATAATTTGAAATCGGTACTAAATTTGTTCTAAAAGCTAGTTACTACAGGCATATTTAGGGGATTATTCGTACAGTATCTTTGACAATACGCGCATATTTGAAATATTTTGACTTTTGCATCGATATAGTGTCCGTTTCTAGCAAGAATTGCTGCGTAACGATACCACTATTCATTTTTACAAACGCTTAATTTAAAGTCCACGCTTAGCTTTACTTCACATTATAAGCTAATAGCTGTATCCATAGTAGATAATGTAAAAGTCTGTACAATGTTCATTCATACAATCATCATTATCTATCGATATACGATATCACAAGCACCCATAAATGAATGTTGCATTGACTATTAATATAAAAGTCAATTGTTTTATAGTACGTAATGTTGTCTATCAAGAAGTATTTTATTGATTGTATTAGTTCTGATTGTGCATTTGCATATAATAAAAATGTAATTGTACAATTAATTATTGGGCAATATCTTTGCATGATAATTTACTATCTTTTTTGTCTATTAAAGTACAGTATTGAATTGTATGAGATGGTGTATATTGCACAGATGGCAGAATGATAGTGTAAGCGTATAGTGGGGACTCATTACATTACACTACTGACATAGAACTTGTAGAAGATACAACTGTGCATGTGGACATTAACATTAACATGTTTAAAGTGGTAGTTTCTAGGAACTCTAGAATATAACTTGCATATGTAAGCCAGTTGCAAGTACGTGCAGTAGATGCATACAGTATATACTGTACTATATTATCAATGGTGGAGATATACTTTACAACTTTTCCTACCCGCTTTGCAGTAATCAGATATGATAGAAGCATATGCCTATCCAATCATATCTAGTGCAGTGTTTTATGCTCTATACTACAGTACAGTGGTATTGCAGTAAATAATCTAGTATCATGTTATTCCTGTTGTAAAAATGCCATGTGATATAGAAAGTAATAATAAGCCAATGTCGATCTCTGCACTACCGGTTAACTGCAAAGACTTGAGAAAGATTTTCATGTATCTGTCAACGTCCTCGAAAAGTATCTCCAGACTTTAAAATATTTTCATCCATCTTTACAGTATGTATAACTAATCGTTGTTGCATCACTGGAATATTGGACAAGGTAAATTGTCAGGAACAAACGGCCATTCAATGAAAGTTCGAGGACATTCTACGCTTTTAACCCATCGTACGGCGCTTATCATACGCTTTTATCTTCAATACTAACCGCTAGTCGATAAGACATTGAAGTACAAACTAGGAACTCGAATATCTATTTTCCGATCCAACCTACTATACTGCACGTAAACAAAACTTTATACGTCCGGCAAAACGATAGTGGTTTTGTTGGTGTAGAGTACAATACAAAAGTAGAGTACACCGGTGGCATCAACAATAAAAAGATTATTTCAAACTCCTATCAATAATATCACAATTATTGCTGCAATATTAATTGAATTACAGAGTTGTTGATACCATTAAGATACTGCAAATCTTATATTGAGAAGAGACTACTGTCGGCTATCATTTCATTACACTTTCCACGATAATAGTGGTATGTGATAGTGCTACTAGTCTGTCTATGGTCAATATGGTCAATCATCATTGCCCTCTTGCATATACAGAATTGATTGTTATTTATAGAGCAAAAGCAAAACACGAAATTCAAGCTTACGAGTTCTCTACTGTAGCAACTACCATACATTGCCATCATTTAGTCACATTGCATTGTTATTATCATTCATTGCTAGTCTGCTAATTGTGAATATTGTAGCCTAAATAGAAATGCTTCGTAGCCATTGTCAAGTTGTATATAAAGAATTTCTCATGGGTAGTCCATTTCTCATCATGTGCTTTACTAACGCTAATGATGGAATAAGCACGGGTGATTGGCCACACGAGTCGTTCATATTATTTGATGTTGCCCCTCTTCCAAAAGAAATCTTATACGCTTGTACCTTACATTGAACTAATTCAATCGACTAACTATCCACTGTACCGAAGCAGTGCACTACTTACCACACATCCAGGGAAAGAAATATGCTTGCTACATCGCAGTAAAGCAGCCATTGGATTCAAAGATCTTAATAGTGGTGATTATTAAGAAATGGTTGTTCAGTAGTTAATCAAGCTACAGTAATAAAATAGGATCTACCTTTCTGGATTACTGATCGCTTACACTATAACAAACTGGTTGGAATTACGCTATATTGAAGAGATGAAATGAATTACTACCCACTGTTGCTGTACGTCTGAGAGTGTTTATCAATACTGCAAGTCTTTTTTATTTACCTGTTAAAGCCTGTACCTGTACACTGTACAGTTCGATTAGCCAAGGGGGGTCCGGCAAGTTTTGCAGGGTCTGGCAGACTCTCTCACCTCACGACACAATTCGTCCAGTACAGTACTTCCCTACAGTAGATGTACTGTACAGTACTATACAGTACTGTGCGCGTACAGTACCTGTACTGAACAGATACAGTACTGTACTGTACAGTACTATACTGTACGCGCGATTTTTTATCAGCTACAGTACAGCACGGTACAATACGGTACAGTACAGTACTTACTCGATGCCGCCCATACTGTACATTGTACTGTACCGTAGGATTCAGACGAAACCAAGAACTACAGTAGTACAGTACTGTACAATCTAATAGAGGATCTCTTAAATACAGTATACTGTACGTACAGTACAGTGCAATGTACTGTACTGTATTTGCGGTTGCCACAACAATAATAAATTTCACTACTACAGTACAGCACGGTACTGGCGATACTGTCTGTAGTTCTACAGTTGTACAGTACAGTACTGTACAATAAGTGTACATACTGGACTCAGTCTGAGTCATGGATGACCATGACTCAGACTGAGTCGACAACTCTATATATAGGAAGTTGGCAACACAAAGGTTGATCACAAATTAAAGTAATTACAGCATTATTAGCCAATCTACGGTAAACAACAAGAATAGAAATTAGTCCGCATTTAGTCCACTCATTACAGGAAAGATAAAGACCTCGTCCAAATACGGTGTCAAGGGCCAATTAAAAACTCGTATGAGTTGTTACTTCAAATTCTGTATCCTCCCTGGGAATGCGAAGTTTATCTATTGTGTACTATGTATTTTGTAGTCTGTGCTCCTAGCGGGGGGAGGGAAACAAATGGATGAGTCGCTACGACGCGTGGCAGTAGAAAGTAGTACTGCACTGCATTACGGTATGGTAAGTAACATTGCATGCAGTAGTGTGGTAAATACCTGTAACCCATTCTAATTCATAACATACATACCAGCACAACAATGCATTAGCATCGTATCAAAATCACGGAGAAGAACTTGGAACAATCGTTGCACGTAGCGACTTCTTCTCTACTGAAACAATACAGACATTAGTAGATAATTATTTCAATTTCAATTTACGTTTTACGTCAATTCATAGCAACCCATTTAGAAAGAATTTTCTTTAGTGTTGAATTTGAAAAATATATCTTGCTGACGGTGAGTCAAATGGTGATGTACTTGAGTATTATTTTCCTATTGGTTTGATTGGCTTCTCTTTCGACAGGCAAAATCCATTATACGCGCGTATCAATTCAATGGTGGGCCGAAATGACATTGGTCGACTTGTCGTTTTCTTATTTAACAACAGCATCCTTTCATAAATTGAGACTATAATATCCAAACCTCACTGCAATTGAAGATTGATAATATTCCCTGATGCCCTATATCCTAGACAATTCAACTCGTACTAACACTAATTTACGAATGGCAGAAAGTTCAGATATATCCAATTGGAATTGTACTTTGACAACAGACTGTCAACCGACCAATCTAGTTGGCCTATTCCTCATTTTATTCATCGTCGTAGTAAGCTTAGTTGGTAATTTTACAGCTATATACTACACAAGAAAGAATGCAAATACCATTGTGCAAACACTGTTATTCCATGTCCTAGCTTGTACAGATGTATTAACATCACTGTTGACGTCGCCACTTGTCATTGCTTCCTACCTAAGTGGTAGATGGGTTGGTGGACAATTTGGTTGTAAATATGAATGTTGGGCGATCAACGCTTGTGGCTGTTTTGCTGGTGTTGTAATAGTGGTTATTGCTATTGAGCGATGGATAGCGCTAACACAACCATATGAATATGAAAAAATCGTGACTATCCCCAAAATGAAGAAAGCCCTAATCGCTTTAGGCTTTATATATGGCACGTTTTTCATATCACCTACGCTAGGCTTTGGTCATGTTAGAATTTTCGAGCCAGGAACTTATTGTAATATTGACTGGTTCGCTACTCAGACAGAAGATCGTGTTTTTGCTGCGTTCTGTATTGGCATCATATTATCGTGCGTGGTTATTGTTATCGCTTGTAACATACACGTAATAATTATTCTCAATAGACTCAGATTACAACGCAGAAAGTTAGAAATTAGTAGTACTGCAGCGGCTGAAAGGAAATTAAAACGATCAGATTCAGAAACATCCATGGCTAAAATAATGATTATCATTACCATTTGTTACTGCATATGTTGGCTACCAGTTGCGGTAAGAATAACTTAATGAGTAGTAGGTATCGCCAAATTAGATCAAGAAAGAATCGTTAGAGCCTAGATCGCCTTTTGACACTGTACGGGGCTCCCTCTTTGTTTATACAATTTTACCAAGTGCAGTTTCAGTGTTATAATAAATTGATATCAATTTTAGTATTATGTTTTACGGAATATCGTACAGGATGGCTAATGTATCCCTCCCCTTTCCGTTGTGAAGAACTAAATCAGCTACTTGCATAATATTTCCGTAGTGTAATCATCGATTATACATGTATTATACGAATTATATAGTATTTATTATTAGTATTAACTACGCCAGAAGTTGTACTCGACGTTAACGCTTTACGCCTATTTTATTCGTAAATGCCATATTAACATGAACTTAGTGGAAATCCCCTTTTTGTACATGCACGTCTTGTATCTGACTGCATGTAATAATTCAATTAATTAATTTCGGATTGCTCAGCTAGTGCGTACAGTAGAACAGACCGTCAATATTTACTGTGTGAATTTTTTACTGTAATTTAGTTATCCCCTGGCACCTAGTATTATACTAAATGCCGTGTTTTGGTAGACTGTAATACCATGCTTGCTACCAGAGACTTAGCAGCCCGTGTTGTAGCATTGAACACAACAATAAATTTAACGGCATAAATTATTCGTGCATTAATTACTTTTTGATGATAGCATTTCAATTTATAATCTCTACCTATCATTATATCTTGATATCAACAGAGACATTAACCCATATGTTGTAATCGATAGTCACAAAAGTAAAAACCATTGAAAGATCATTAATATTGAATAAAACAATAGAGAGAATGCATTGAAAATCAATGCATCATCAGTATTCGGAAATCATTGATGTCATAATAGCAACGGTAAACGACTGCTCTTTATATATTCTATAGCTCCTTTAACAGTTACTTTACCTCTACGATAACACTTAAACTTCTCTAGGTAGCTTCCTGCTTCAGATTAGTTGATAGTAAAATCTAATGGTTTTGTCATCCTGTCAGGGGCAATTAATAAAGATATAAACAAGTCCGTTCCATTTATTTTTAACTCCACACATAGGTTTTATTTTCCTATTCTGATAACTTAGTTAATCGATCACTTTTTATTTTTATGGGCGGAAGAAATTATAGAAAGAAGAATTGTTATCAGATCAAACTATTAGTTATTCATCATTATCTAGACATTCAAAAATCAGTTATTATGAAGTAACTTACCTTATCGTACGGTGTCAAAAAATATTAACGTCTTGAATGGTAGAACGATAATTAAAATTGAAAATCTCGTTCATTGTTCAATTTCAATTCTGCTCACATTTTCAAATACTCGTCGGAAATTAAATTTAATACAATAGAAACTATTATCATGTAATTATTTATAAGCTTATTCAAATTCATTGAGATTTGAAAAGATTTCTGATTTATCTCATTATTATAGATAAGATATATCTACAACCAATCTGGATTGCCAGCTGATCCTGCTGCAGATACAACAGCTTTTCGATTAGCAACTTTTAATGTTGTTTTCAATCCAATCATTCTTTTGGCATTGAAGAAAGAATTTCGAGTGAGGTTAATGTATGATCTCAGATCGAAGTGCTGCTTTAAATGCTGCCCTCCAATATCGCAGATTGACAGTGAGTACTATTACGTAGCATTCGTAGACTGCCCTATATACAGTGGATAAATGATTTGTAGATACTATACAGCTTTGACGTGTTCTCGTTTTGTATAAAATCCATATTGTTATAAAATTGAAAATAATCAAAGATTAATTAAAGTAAATTTCTCTTTTGGATGTAGTTAGTATTATTATTTGATAATTTTATGTAAACTTTAATAAGTAGAGTTTGTTAATTTTAATGATATAACCGACCGTGTCCTAAATAATAAAATAGACTTCACGATGGCGCATGTGTCGATGATCACACGAGAGCCTCTTTCCAACGCATGAAGCAGCCCTGCATTTGTTTACTTGATGAAGATTAAAACGTAGAAAGAAAGTAAAATATCGATTGGAAATATCGTACACAAGCCGATGTAAAGTCTTTATTGGAAGATTTGTAAAATACATTTAATGTAAATATAGTGTTATAATTTCGACAGTAAAAGTTAATTTTTACGTTTTGACGTAGAGAAAACTGTTACTAAAATTGAAGAAAGTGTGATATTTGCGATGAAATTTGTCAGTGACGAACAGTTTTATATCTAGCAATAATTGATATTATGGTATATTTCAACTTTTAGCAATCAACAGCACTAATCTCCCTCATCGTTCATTCTTTTGTTTGGCTTTGTTCCTTACCAAAATGTACAGGATAAATGATGGTTTCACCACCTTTTGTAGTTGTCTACTTGCTTCTGATTAATCTTACCGAAGATGCTCTGTAATTAGTGATTGGAAAAGAAACAAATTTTAGTTGTATGAAGTATAAGCGTATACCTTAGTATCAGTTACTATGCACCAATAGATTATTATTGACTTTAAGCAATGTTAACTGCCATAATTCACTGTGTATCAATGAGATAATGTACACTATGAATCCATATATCATTACTCTAAACTTAAGAATACTGTAATTATAAACGCCGCATGTAAAATTTTATTTACTTTATTTCATGTTCATCATTTAATATTTGCAACGTGTTTTTTTATTATTACGTCAATCATGATCTGAGATTCCCTAGTTTATCTACAGTGCTATGAATCGCTTCTTTCATAATTTTATAAATTAAACTAAATAGCTTGTCTGCTTGTATTACGATACTAATGTACAGTCATTATTGGTCTTGATTATCTTCGTATGCAATATGGCATTGGAGAACAATGTGCAATAAAGTACAATTCACTCAAATCTTTAGCAATGCAATACAGTATTAATTATATTATATTAACTATGTAATTATGATATTAATTGTTATCAGCAGATGTTACTGCCGACAATTTCATAAAACAAAGCCCAAATACAACAGATTTTTTTCGTTTTTGTTTCAACATTGTGAGAAAATTCCCAACTACGATACATATTTAATATTTTAGAGGGCCATCTTTTGCAGGATAGTGCGCGATACAGTAGCGTAAACCTCTATTAGAATTCATTGAATTGGTTTTACAGTTCAATTTAATAATTATTTATCCTATGTTATTGCAATACTATACAGTACAATGAGTCGCGCTGCAGAAAGCGCGTACTACTGTGGTATTTTGTATGTGATAAGAGATTGTAGATGCATTATTCTTTTTGTCAATATATAGTACAGTACAATATAGTCGATGATTAGAGACCCTGTAAAAAGAGACTAGTGTACGGTAATGTTATTTATTACTGGTCGATTCCTCGCTCGTTATACTGTACTGGTCTTTTACTTTTTAGTTTTTACTTATTGCTATCACATGGTGTACTGGATGATACGCCAGCGAGCGAGCGAGCTGAGCAAATTCAGTAGTACTGCACTGTGTCACATATAGTGTATTGTCATATGATATACTGTATATGACATATACACTTATTATACAGTATGTGCATATGACAATATACTGGATGTATCCGTCCGTCACATTTAGCTAAAATTCTACCACTATCTTTGATATCGCCAATTACTTCAATGTTTTTCGATAAGATATATTAGGTGATATGCACGCGCAACTTCTGTCTATCTCTCTCTCTCTCTCTCTTTGACTTTTGAAAGGCTATTAAAGGACCTATTCCCATAATATAAGTTAGTGATCGATATCGTGCTACTCTCTGATTCTATGTGTTTCTTCTGATATGATTTCAAATCATTCTACTTTCTCTGTATTATTTGTATATGTATTGACTCACGTATTCGACACAAAATATTACATACTGTATGTACAGTGTACAGTACGCTACTCATTGCACCGTACTGTGTACTGCACTATACTGTAGACTGTAGAGGTCACGTACGGGTACGGTGCAACACTGCAGAAGCGTTGGAGTAATTGAGGCGGCATTCAGTACTCAGTATCGTACGGTGGCCGAGAACAGCACTGTACAAGTGTACAGTACTGTATTGTACTCAATCTGTGTCTCAATCCGAGTCAATCGTGAAGGCTTTTGAAATTTTTCCATTCACAAAAAACTATACAGTACTGTGCACTGTACAAGTGTACATTGTACTGTACTACTAAAATGACAAGCAAAATACGGTTGGCAGTCAGAGATTACTAAAAATTAGCAGTCCTTGAGGCAGTATTACTGTACTGTAGGTCGGAGTTGAGAGTGAGTACCAGCGTTGTTGATAATACTGTACAATGTTTAATTTAAAGTCGGCTAGTAGTCTAATCCAGTATTTAGTGATTTAGTACAGTACTGTATAATACAGTACAGTAAGCCAGAGTTGACTTTGATATCGACCTACTGTACTGTACATTGACTGTAGTCTGTAGGTGTTCTCGGTCATGCGCATCACAGCAGTGCATTGGATTTGATCTTCCACTAAGTTTTAACTTTAACAGGAAAGCACGAGGAGTCTGCAGCACACCAACGGAACCTGCAAAGCTGCGAAGGAGTAAGTAACGCATTAGATATTTGCATCCAATCACTTTGTCAGTAATTATTCCGAACACTAAATCATGCTGGTATATTAGAGAGATGATGTATCTAGTTATTGCTGTATTTGCTGGTGAATATATCTTGACTCTTCTTGGTATACCTTGTATCGTAAAGACGTGAAAGTTCTAGTTTTTCCCACAGGTCAAAGCAGATTGTTCGCTACCGTAAATGTTCACAATTCACCATTTACCTTCGCATCTCACAACTGTTGGTTAATTTTACAAATACGACAGAAATAATTATTACTGTATAACGGTGTATGTCAATATAATTTTTCCAAAGTATTTTATTAATTACAGTAAAAGAAATGTTTAACGCTAGAGCTGAATGGTTTCAGTTATCGACGCACTGTACAACTCAGTGTACAGTCGATTTTAACTACGAGCCGAATGATATCGAATCTTGATAGACATCTTCAGTCGATTTTTTGGGACAGTCTATCTACTTTGTGTACAGTATTCTGAATGTAAATTTTGAATAGGTATCAGCACAATACTATCTAAAATTAACTCGTTCCAACTAAAAACATTTGAATAATGCGTTGGATCTTATTATTTTATTACATTTAATATTGACTGTCAGGTTAATACACCATACACTATTACTCACGGCATATTGAGATATAGTCATATCGCTGAAGTGGTTTTTCGTACCATTTGCTTGTACATTTAGAATCGATTATGCATCTTTTTTTACCTAATTATATCGTTATAATACATTATTCTATAATAAAAACGTTATAACTGTACCTCTAAATCATTGACAAACTCTACTTTTTGATACTGTACTACTGTGTTGCTTTACGTATGCGTTTATAGTGGTAGTCATGTTGTCTAATCATTTCACTATACAGTACACTTAAAAAATTCGATAGAAAATGTACGAAGTACAGCATATGTATCTTTTTAACTGCAATTCACAATCATTCAAATCAAATACTATCAAATTCAATTGGGTTTATTTAAACCTAATGAAGGTAGATACATAAAACTGGAGCTTTAAGCGAATCCTTATAACCCTTATACATCAATATCAAATATTGTCAGTAGTTGTATCTTAGGCGAGTAGATTCTGTGCTATATACAACTGGCAATGTTACAATCTAATGGGTTTTCCGCTTGTTTTTGCGCTATCCATATTTTATACTACTATAATTCTTGCTATTGAAGCGTCCCTGACATACTTGACGATTATAACTTCTTTGGCTTCATCTTAGCAATTGTCATCGAAAGTGCTTAGTTAAACGTTTTAATAAATGGACTGCTTTATAGATACCGTAGTACGTGAGTGGACTAATGAATCAGGAGAAAGTTAATAAATTACAACATCAAGTCCGCCAAGTCCGCATTGGTGGCAAGGTAACTAAAGTTCATTTTGTGTTTGATTTATTTTAATTCAATCTTGATGATAGCGCTTGTAATGTGCATTACCCATCGATTATTTAAGGATCATTTGTAGAGTAATTGCAATTGATATCCTTACTGTACGTTCTTTTTCTTGTAACGTTCTTAGGGGACACCAAGGAGAAAGAAGAAAGTTGTTCATAGAAGTGCAACTACTGATGATAAAAAGTTACAGGTACAAACACAGTATAATATTGACTGGATGTTGTGGCTAAATCTGCTTGCTAGGCTACTGTTGATCTATCAGCCTCACTTATTAGGAGATAAATATGTTGGAAATTGTATCTGATATTATGCTTTTGTATCACTGAAGACTACCTTAAAGAAGATTCCGGTCAACCAAATTCCTAGTATAGAAGAGGTATACTTGGATTTTCTGTTTACGAATTTCATTTAAACTAATCTCCAATATCTGTATATCATTGATGTGCTGTAAATGCACTTCTAATAGCCTGTCTGGATACCCACCCTATAATCAATTTCATTAATGTTAAACTATCTATAACCTCTAGGTCAACATGATTAAAAGTAATGACACTGTTATCCATTTTGCAAATCCCAAAGGTACCGTAAATTATCTTTCCATCTTGTAATTTTACCTCCTTTCCATGTGTTCATATCGTAATATTTTATTCCAAATTTATTTTTTAGTACAAGCTTCTCTTGCTGCCAATATCTTTGCAATTTCTGGTCATGCAGAAAATAAAAGTAATTATTGACAACAATTTAGCCATGGTATCAGTTGCTTGACGGGATTAGTAAATTTCTTGTAATGATTAATGGATTTCTTAATTTCGTTTCAGCTGTTGCCGAAATGATACCTGGCATTTTGAATCAAATGGTACGACACCTATTTATTGACGATAATTAGTTTGTGTATGGTAACTGATAACTATTTTTCGTATCCTAAAATTAGGGTGGTGATAGACTTGCTAATTTACAACACTTGGTTCAGAAATATGTGTCGGCAGGTAAATGTTGCAAAACTAGTAGACATTATTGAATTCAATTTCTGGTGTTATGCTTACTGAAACCAAACACTGTCAATTACGTTAAGGTGAAAATCCTAAAGCCCCTGTAGAAGCCGATGACGATGTTCCAGGTTGAAAATCTTTACATATGCTTATTGTACAATTTGTGGAAATATAATCTTATAAATGTATGTATGTATAGTTTACAAGTATAGATACTAACGCCCTCTTTTGACTTACAGATTTGGTGGAAAACTTCGACGAAGCATCGAAAGATGAATCTACTTAGATGTCAGCCTATTTTAACTTTCATGCCGTTTACAACAACATTTATCTTTTAGCTAATTTTGCCTTTTTTCTCTTTTAAGTATTAAGTATAGTGAGGCCTAAAAATACTAATTTTAGGGCCTTTCTTTGTTGCTCATCGCGTTTCACAGTGTAACATTTGTAATTGAAACGCATACAATATCGCAATTCAACGTTCTAATTAAAAAGTTGTATAAAAAATTTTATGATCGTAATTATTTTTTGATCATTTCACAAATTTGTTGCGGTTGGCCAGAGGTTATTATCATAAAATATCTCAGAGACGCAACCGCGCTGTATAACTATAATACCTTAGTTGCTGGATAGTGTTGACGTTGACGTAATAGTAAGCATATCTTTATACTGATGAGCTACTTTACCATATTTTAGTTGTTACTTTGTTTACATGTAATACAACAATTATAAAAGAAACAGCGTATATGTAACCAACTAGAATAACGGCTGCTAAAATATTATCTACTCTGATTGTATTCATACTCAAATTTACACTACCAGTCATTACATTCGCTAATAAAAAATATCCTAACTGGTTCCTTTCGATAGCCGCATACAAACATGCGCATGTGCGATTTCTATCTGAGGAGTCCTGCTAGCAAAGTATAGCCAAAAACATTGCTGTTTTAATTTGATTGCACAATCAACATCAGTCTACTATTACAGTATTATTGAAACCTAACTACAACATTCATAGTTACCTTGGTCATTTTCAATTCTGTATCACGTAACTCCAGTGTAGGCGTGCATACTGAACATCCAGCTAATGGCATTTCTTCGCAAAAGTTACCCGTCATAGTAAAATAGGTACTGATAAGTTCCACCAGTAAGTACATAAATATATTGAAAGCCATAAAGGCTAGCTGTAATTTAAAGCCATATTATAAATGAGACGCACAAGTAAGAACATAACTTAGATCAAACAGTATTGTCTAAATAAACTCAATCATAGACTTACCATCCATAGAACGTACGAAAAATTGGCAAATCGTCGAGATACGGGCTCGAACAATTCGGCATTGAACCAAGTGAGTTCCCATAAAACGATATCAACAATAATCAATATTACTAAGACCTTTAACCACCTAGTTAAAGACGATCTGCATTCAAGATAATAGATATGCAACTTAGAAATAAAATTTACAATTACTACTGTAAACCAACTTACATATCAAATTAAGTATTTACAAGCGATTAAATAAAGAAATAATGACTCCAGATCAAATCTAGTAGTACTAGTAAATTTCAAATTAATTATAGTTACGCAAGTGTTTCTCAGCTACTGACATTGGTTTTAGTAGTTGTTTGCCGATTTCTATTCCAATTAGGTACAATGATAAATATCCAATACAAGAGAATATCCCTTCTCTATTGGCTTCAATAATTCCGTTTCTCCCTCCACTTCCATCAAATCCCGAAATTATAACATCTTTCAAATTATAGTTTGTTAATGTAACTTGATAAAATACACCAATGCAAGCTCCAATTAATCCACTAAGGCTGATCGGGATGATAATAAATATCAGGGACGCCAGTAACTATATTCGAAAAGATGCAATGACCAATGTAAAAAATTTATCATTATTATTTATTTATTATTGATAGTAGAAAACATTTTAACCTGCCAATACATTTGTGTTTACTATATGAGTGTCAATTTACCTACCCTAATGGCAGCCAAGGTAAAAAAGAAATTCCAGTGCACCCCGTACTCACTTACATGTAGTTGATAATTTATACCTGCTGTAGCAATCAAACGACCAACACCTATCACTACTAAGGGCATTATCGACTTTAATGATTTTACTAATGATGACGAAAAGGGGGCAGAGGCATTGCCTTGATGTAAATTATTATCTGAGAAGAAATTCCAGACATCAAGTATTAATTATCCAGTCATTCTGAGACATCTCAATTTTAAAGATCTAGTCTGTAATATAACAATACATCCGAATACAAGATACAATGGCTAAAATCTTTAAAATGATACAGAATCACAATTTTAACATTCTAATGGCTTATGCCTTTCTTAGTTTAGGAGTAATTCAGCTTTTGTACGTTAAGTTCAAAAACTAAGCAATCTTAAATAGTTTAGTGTGTCAATAAATGGTGAATATTATTGCTCTTACCTTTGCCACGAGCAGTTTGAGCTTTTTTATTGTAACGATAGATAGAATATCTCGCTTCAGGTGCAACGATAGCAGCTGCTAAAACGAAGCAACCTACACCAATATCCATAAGCCCATGTCCATAGGTTTCGGCTTTTGCAAGACATCTTGGAAAGATTTTAAAGTCAACAGCAAGAATAGCAATAGCTGTGCAGATGTTGACCTCAATTCTGTAGTAGGATATGAATTTCAGCTGACAACTAACATTTAAATTATTGAAGTCTATTTTCTTCTTAGATAAGGAATGTCTAGGTGGTTGTTGATATCGCCACAAAATGCTTGCTACGATTATTGTTATCATTGTCACGAAGAGAACATAGCAATAATCATACATAATTGTACACGATAAAAGAAATGGCAGGCATAAACAAGCAACGTCTAAGGTAAATCTGGACCTAAAATGCGTAGAAACCATTAGCATACAATTAGCTGGCATAAGTCTGCTTTTATTTAATGCATTAAGAATCACTCATGTTACAAAGGCTAACCAATACAGTATTCCTGTATTACGCACATTACTGTATATTGCGAAAGTATGTGGCAGCGTATTTCCTGTATAACGTAAAATGCATAATGGAATCATTTATTTTATAAAAATACGTATATTTAATTACAGTAAGGCTTATGCGTAAGTAAAATACGCGTGGTGCTATTAATACCGGTGGATCTCTAAATGGACATTTTCGATCAGATTAATAAATATTCGTAAATAATAAATGTATTAGATCGTGGAATGTGAGGAGTTTACAATCACCATCGTAGATACTTATGCCAAGAAGATTTTTTACAGAACTTCTTCAAAATCATTCTATAGATTTAGATAATTATCGCAAAGTCGAGGAAACACTGAGTAGATTAATCAAATTTTATTACATCAAAAGAGCTTACCATTGGTTTGAACGGTTTAATTTGATGCCAATGAGAGCAATAATACATTGTCGAAATAAGATGGAAATCGGCATTAATGATGTTAGAGATAGTATTTCAATAGTAGTTGTACCGTTGAGATGACTGACAAACTGTTCTCTTTCTAGCCTAGAATCGGTATCCATAATGTTTCTCCTGCATACAATCTACATATGCATAAAGCTAAATCTTAATTCTCGATGTTGCTTAGGTGATCGATGAGGACAGTAAGTGTACGTTCATGCAATCAAGATATCGATCGATTGATTACAATATCCTATCACTACTAGAAGCACGAAATCTACTGGGCCAAATAATATTCTGTTATATCTAGGCCAAGAAGTATTGCCCTAGGTTGATTAAAATCGAAGTGTACGGAATCCTTTTAACCAAATTATAACAGATTTAACAGTAATTTATCGCAAAATTCCTCAAGCTACCTCATGACTTGTATGTAAGTGCTCGTATACCTTGATTTATCGTACCGCAATAATCTCAATCCTTGTAATAATGAATAATATACAATAAAATTAGAGCTGAGTAGCTGTGATGCCAATAGCAAGGCGTATGTGGATTCCTTTCTGGACTAGAAGAAGTTTAGTTTAGCAAGATATTGCAACAATCTGTGAGTTTTGTTTACAGCTGGAGCACCTAGGAGTGACCATTTCCCTTACAGGTTTCCATAGTTTCTGTAGTACTGCGCTGTACTGTACCATGGGCTACTAAAATACCAGCAGATTTAGTAATAGTCCATGACGGTACAGTGCAGATCATATACTCTACAGTATGTTAAAGGCGTACAGTACATACTGTACAGCATTACCGACATTGTGTAGTATGCTAAACCTACACTATCTTATGTGCAATACATAACTGCCTCGGCCATACACAACACTCATAATTTTTCATCGTTCTGTAAACTATATGACTACTAGTAAACTATATATCGCTCTCGCTCGTAGGCTAAATACGCAAACATTGATTAGGAGCAAGTAGAAAAGGACCACTGCTGCAGTCTGAATAAACCAACGATATGCAAGGACAACAGTAGCTGCAAAACCTGTAAATACTGAAATTGTGAGCTCAACAGAGTTTGCATGCAGATATCCGCTGTCCAAAATATAGTATATTGAGCAATACAGAGCTCATTGGAATACTTTCTTTAGGACTGCTTTATATGATTGGTATACTATCCTCAATTTAAGACCTTCTCCGGCTATCATGCTAAACTGCTACTGACACAGTCGTGTGCGCAATTAATACGACTTTGCAAAGGTTAGCCTATGGATATTGTATTCTAATTTTGCTGAAATCAGCTACGAGATACGTGTAAGAATGTAAATGCAATCAAATGAATTTACTGTTAATACATAACATGTTGTACGCTTATAGAAGGTGCTATATTTTAGCATATTAAGTTATAGTCCTTGCTAGCACATCATGGTCGAGGTCCTGCGAGAAAAGCATCAACCATCATTCCATACTTTACAATCTACAAATATTGATTCTGCAAGTGATGTAGCAGAAATACAGAAATGTCTTCTTGCATGGTACGATGCTAATAAAAGGGATCTACCGTGGAGGAGAATGGTAAAATCAACTGTACTTGTATACTTGTATATAGACATTTTCTAATAAGATTACCGGCTAAATAGAAGCCAGAAATCACTTTGGATCGCTATCCATAATCTAGCGTTTATTTCTCTTATCAGGCTACAGTAGAAGACATTGACAGAAGGGCATATTCAGGTACAGTAAATTGACTTCGAAGCAGTGACATTTACGTGAAGTAGAAAAAACAGCACAATATTATTCCCGGATAAATTGTGATGCCAATTAATTCTAAAATTAATCAGTTATCTCCAGTTGGAAAACATTGATTATGCTAATTATCGTTATTTTTTGACTCCTTTCATTATGTAGTTTGGGTATCCGAAATAATGTTGCAGCAGGTACTTATGATTAAAACTGATTTATGAAAAACGCAGCATTAGCACTGTTATCTAAAGATTATTACTTTAACTGTGAGTTCAACGCAATAGAATAGGATAGCATATCTCCTTCTATTATGCAATAATATACTGCCTTGTTTTATCAAAATACTCATTCTGAGATGTATCAAATAGTAATTAATCAATATCAAGTTAAGTATTTTCACTTAATTAATATCAGTATCCGTATTAATAAAGGCATATCTTGCACGCGATCAGAGCTCTAATCAAATTTATAAAACTAGCTAGAGTAAAATCAATTGATGTGCTTATAGTTAATTAATATAATGAAACTGTGTGAGGTATTTGTTGCTCGTTAAATGCGGTATCATATTATCAACTGCGAAATAATTAAGTTCAACAACTATACAGATCCAGTAGTATCCACATGCTATTCTATCGTACCAGTATATTACGCTTGTGATATCAACACATAGAGGAAGACCCTGTTACAGCTAGATCGCTGATAACGTTGCTTTATTTTATCCGCAGACGCAAGTTGCAACTGTTATTAGTTACTATAACAAGTGGATAAAGGTATTATATGATGTTTAAATCTAATCACAATTAATTAATTATTATAGTTGTGCCGTTGATTTTCTAAGAAATAGTGACTACCAGTAATCCAAAGAATCATTTTAACCCTACAAATATCGAAATTTAAATTTTAATGTAGAAATGGCCAACAATCAAAGCCCTTAGTGAAGCAACCTTAGAGGTAGTTCTGTTAATCTACTGATTAATTTTTACGTAATTCCATGATAACGTGTCTCATGAGTAAGATTGCATGAATGATCAACAGTTAGGCAATAAAAAAATGTAAATATCTTACCTACAGTATATATATATAATTATATATAATATATGAGATAATAATGAAATATAAAAATGAAATATATTACTGCGTAGGAAGTCAACGAGTTATGGTCTGGTCTCGGATATTATTCACGAGCGCGGAGGCTTCACGAAGGTGTAATAAAGGTTACATTTTCTTAATTTGTCAAATATTCTGCTCAACCAGGATTTAAATCGCCTTACCAATGGCTGAAAGCTTACATTTAAAGGTATATTTCTATATTTCAGATAATGACCAAGTTTAATGGCCATATGCCACGGAATGCATCTGAGTTACATAAAGAAATTCCGGGTATAGGACGATATACTGCAAGTTAGTGCCGTAATGATATGCACATACTATATCAAACGCTTATAGGTTCAGAAAATAACCAGTTTTTAACGCTAGAAGTATTCATTTTCATCAGGTGCTATTGCTTCGATATCATACGGTGAGGTAAGAATTGCGAAGTGGACGACAACAACTTTTCGTCATTATTAGTATTCTATCTTTGATAACGCATCCGTTTGTAATCCGTTAAAAGCTAATGCCCTGTATTCTCTAAATAAGGTAACTGGTGTCGTAGATGGTAATGTCATCCGTGTTTTATCAAGATTACGAGCTATTGGTGCTGAAAGTAACAGTAAAGTAGCTGTCGAAGCGATATGGTTTGTAACTTGAGAGTCGAGTGCTGTTTTTGTATACGTGAGACGAGTACGGTATAATATTAATGATACGTTACTGGGCCTAATCAGGACTTTAGCTAATATACTAGTCAACAAAAGTCGTCCTGGAGATCATAATCAGGCTAGTAAACTTAGTTACACTTCGCTAATACTGTTTTGATCTAGTTTTATTTAATTCTCTTCATTACATACGTTGCAGTGACCTTTTAGTGAGATTAATTCTGGTTTAACTTTATTTTTCATGGTTTGTAATTACAACGCAATACAGGCTGTCATGGAACTGGGTTCGACGGTATGCACTCCAAGAAATCCGAACTGCAGTAGTTGTCCAATTAATGATTACTGCTTGGCTTTCAAACAAGTAATCAGAAGTGCACTTCAGAATTCTAATTGCTGTGACTCCTTAGCCAGAATGCAATTATTTAACGTTCTAGGTTAACCGACATAAGACTATAGAAACAAAATTAACGAAACGAAGTAATAGTGTTCGAAAAGATTTAATAAATAATATCCAAGATATTGAAGAAGGTGAAAGCAAATTTGTATACTTAATCGATTAATGTTTTACTGTTTGAAATAAACTGTAATTGCAATTTAATCTTTTTTCTTTGAAATTGTTGTAGCTCCTTGTGTGTTATGCTTACCAATTACTTATAAATGGGATCCAAAGTAAGTACTGTTGATATAGCAACTGATTTATAGTAAAAATACTGTATAAGACAGCTGTTTTTCCCCAATTGTTTTACCATTAATACGTTCGATCTAGCTTAGGAGTATTAAATTATCCCCAAAAGCAAGCTAAGAAACCTTCCAAAGAAGAAACGGTAAAACTACAAGTGCAACAGAATATTCGCATCCCATAGCATATCATTTTAATTATATTATTACAAAATGACAATATTTTAATTGATTTTTAAGTGCAACTAAATCTATTATTATAGTTTTTTGTCTGCATAGTGCGGCAGTTACTTTATCAAGATTCAAATACTCCCTCATACCGGTTCTTGTTGACCCAGAGACCAAACACAGGTACACATATATTAAATTAAGTAGATCTATCTCCTCCATGTTATTAATTTTCATGACAAAATTTTCTCTTACAAGGATTATTGGCAGGAATGTGGCAATTTCCTTTAGTAGGGGTAGATAAAGAATGGAGCCCTAAGAAGCAGAGGGATACGATGTTGATTTATTTACATGATGAATTGGAGATTGCCACTGAAATGATACAGCATCATGGTCGAGATATATGTGAAGTATGGTGATATACGGCACTTAAGAATTGATTATTACTACAGTATTGTAGAAGTTATTTAAATTTATCATTGTTATTCTTTTATTACTCCAAAATTAATTAGGTTCCCCACATATTTTCTCATCTCCGCCATAATTATAAAGTTGACTACATAGATATCAGTCCGGATATCAGGTATGAAATTTGGATTAACTTTAATCATAAACATATCCTATTTGATAATTATTGGTTGTTATATTATAGATTAAAATCATCCTCTACTAGTGGTCTATCCGTTAAATGGGTGACAGATAAGGAACTCAAAAAGTCTGCAATTACTACTGTTATAAGAAAGGTTAAATGGGTTATGTTGGCTGTGCATACTGTAGTTACGCTTAGTAATACTCTCTATTACGTGCGTACCTTATTCATTACATTGATTCTATATCTATTATATATAGATTTTTCAAAAATTTGAAAACCACCAAAGTACTAAAGAACAGAAAAAATCTATTACGAAAAGATCTAAAAATAATAAAGACAGCTGCAGCAACCAAACGTCATTACTATCGTATTGGAAATAATAGCTCATTTCATCAATTATGACAGATTGAAACATGTTTCGTTTGCAAAGATAGCACTGTTTGATTGCCCTTCAAAATGATTTTTAATACAGTACAGTAATAACAGTTACGAATTAAAGGTGTTGACATCCATCTTAGCATTGAGCTTACATGAGTCTATTTCAGGAATTTGCATTAGTAATTAAAAACAAGTAAATTTGTATAAAATTAGTATAGTCACTCAATCTGCTATGCTCACTTTGATTTTATGATTAAAGATACTTTTCAATCAGTATTTTATCGAAATGATACAAAGTCATATTCTCTTACTTCTTTCAACGACCTAATCACAATATGATCGTATCACATGTCTTAAAGCATTATACAAGCTTTTTGTAACCACGATCAAAGCTTTTTACATTAATAAAACTATAAAACTATTATATACCGTAACATCCAAAGTCTGTTATTTACATTGTCATCATTATATATATAATGAAATAATAATAATACTAATAGATATAGATCATAAATTGATGGGATTAGTAAAAGTAATCAAGATAATAAGTTCACGCCTAACATGTTACACTCTAACTAGCTATCGATTTCGTAACGGATATTTCGTAAGATTTCATTAATACGGATTATAATTTGGCCTTGCCTATCGAAATAGAACACAATAAATCATCAGCGTATAGTTAACATGCATTTACTGTATGAGGACATCCTATGATAATAATTATCATCGTATTCTTACTCCTTTCTTAATTCGCGAACTTGAAGTTCATAATCTTGGTCTGGATGATCAATGACATCTTGTTTAGCGCATTGCAGCTTGGTAGTCTAAAATCAGATTTTAAATCATTTATGCATTGAAATTGTTAGATTAATTACTACTTTTATTATCTTTTATTATGGTGTTAACAACATTACTGCGATGGTGTTGCACACTCATAAAAGGAGTATAATGTTAATCTGACCAATTGAAGTTTATCTTTCTCGCCAGCTTGTATATCTTTCATTAGTTCTGCAACAGCTTTGGTCTTTTCATTTATTTCTAATTTAGCAATGATAGCAAGGATTTGTTTGGAAATGGATGCAAATTGTTCAGTAATTTTTGCGACATGTTGTCGATAAGTTTGAAAATCATAGTCTGGAGCCGTTTGTAAATAGGTTTTATGGGCACTGTAAAAACGTACATAAAATTTAATTTCTGAGAAACAAATATGTACACGTACTCAGTTATTTGAGCTCGTCTAACAACAAACATAAATATAAAATCCTAGTCTATAATTTCCCGTAAACTTCACTATTTTTAATATAAGTTATCCACTCTACAGAATTTAATTGGTAAGTACTTCAGCAAGATAGACAACAGCTTGGGTAGACTTTACCTTTCAAGTGTGCTGTAGGCAATAGCTCTATTTTGCTGGAGTTCCAAAAATTGATTTACGAGAGCTTCACAACTTTCACTTGCCTAAGAATTTAAAAAGAAAACTAAGTATGTAAGAATAGATGTCGATTATGATGTGTGTACTAAATTCTACCGTTATAAATCTAAAGCTCAATTTCTACCCTACAGCACTTGTGTGCTACGTGAATTGCGGCTTGATTCGACTTATGTTATTTGCCCCGCTTATATAGCCTCTAACATGCAGTGAGCAGGTTCTCGCATTGTGTGCAAATATCCTAAACTATAAAAATCACTCCGTATTGATGTACGTAAAGTTGGCTAAAAATACGATGAGTTTATCCTGATAAGCAGTCGCTTACGATTCAGTATGAAATTAATAAAACGGATGAACAGGTATTACGACAATTTTTATCTACTATGAGCTATCAACAACAAAAATGCTCCAAAACTCTTGAGAAAGAGCTGGAATCAGAAACCCAAATTTTCATCTATAGGTGAGTGATGATAAGCTGTGAATCACAGAGTACACTGTATTGATCGGCGTAAACTATACATATACTATGAACACCGCGAGTTTATCTCTATCCATTATTTATTGATATTCCATGCAAAATATAAAAATAGATGAATATTATAGAAATTTTAGCGCTCCTTGAGCGATTAATGATGTACACTAGTGCCGCGCTTTTAAGATAGGCTGAGTGTGATGAGCATCATGAACTAAATCAATCGTCGCTTGTGGCGTAAAATACGTCCATGCTATGCATGCTAAGACCTTATCCCGATCAATTATTTAATATATTTCATGCAAAATACGAAAGTAGATGGATATTATAGAGATTTTAACCCTCCATGAGCGATTAATGATGTAATACTAGGAATAATATGCGTTTAAAATAGGTTGAGTATGAAGAGCTTAATGAATCGTTGCTTGCAACCAGTTCTCCATTACTAGAGCTGATACAGTTAGAAAATATCGGAGCGTAGCCACACCAAACGAGTTTTCAAAGCACAAGTCATGGAAGTAACCCCTTAACAATCACGATGATGGCTGGAATGGAATTACGACTAGCTTATTAGGTAATAAATCATTGGAACTAACCATAGCTAATTTTCATCTGCTATTAACCGAAGAGGACAGGGTCAGGTCTGGAAGGAAATGTTGTATCTTGCAGGCGAACTCTTTCTGTTCATGGTCATTAGCTCACCATACTGTACAGTGTACTGTACAGTACAGTATGATGATGTAAAAGAGACCGACCAAGTTCAGTATTGTACTACATCACAATACATACTGAACTGCATTCGACACCGTACAGTATGTACTGTACAGCGAAATTCGGCCACTGACCTCCACTAGTGATTGCAGTGGTATAAAATAAAATAAATAAAATTTTAAATTTTATTTCATTTTTCTCCAGTATAAATTAATGTACCATAAATATAACGATTATTCAATAGAAGCTGCTGTCTACAGCTTGGCCTACGACTTGACTCCAAAAATTAGCAATAATATGCCCTCTACCCGGTGGACCAGGAGTAGTTATGCCATAGTAAGCCCTATTAACATAACACAGTTAAGCCAATGTGGCAATCGAACTGACTAGGTCTTTGCATTTACTGTAGTAAGAAGAAACCGTCTAACGGTTAAAGTATACATCTCCAGTCTTATGGAATCCGTGTCTGAACTGTATCATTAGTCGGAATTACTATGGCATAGTCAAAGCTTCTATGTCGGGTCCTAACAGAATATGATTGTACATTATATCATACTGTAAACGAAGTATCTTATCCGAGTAAGGATTTGAGTAATAAGGTTTATTTAGAGTCTATGCTGAGTAATAGATAGTATACAATGTTGTAGATCTCCAGATTCAGGACTTACTTTTAGAAAACTAGCGAATTTTCTTACATACTCTACTAGTTTACATCGCGAGGATCGTAAACAACAACAATCGTAGCCGATCTTAATTCTAGAATATAATAACACTAAGTTACTTCTTTACACACTGTACAGTATACTACTTATGCGAGTGTTGTACCAGATCTTGAAATTTTTTTGTAGAAGGGATACAATGAATTTCATGTCTTTCGTTATGATGAAGTACATAGATTTTCGTAATGGCAGATTTTAAAGATGAAAGTCATACTGTATTAGTATAAGCATCTCCTTGCACTATATATAATGATACAAATAAATAGACTTGCAAGGGTTGGACAATAATTCCGGAATTGGATAACTTCAAGATTTATCCATAAATTATAATGCGTAATCAGTTCATTAATACCCTTACACAACGGTGTATGTGCAACCGTGTATCCTAGAACCACCGTAATGTACTGTAGTCTAGAAGTGCTGCAAAAGAGAATATTACAGTCTCTGCAGGCAGCAACACAGGCACCAAAAATGGCGTGGATGAGTTTAGATTGGATGAAATCTATTCCTACCACACCGTCATAGAATAGAAAATACTATACTGTAATATTGCATCTCCTTAACCAAAAATAGAATCAGCTGACCTGATCGAGCATGACATAAGCAGTCTTATTGATCGACTCTTGTGCAATATTTTATAGTTTTGAAATAGTCAACAAAGGACCCTATACGAGCATTAGTCTACAGTAAGGAGGACAGTAGCATCTTTCTTGACAAGAAATTTAAATTTAATCGAGCGAATTGGATCCGTCATGAATGCTACAGTACACTTTATATAAATAGGATAACGGGCTACCAGATATCTCGCATGAGCAGTACTAATAACATCTCATGCAGTCCAAATACTAATGATATATCACTAAACGGCTGATATACTGTAAGTGAGAGCCGTACTATCGCATCAGCTATTTTGACCAAGAGAGTAAAGATATAGCTGAAGTCGTGAAATCGGCCATCAATGGTGCAACATAAATAGGAGAACGCGTATAAACATACCCTATACACACAAAATGGATAACTAGCAAAAGGTACAATGTACAGTATAATTACGGTAATGATGGCGTATCCGATTGACTTGTTATATCGACTGTATCGCATCACTAAATTAAATTAACATTCAAAATGAAGAGTTTGAACATATGTGCTAAGTGATCTCTTCTATAGCGGAAAAAAATAGATTGAAATCCATGGCTTTGTATTCCGATCATCATCCAAACTGCACGAGTCTTATTATTAACATCATTTGGCCAATGCCAAATACAGTAGTTATACAATCCTGTTAAGTAAGTTGAATCATACACGTGCTGTATTTCTTTTGCACAACTTTACCACCATCAACGTATGACCGGCTTCAGTTTACGTTAGAACCAGTCTAAATTCTGGTTTAATGAACAACATTGCATTTGAGTAAGCCTACGATGGCTTGAATAATGACAATTAATTAATCATCGTATTCGTTGTCAGACGGTAACACCATGAATAAAATGGTATAACAGTAATGAACATACTCGCACAACCTACGCTATTGACTATGAAAAAGAATAGCAGATGTGAGTAAGTTATTTTCTGACTAAGGTAAATAGTAGGCACAGTAACAGCCGGGATAACATACGTTTAATCAATGACTTCTTTAATATATCTATTCAACATATCAACTTAAATATCAACTACGGTATCTTGATTGAAAGATAAGCATCACCTTGGACGTAGAGACTATACTACCATCACTGACTACCAGGTTTATCTAACTATTTCATAATAATAAATTTTTATGAAATATCTCTTACCAGTCATCCAAAGTTGAAGCTTACATATTTTTAATAATATTATGTATGCACAGACGTAAGCTGATTATTGCGTTATAAAGAGAATCAATTAGTTTTTTAAATCAAATTTACTGTTACCTTTATTTCTTACTACTCCATAACTCACTTGTAAATACTAGGCGATATTGGAATTTTCTGTTAGTGTTTAAAATCACGACTTAAATGAAAGCTAATATAGCTTCCTATTTCAGTCATAACATTTAATTTAAGAGACTAGCACCGGGGCATTTGTGTGACTTTGGATTTAACTATATATAAGCTTGATAATTGATTTTTAACCTCAGTTTCTTTGGGACTAACGTAGAGTACACCGGTACTAACGTACCATATCTAGTAATAAATAAAATCCTTAACCTAAATCGCTATCGTCTGATTCTATTCAAGTATTGGAATAGGTTATTTTCTTTATAGAATTTCTCTTGAAGATAGTCGGAGATTAAGTAGAGTAGATAGACCAGTTTAGGCCTGATCACGAAAGCTGTTTTGTGAGACTACGTTACTTTGAGAACTCTTACTTGCAGAGTAGAGTCGTTTAACGAAATAATTCTTCATATCACTTGTATACATTATCATAAGACATTTCTTGAAATTTTTAAATGTCTACTTAAATTCATTTCAATTTAAATCACGCGTACAAATATCATTGGCTAGATGTTGAATTAATTCGATCTATACTCGCGGTATTCAAAAAAATTTATAACCAACGCTAAAGGAGACAAGATGATGATCGAACAAGATACTCAAGATAACTTAATAGAGGAGGCGAAACCAATAATCAATGAATCGGATGATGACCGATACGATTTCTATCAGTGTATTAAAGTCTGTAAGTATTTCTACTCTTTATCCATGTCATGTAAAATCTTTGAAATGTCTTCATCAGTAATATTCGCTAACGCAGTAAATCATATTTTTAATCCCAAATTAGTTGATAATGGTTGTGTCTCCTATAAACAGTCCCACTGCTAATACCAATGGCAAGAGAGGCATAAAATCTATATCAGTAGTGTAGTTTCAATTAGTACTCAAACAATTTAGTAGCAGCCTTTTAGAATATATGCCCGTATCAAATCGGAATTTAAAATTTCAGTTTTTTCAGTTACATGCTACAGAAATGACTATTGATGATTAAAATCAAGGAACTTTAAGGTAGTATTTCGTCGATAATGCAGTACTTAAAATTGGAAATGATTAGATATTCATGTCTTACAGTTATTAGCGTAGATTCAAATTTATAATATGATAATCTCTTATTGATTTATGAACAGTTACAGTTATGAATGTGGAGTTATTTTTTCTGATCTGTGGTAGTAATTACATAATCTAATGCAAACATCCTATCTAAAATTGATTAATGCGTACACTATAGTCGTAACGTAGAACAGGATCTTCTCATCTTACATGCAGATATGCAGTTATTTATTCAGATAATTGCACGCCATATTTAATCCACAGAAATATTTATTACATTATTCTTCTTAGCAAATTGCCAATTAAAGCTCTTATAAGAGTCCGTGAAGTTAATATTATTCTGATATAAACGTAAATATTTCGGTGCAACCCCTAGCTCCAAATAATGTCTTTAAAGGTTCCTTGATATTAAGGCATACAACATTCGTTCTGAAATACTTCTAGATGCATATTCACTATGCTGCTTTGTTGGTTCATCTATTGGAGGTAGGACGATTACTTTTCATCTAAATTAAAGTTAAATTGCTGGTATATCTCGATTTATACAGTATTACATTATAAAATATCGGTTGTTACCTGTAGTAAATGCGTATACACTAAATTTAAAATTTCTTCTAATTCTATCCGTATTTGCTAGCCTATCAGGAATAGAATAATTCTTGTTTCTATATCTATGAAGGAATTAATATACATATTACGATTAGCAACTGTAGTCAATTAGCCATAGCTACTATCTTTATCAGTAGGTATTGGCGAATGTACGCGTATTAGTGATAACATGATTATTATTTCATTATCTACGCGAAAATTTTGTATCCTATTACCACTAATAAATATTTATTTTCATAATGAGCTCTTAAATAATGCAACACAAGTTGAAATTTAAATTTCACCAAAATACATCTGTAGTACATTACCGCATGGATGTTAATTTTGGTATATATTAAGATTTCTAAACTTCTCTACACCTATGTGTTTATATATTGTACAAACTCATCTATTAAGTGAGCATCAATGTTATTAGAGAACTTACCTATACGAAGCTTAATACGCGTGTCACGCGTAATTTAATGCAATATAGTTCAATTATCTTAGTTCTATCTGTATCAGCATTGACCGCTTATAGTACGATATAGAGAAGAAGCCAGAGTATAAAATTATTACACGTTTGTTAAGGACACTGTTTAAATTTGTAATTAAAGCTTTACCAACACTTTTATCGCGCTCTGGACCATTTCCACTGATGGTGAATATTATTATTGCCACGATAATGCAGGTACAAATATATGATACCTTCAACTTCGATGCTTTTTATCGAAGAGCAAATATCCAAACTTAAAAGTCTATATCCATCCATAATTAAAGAACTTTCCCGTATTATATAATTTTTGAAATAAATATTCTTGCATTCACATTGATAGATATACAGTAGTAATGGCCTATTATACTTTAAATTTGTTCCTTTAATTAATACGATATCCATCACATTTTGTGCCTTTCTTAAATCGATATTAAAAGACTACTGGCATATGAAACTTTTAAACTTATTATGTTATAATAGTATACATTCAAGTTTATCTTACGTACATCTCAGGGAACTCTGGTATTCATTTTTACAACGATACTTCAACAAGCTCGGATTTTATTGCTTGTTCGAGGAATTAAGAAATTACCTAGCAAAGTTGAAACAGGAAAGGTACATAAAATCATTTTCTTGACATTGATCCTTGACTTAATTACTACTAACTAAAAGTAATTTACTACTATTTTCAGTCCAGTATTGGCTACTAAAATATAAATTTTTTGCTGCATCAGAATCACACTGTAGTTCTGTCTAAACTTATTTTTTATCATGAAATAAGGATTAAGATTTGCTAAAACACTTCTGCATTCACTAACTGATTATTAATCGCTCGAAATAGTATAATTTAGATATTTTATGCATATAACCTCTATCTTTCTATCAATGATCACAAATTTAATCCTCCTTAGCTACAATTTGGAATTTTAGCTTGATAAGTCGATATAATCGTACTTCAGCCACCTTTGATATTGCAGTGCTATTCGTAAGCAAATATTGTCCAGTAGCTACACACTACAGGGGGAAGATTAGAAACGAAGTAACATTTGCCATACTATAATGTTCGAATATAAGTATGCAGTATTGTGTTAGGACATCCCATTTGGCTCGATCTTCCCACCTCTAGTTTATTGATGTTATTATGAAGGACGAAAACATATAGTTGGCAATCTACGGGAAAGAATGAGAATAATAACACAACCCGATTAAATAACTCATTACCCCTGGTAACACAACGTATCTTATACTTGCAATTGTCATCTATTGATCACATGCCGGATTTAAAATGCAGCTCTTTCGTAATTCTTCCACATAATTGCTCGTTGTTATAGATTATTACTAATTATAAATTATCCTCGTTAACTATCTACTATAGATGGAGCTAGATGAACTAGATTCATTATCACCCAAAGAAGCCCAAGTTCAGGATGAAATGCAAGACGAAATTCAAATTGCTGACGATAAAATTGCAGCTGATAGTTTTGCCGTTAATATTAATTCCATTGTACATTTATTTCTTCCAATGATTTGTGAAATTATCTATATTTTCTCATTTTACTTTCATTTGTAAGTTTTTTAAAAGATAGAAGTAACATTTCAATTTCTAATACACACACACACTGTAGCAATCCTTCTAATAGTGTCTTAAAACATTCAATTTAGGCGTATAAAATACTTCATAAAATTTTACTTTTGAAGTTTCTCACTATCCTGCCTATTTTGTCATTATTTTCCTTTTAGCTTTGTAGTTTTGATTGGATTAGGATTAGCATCATCAGAAGCTATAGCACAAGTCATTGGTGTTAAGTATGTCCAAAAATTTATTGCTACAATATCTAATACTATCCATCTGAAATTTTTTTCAGATGAGGTCCGTGAAATATACAAATTTTCTATTAAAATAAAATATTGATGTATCTTACACCATTATAGCTATATAAATGTTATTCCATTCAACTTCTGGATCTTGTCCTTCATATTAATGCTCGCTCATGATATGTTTGAGAAATCTCTACCAGTGCTCGCATTTATTAAATATGTTTTGATTATCATTATGGTAAGCCATAATCTGTCGATAAGTACGGTAATACTTATACAAATTTTCATCAAGCTAATCTTAAACTATCATAGGTCGTTATTTATGAATGTATATGTGTACTATATTATTAGTATGGTGAATCAATTCTAATTTTATTTTGTATAGTTATTGTCGAGACATGTATTTATTATGCGTTCTTTGTATATGTGATAATAGAAGATATGATCAGCTATAGCTAAAGAGATATTCTTATTTTCGTGAAATCGATAAAAAATTAGAGTAACTCGAATAGGATTTATTACTACGTATATTTTTACTGTAAACACGATAACTTAAAATGATTTTCTTGTAGAGATATTCAATTTATTGCCACTGAGTATTTCGATATCCTAACTGTAATAATTGCTGCTAATAGATTATTGCCACAGCATGCCTTAGCGTAACAACACCAACAGTTCCTAACAATAATTTTCAATACATCACTTCCTCTTACCTCTATTTAACATTTACTCTAGGTATGTCTTTTTATTTAGCTTAATACGACGGTCTTTATTCTTTATTTATAAATTTTAAGCAACTTTACCATAGTAATACATTAAATTCTTATCATGCGTTATTGAAGTGCATATTAATACACACTTAACCTTCGCCGAAAATAATTAGGTGGTTGGCCAAATTATATGGTAGAGCCATTCACAATGATTCGTATGAAGAAGAAGAAAGAGGTGAAATTTCTGTAAACCTGAATAAAATCTATTTACCACGATTGTAGATATAAAACTATGAAATTGCAATAATTAAATTCAACTAGGCTACACTAACGATTAATTAACATAGGCTATCATCCGATACATTGCTGCTTATTATGCTACTAACAGTCATTTAAATTATCATAGCAGTACTCTTTTGTTTTATACACTAATTTTTGGTAAAATATAACATCAATCGTATACTCCTCAAAGCTATTTCTTACTTTGATCGAAAAAAAACGACTTTATCAAAAAAATCTTTAGATTACCGGATTTTACTGGTCCATCTTCGCGGCAATTATCACCATTTGCATAATACAGTTGTCATGGTAAGCTAAGAAATCAGGTTTTGATCATTTTAGTTAACTAACTGGATTACCGTGTTATATAAATTATGGAAAAGCTGCGTTAATATTTATTGCCAACTACTAGGGCATTTTCGGTACTGTACATTGTGCCTCAACAATGCCAAGATATTTCACCAGTTATGGCCTACCATCTTGGCTATGAGCCCAACAATACAGCAAATTGCAATGTATCCCTGTCTTGGTATGAGATTTTTGAAAATTTTTGCTTCCTACATTTATAAAGTATAAAAGTTGTTATAATTATTACTGCAACTACCCAGTTCATCAACTTTTTGGACTACTGTGTATCTTACCATAACTTTCTAGGGCCCATAAAAATGGAATAATTTCCACAATACCTTTAGCAGAGGTACAACAGCTAAACACGATCCATTCTGCTCGTTTAGCTTTAACAATAGCTACTTCATAGGCACTCAATTAATGTAATATTTATCATCTAGAAGGCAAAAACTCTATAATTTATTAACTAAAGCTTTGATTTATATAGCTGTTGATTCATTACTTGATTAGATTATTCAAACCAATTATCCTCACTTCGATTGGTTATCAGTCTTTAGCGGTGTTACTATGGCTTATGCCTTATGCGTTATTTTTATGGGGGATGCCTTACCTTTATTACACTCTTGTAAGATTTGTAAATCAAGCATAGCATACCAAGATAATTCCTTCATAAATCTGATAGTAACATTTAAATACTATAGTGTTTATAGCCGGATTTTAGTAATTAGTAAACTTAGATCATGTACGATAATTGTGACAAAAATTTATTACAATCCAATTTCAAAATTATATATTACGATACGTATGTAGTATCAGATTAACCGATTTCGAGATAGCTAACTATCAATTTGGTTAATTTTTGCATTTGAATAATGCTTAAACAATAAATGCAAAGTTGGTGGATTAGCTCGACGACTATGTGGCGTTTGGCAAGATGAAACTAGCTGTGATTTTACAAAATTAGATAAAAAGACACGAATAAAAATTACGTAAAAGAACTGCAATTCTGCTTTTATGTTAATAGACGAAGCGTTAACTCAAGGGAGTAATATTCTAATTGCCATACCTGTGATAAATTTTGTGATAATATAGATTAACAAATTGGGCAATCGATCTTGCTGCTTTCATCCTCATCTTCTTGATAGCCTTATTTAATCCAAAGGTAGGTTGTTGATCTTTGATAAAAGTCTATAATTAGATTTATAAACCAAACACTTTCTTATTAACAAGAAGTCATCACAAAAACATCTTACATAGAGGATAACTGACGCATTATAACTAGTATTATTACGCATTTGTGCCGTTACAACTTTTTTAAATTCTGCAATTTGATCAAAATTTTTCAAAAGGCTTTTATAGCGGTAATTAGCTATGGAGCCGCTTTTGCCGATAACATTATGGCCTTACTTGTATCTCTTATGGTTTATCGAGCCGGTGTAAATCCAGCAATGTGAGATTATTTCTATTGGCTAAACCCTATTATTCTCTGATACTAGCAATGTAGAGTGAGGAAATATAAAGTTTTCTGCACCGTTCATTCAAAAATTTTAGTTGTGCTATCGTCACCAGTACCTTACATATGCAAATATTGCTATTGAGTACAGTCATAGAGGCTAATCATATCTATAGTTGATTTCTAATCAACTTATTAACTCTGTCCTTTAGGAATTTCAAGATTCCAATTCCGATGAATAAACCAGCAAAAATTATGACCGTTCTCATGATAATTTATTTCATTTCTGCTGTAGTTTTAGATATTGTTAATGTTGCTATTTATCTATCTAAAAAGTAAATTACCTTAACATGGAGCTGTTAACTCTAGCTATGACAAGTACAGCACTCAAATTAGATGTATAAATCACAATATTACCTTTTAAGCAAATATCCTTAACTCTAAATTACAGATATTTTTATATAAACTGCTGACTGTATTCTGACATTGTAAACCTTAAATTTGAATTTCCACTCCGTTAGTCTTTTTACGGTGTTTTATTGCTTATTTATACCGAAATAACTTCAAGTAGAAATTGGATAATATGAGGGTTATAATATAATTTATACAGTAACTTTATAGTAATGTATTTTTTCTTTAACATCTGGCTATGCAAAACATAAGCTATTGCTAGTGTGCTTCAGTAACAAAACAACTAGAAAATATTTAGATGTTAATTTTAATGAAAAATTACCTTGCTAGTACGGTATTAGGTTACATCTAAAATAATCGAATAGTGAGATAGAATATCTAAAAATTGATGTTCTTAAAATGATCTATTAGATATTGTAACGGAATTTGTCGTCTTATACATTACATTGTTTATTTATGTACATAAATAATAACTTAATCCTTAAAAGTATAAAAATCTTTTTTAAAATAATTACTTAGTATGTGTTACGAGCTAGGAATAGCCCTAACTTGCAACAAGGATTGAGAAGATAATTTTTACCGTTTACTACTGTTATTTGGAATACCAGGTAATTTGTATACCAAGGCAGATAGGGTTTAACACAGGAAGACCTTCAAGACTTACTAGAAAATCATAATCTAATTTATTGTCGGCGAACTCGCCGTTTATGTAGGTTTCGGACCTAAAAGTGGTTTAGCTACATAAGTCACCTCGTCTATTAGAAATTAACCAAATTAATACCCTAAAGACACTCTATCTATACAGATTAGATACAACCTAATCCTATTAAATTTACTTTAACATTAGTAAAATAATTAATACTTATTAATAATTTAACAGATACATATAAAGCTATCCTACTAAGACATTTCCTCTAAACTTAGGAATTGCACTTTGAACCTTAACAACCTTGGAGATGATAGATATAATTCAGTTTAGCTGGTCGGCAATTACTATTTTAGTCTATGTAATCCTAAATTAAGGATATCAACTTTTAACCTCTAAAATTACAATTAAGGAGACAGCAAAACATTTCTGAGATATAAGCATATATAGAACGTAAAATAGAAATAAAGTATATCTCACGAAGATTACTTTCGTGCCAATACGTCATAATAGCCAGTAGCATGTCGCAAATTCGATTCGATTACTAATATCATATCGGTGTTTACAATAAACTCAGTCCTCGGTTTTGCAAGCTTATATCATGGTATTGCTTATACAAACTTATTGTTCTCTATATCAGATAGCACACGATTTTGGGAATAAATAAATGATACGGAATCCAAGTACAGATTCAACGCATATAATTAGAACATGAGAAAATTGCTATGATTTTCTTCCTTCTGCTCTAACTCTGAAATTAGTTAATAAATTCTGATCGTTCATCAACCTAGTAACACAGTGTTATCTGAATGGGTAGATTGTGATGAAACTGTTGCTAATAATAACAGACAGGTGGTATATCTTTTTGTGTTAATACCAAATTACTCGAAAGTGCCTCGACTGGAGTAAGACCACATGAAAGAAGTAGTTTTAAGTGACTGGGTAAATAGTAGGGGAAAACTATTTCTGACTATTTTTTAAGCGCTATAAGACGAAGAACTTTATTCCAGTTTGTTTCATATAGCAAGGCTATTCTTTAATCTAGCTATACAGACCATCTAAAATTGTTGCCAGTCATACAGATAGATCAAATTATTTATTTACTATCATAAACTACGAATCTCTAAAGTACCCCGGTAGTAACCCTAGATGAATTAAAGGCAGTAGAAAAATAATTCAGAGTTCACTACAAGTACGACATGATTAGGATAATAACATAAGGCACATTACTGAGAATGATTAACAGAAAAGCCTGCTCATCAATCTACCTACAGCTTATTTTCCACAGTGTTGTCAGTAGTTGAAAATATTACGGATAATTATAATAATAATCTGATAATCACACTAGCCCGTATCTTCACTTGTTGCCCATTATTTCCCAAATTAGATCCACATTGTTAATCAAAATAAGAGAAAGAACCAGAACAGATGTTTACGGTTGTGTTTGATCTGTCCTTACATGTATATACACATGGTCGTATGCTTCGTCTATCTACATCCGCAGGTACTTTTGACCTTTGATTCTACATGGCGTAGGAGTTACTAAATTGTATAACAAAGACTACCCATATGGATTGAAACTTATAAGTAGGAACCAACTGCTGATAAAACGGTAGAGAACACTTAAACCTTAAACCTTCGAATTAATTTGTAAGCTATTATTTACACACATGAATAAAGATTTATAAATTTCCTCGCTACTACTAGGTTCTTTGGTATTGACCTATCTTCACAAAATGTATAGTTTATTACATAAACTTTATTCTATCTTTCAGATTTTATCCGCTTCAGACTACAAATCGTTTTCGTATGATCTTACCTGAAATTAAAACCCAGAAGGTGATATATCCTTGGAGAAAAATTTACACAAGTATATGTACATTTATGTAGTGTATTTAGAATATACTGTAACTATATTCTACTCTTAAATATAAACATATTGTATTGCTCTTATATTTAGACAGATCTACAGTCCGCTTAGTCTACATTCATATATAGACTACTGTATTTAGTTATTACGGTACTCGCTGTTTTCTACAATCATCTGCTATTTTGTAACCTGTTATGGTATATGTTGTATCTACTTCCACAATCCTATTCTCTGCATGTGCTCTATCTTTAAAACTATAAATACCGGCGATTTCTACCTCAGAGTTCATTAGCCTCTCAGTTAGTCTTCTAGTTAGTCTCTCACAGTCTAATACTTCTACTCGTTACTCACGACAGCTTGCACGCTGATCTACCGTAACTACCTCACTGTACTTCACATTACTAACCTACAATAAAGCATAACTTTTATAAACCCTTCGTTGCAATAATTGTAAATGGCGACTAAATCTCAATCCTCTGAGATATCGAATCCTCCATCACAATTTACAAATCTATATGCGAGTGAGAACTTGCTTTGATACCTTGATATCCAAATTTTTTTATTAATTTTTACAGTTTTTATTTGACTTCCTTATAGACTACAAGATAAACCTTCTACTAGCCCTACGTCGGTATTCTATCAATTTAATATTTTGTTTAAAAAGCAAAGAGTAGTCTCATTTACTAATGGTGAAATCACATGGTCGCCTTCGCCATTTCTTTGACGAATACTACAAATATTTCATTATCTGTAAGTAAAAAAAGTTTCTAGCTACATATTATTATAAGTGTTTGTATTTAAATAGCGGAAAAAATCCCTAGTATTGACTACTTGCACGATATCTAACAGTCTATGTTCCAAATTACATATTAATTATACAGCAATTTGAATATTCGTTTTAAATTAGTCTTCGAAATTTCTAGAGCTTACAATATTACGGATATATGAAAAGATTATCTAGGTACCAGCAATTAAATATATCCCTTCTTACTAACAGTTATTTCTGTTTCCCAATCTTTTTTACAAATTGACTTGCCCTGGATAATAATTATTGGCGGCCTTTTTAAAATATACTACTTAACTTGCGCCAACTGATGATACAGATGGATATTATATGAGTGAAAATGTCGTTGGCTCACCAGGAGGTAGGAAGTGTCGATGTCGGAAGAGAATTGCAGACGAGTTTATGCATTCATCTGATAATTATAATTTGTTAACCAACTTTTCATAATATCATCAATATAGCCATACCCGACGTTATTGCTCACTCTGGAATACCACCGTTAATTGTCAGCTTTGCGATTAACGCCATAATGCAAGTATGTGTTAAAAAGAAGGAAACGAAAAAATAAACTTCATAATGGATCATTCTAATAAATAATATTACGCTCCATGCCTAAAAATTGATATGGATACCGTATACCTCTTTAAATGTATGCAATCACGACTATTTAAATTTTAACACTTTTTTTTAATTATTGGCTAGGGTTCACTGCTCTTTGCATTTATGACATTGATACAGCAAGCTCGTATCATTTTATTCGCCAACATCGATATCTATCAATCTAAGGTAAGATGGCAAATTTATAAATACGAGTAATGCTGCGCGAGTATGTGCCTAAAATCTTTTCGATTGATAGTTTAAACTGCTGAGACTATAGATATAAAAGACGCTAATATATCTTACGGATCGAATTAAAACAGGGAAAAAATAATGATGAAGAATTACCTATGCTTCCACCCATAAGCTTACAAGAAATTGATGAGAAAAATGAAGAAGATCAGTCAGCAGTAAATTGTAGCTCAATTGGTGGTATATTTCTACCCACTATTGGCCAGTATATGTTCAGCATTCTCGTCGTATTTATTCTGTAAGTTTGCCTGTCTAATCTTCGAAGTATGACTTACAGATCGGATTTGGTCCGAGTTTAATTTTCCTATTAAAGATTTTTGTTAAACCAATTCCTTGTTGCTGTCAATTTTTGGCCTTGGCTCATTAAACTGCTAATTTGTAACGCTACTGCAATACGATAGAAGTATATACAATTATTGTATCTAGAATGTTGCTTGAAATGGCATATATCAATATCTTGTGATATTATTTCATATGTAATTTACAAGTGAGCTAATTACCTTAACATTTTAGTGATACCAACAGCTGAATTACGTAACTCTTTCTCACCTGTATACACCCCAGTCGTAGAATCGGTGATTTCTTAATCTAGCCATTGCCGGAATAATGATTGCGCTGAAAGTGGTACTAATTGCCATTAATAAATAACTTATTAAGCTACTGCTGTAAAATGCATACCATTGTGATGGTAGTTTGTAATTATTAATTGGCTTATCGCCATCCATTTCGATCTATGTAGACAATTGGTCATATCTAAAGCTAATTTATTCGCTACATAATGCAGCTAAGAATCCTATTAATCGCCGTTTGCTTATTGAACACAATTGACACCAATCATGGTTATTCTGTTTATTCACAAAATAGTATGTCTCGTCGCTATTATTGCTATTTTGGAACATTTGCCATATATAAACCTTATTATTTCGTAGTTTATGCAGCGAGTATAAAGTTTATATCTATATACCCTTTTACTTTCTTGACATTACTATAACAAATATGAGCTATCATCATTAATTTTTCTTATCAATAGACAACAATTTTAAATAATCGATCTGCTGTAAGCCTCAAAAATTTCCCACTTGATGCAATGGCATTGATACTAATATGCCTTTTATTAATTTAAAGACTGTTGATATTACTACGATTATCATCAGACTTTATGAGATGATGAAGTCATTTACTGACTGAAATCACTAACTACGTTAATTACTTTTTTGCCTATGTTAGCTAGCAATGATGCCTCTCATTTTATTTATTTAAATTTTGATTTTTTCTAGGATGGGTGCCCTTGTTGCTGATACTTTAGGAGCGTCACAGAGTTTAGCATCAGTGATGAAGATCAAGTATACTAAACAAAGTTGAAAGAAAAACTTTAAGAATTATCGTTGTCTATAACGGAAAATAATTTTACATTCTAGGCCAATCTATGTTGTTCCATTCTTTCTTTGGTTATCGGCAATCCTACCAATTATTTTTGTTCGGTTTTTTTATCTATCGCTTCCTATCCTGATTCTTATTAAATATATCTTAGTTATTACCATAGTAAGTAGATATTATAGTGAAGATAACGAAAATTGTGCACCTAATTTTTACAGTTATTTTAAAGACTTGATAATCTATAGGAGATAAAGTAGCGTAAGTTAATAATACTGTTATAAAGTTGTCGATGCCATTCTTTTCTAAGATTATAGGTGCTCTATGCGCTGGAAATAAGATCAACATCGAGCCGCATACAGACTGGAAATATATTGGCTCTCCAATGCTCTTTATAACCTGCACTTTAGGTTAGCAAACTATTACATTTTTATTTCTCACTAAGGATGTTAAGATCCAGACAGACTCTTAGCCTAACTTCTAAATAATATAATTGTAGTTTGAAATAATATTAATAATACATTACTGAATTGTATTAACTCCAAAAGTAGTTTTCAGGTAGGATTTAGTAACCTGCATAATTAGATATTTAACTGGGCAAATAATAGTAGTGTGTATTTACCATTCATATCATTCAATTGACAGGAGCATACGAGATTTTGTCACCATTTGTTTTCGTCCATATAAAACTAACAAAGAAAGAGGTATGTGATTATTTAAGCTCCAGGTAGCTTAATACTTGAGACTTAGCACTTTTTGTCAGAAAATAGAAAGATAAATCTGTGCTCTTCTTCATGCCGGAATTTTTCTAATCGATCGATAATCTAAGTAGCAAGTCATTAATAGAAATATTTGCCACAAATCAAAATATTTCCTGGACTGATTAATTCAATACGAAGATGAAACAATTCCTCTAACAGTTCATTCGTGTGCAATTAGAATAATTTCTTCTATTTTGAAATTACTGAATTTAATACATATTTCTTTAATAATTCCATCAAGGTTACTCTTTTTTTCCTTACTGTTGTGGCTGCTATTGTTTCTGTTTGTTTTTTCCAATCATTATGGTATGTCGAATTGTTTCAATGTAACCTATTTATCTAAAATAGTTTATACGAATTTATATTCTAGATAAATTGACCAGGATATCAGCCTGTGTTTATTAGCTTAATATTTCAAAATAAGTTTATTAACGAGTTTTAACATACGTCAGAGCATTTTATTGTGATAGAGGGTTCGAAGAGTCGGTAGCTACGGACTTAATAGCCATTCACAGAAAATATGAAAGGGATTTTAATAAAATTATATAATGTATTATAGATAGTAGCGGAGGTACGATGCGTTAGTTATGGTAGATCAGCGAGTAAGCTGTAGCGTAGTAACTTGAGGAAGTACTACTAGTGCGACTAGTGTAACTGACAAATCTGAGGCAGAAATCATCAGTATTATAGATTAAGAGATAGAACACATGTAAAGAACAGGATTGCAGAATTGGACATGACATTTATCATAAACGGACAGTGTAATAGCAAATGATTGCAGAAAACAGCGAAAACTGTAGGTGCTATAAATAACTAAACATAACGAGCTATATTTGAGTATAGTAGAAATCGACTGTAAAGCTCTCTATACTCGATACAATACAAATTGTATATATTTAAGATTATGCTAAAGGCTACAGTGAATTCTAAATACACTACATTTATAACCAAAAGCCTTTAAAATATTGTACTCTTTCAATTACCAAAAGTAGTAATTGCTTCGTAAAAATTCTGTATTAGACCATAACAAATAATCTACGGTACTGTACATAGGTAAAGGAATGAATCTATGTACAAGACCATGAAGAAACTATTGCCATAATATTTTATTATAAATTGCAGATTATGTTAAGAGGATAATAATATCTGCTGGCGATAAAATATTTAGTAGCAATCATTATTGGTTTGACAACTTTCATTGTAATGCTAGCGCCTATAATGTCTTACCGACAGTTTCTCATATCAATAGTTAACACTTGGTAACTAAAAGCTTTGAAACAGTATTTATTTCTTAAGAATTAATAACATTGATGAGAGGGCACAAATTCATATATAAAGTAGAAACTATAATCTTCGACGAATATATGAAGATTAATCCGTATAAAACTGTGCAAAAACTAATGTTATAACGTTTTATGTCAAATTACCTATTAATTCTTCCAAGTATTAGCATTTACCAATATTAAACATGTAAAATATTACTTTTATAATCTTCCTCATAATATTAGGGCATACGCGGTTTTACGAATAGTTCCTCAAACTTGCCAAGATGTTCCACATTCGTGGGATAGTCAATTTAGCATAGCGGATAATTCAACTCATCCAAATTGTAATATTTCGCTCGCCTGGTAGGTCAATAATATTTAGTTAAGTGATTTTAACCGGCCTATATTAAATTATAGAAAGTTTTAAATTACAGTTTGTGATTGAACGGCATTGATTATATTACTCTAGGGCCCATCGTGAAGGAGTTGTATGCGCAATACCAATGTTACGGGTATGTAAAAGTACTGAAATAGTTGTAATAAAAGTATAAATTTATTTAGAGAGATCCCAGGCATAATACGATCATCAAGCATAGATAAAAAAATATGCGTTGCTCTGGTATAAGATTATTTTTAACTATGGACATAAAAAATAGTATAGCACGGGAGCGATCATGCAAGTATAAGACTATGTATTAAAGAACTATACCCAATTACGCATAGATTTGTTGCTGCGGATGTTTATAAATAGAAGAAGAATTTTAATGTAAGACTATTTTCAGAAAGTCATTCAGGTGGTGATATTGTGTAGGATATCACATTAAAGAAGAATAGTTGTAGCATAAATATTTGGTTATTATATAAAGCCATGCGTATAACCAGTATTTCCAGATACATCAGCAGTAATTGTAAGACAATGTAAATCTATTTTTAAGAGATTCATGAATAGTGCTACTGCTTCAGATATATAATGGTAGTGGAATAGTCTCACCATAAGTATAAGCTAGGGTGTAAATCACTACAACTATGGACATTTAAATATAAGAGAAGAGTCGTAATATTACGCTGCAACTAAGAAATTATGAATAGGAAATTATTGCTGCAAGTACTGCATTTAAATTACTGTATATATTGCAAGACTATTTTTAATGAGTTTTGCCTGTAGTTAATAAATTGCTAAAGGTACTGTATTTGAGGTTATTTTTACGATATCAAACATCGATATCAGATACTCTTTATGGGCTGTGGAAATAACACCATTGCAAGGGGGTATATGAAAATAGTAGAATGATTTTAGCATAGAATTGAGACACTTTCATGAAATTATGTGCATAGTACCAAAATTATGGATATCTAGAAAGAATAATAGAGTCCCTATCTAATTACAGTAACTAATCATTTAAGACTCGGAGCCAAATGATTCTAAATCGGTGATATCAAAGTATTTGAGGCACTAATACATTATTATGCTGTTACTTTTTTCTAGTAAGACTACATTGGAAGATAGAGTTAATTATTTCAGTAAAATTTTATCCTCGAAATAGATACATAAATGCAAATCATACATTTTATTTTATTGAAATTTTTAGATTGTTCGTGCCTACTACCCAGAGTACGACTGGATTGCTGTATTAAGTGCCATTACCTTATTTTTGATGATGACACTAAGTTATATCTGTAATACTTTGACTATGGCCAATGTTAGTAAGTATCAATGTCTGAACATCTTTGCAAAAAGCATTTACTTTGTATTAAATTAAGAAAACATTAGAATTAATATCTGATACTAGTTGCAGTCATGAATATACTCATATACTTATGCACAGCCATTACATTTACCTAACAAATTTACCCTGATATGTCAACACTGATCAAATACAGTTGCAGGCATTATAATGTCTTCGCAAGAAAAGTTATGGGGAAAAATACAATATAAACATGACGAAAATACTACCCAGAGTTATATACGTAAAGAGTAAGTACCGCTATAATATAGTCGAGAAGTTAAATTGGGCAGTGCGATCTAGTAATTCAATATACGATAGCAGTATAGCTAGCGTAGTTAATCTGGAAACATTAGACCTAATTATTGATAAATTGCTGAACTATGGTAACCAAATGATAGAAGACATTTCGTCTTGATGGAAAGAGGACTCTTTGATGATAATAGATCAAAAGTGTTAGAACTTAAAATTTGACAGTCTTTCTATTCAGCGCCATCATTACATTATTAGCAGCTATATAACGATTGATCAATCTTGATAAATTAAAGGTTTAAACTTAACAATGAATAAAAATTGTTTAACTAGTATGTATCATATACAAGTAGTAGCATTCTTGTCATTTCCATATCCATACCTTTGACAGCTGGATACCAATGACATCGTTTTGATTGAACAAAAAATTGAACAACTACTAAAAATTATGGTATTTGAACTTATTAGCATTTATAGTATAACGGGCTACCTTATTATTACCACCTTGATATTTTTAGCAGCCTTTTTCAATCCAAGGGTAAGATAAATTTGGTTTTTGGAATACTTTGTATTGGTAGTTAATTTAAAACTAACCATTATGATAACTATGACTACAAAATAATATTACAGGCATTTATTATCATTCTTCAGTATGGAATGACAACCGCAAATAATATTATTGGAGGAATACTAGTACCAATTATGGTCATTCGATCTTATTTTAGCCTTGCCAGGTTAGATAATGCTATGAGTATATAGTCCAATCAACATATGAACTTATTATTAGGGCTGCGAAACGAAATAAAATTAACTTACTTCAAAGTGGAAAATATTATAAGTATTAAAATCTGTAACGATAAATGAAACACTCATTTATTTGAAATCAGGACGCGCAATGCAATATTTCAGCGTCAATTTTACACGCCAATCCGTGCTGGACTATTTGTAGTATTAATACTTAACTATATGAAACAACAAGTGCAGTTAAGATTGGAATATAAAACGCTAATAAAGTAGCATAGATTTAAATTAATATACATCATTCTATCAATACTGCTTTTAGTAGTAATCTTTATAATGTACAATCAATGAGCCTTTCCAAATATTCTTAAAATTGTTTAGATGCGGTTACTGATTTTATCACGCTAAAATACGACATTATATGCATAAATTAGATACATATTTCGGTTTCTTATTGTATTACATCGGTAGTAACCTTAAGAATTATTCAGATCGAGTCTTATTAAACCATAATTGAACTCACTTACAAAGTTGTTGTAGCTGTTACATTTATATCAGCATACATTTGCTGGTTGATATTAACTACTGGAATTTTCTGTTTCTTTTTGATTGTAGACATTTGGCAATACCAGTGCCTATGAATATAGCTAGTTACATTTTATTCGGAATATCAACACTCTTTTTCTTATCGCAATTAATTTATGCTATTGTAGCACTTGCTAGCTAAACATGCGTAGTGTAGTCTAATTAATTTTAGGTCCATCATATAATCTAGATTTGCATCATCTTAATTTTAATTCTATTTCCGAATGGATGTAATAAATGGAGACACTCCAGATTAATATTACAATCCCAATGTCTTCAACGCATCACCAGTCAATCAATAGCATATAGATAGTCGAGAGTATTACTAATGCTTTACTATTATCATTGAAATTTTTTGCGTAGTATGATTTTAAATTATTTTCTACCTAGTGTAGCTACGGTACTATCATTATGATCATTATCATTCAGAATTGTTAGCATACCAGTAGAAATCGTCGAATAAATTGTGCAGTATTTCTGTTCTTGTTTTGATGAATTTGGCTATTAAAAGATGGAATTAGATTAAAGGCAATCTAATTAGTCATATAATACGGTACACGAGTATTTTCATAGAGCTAACAACAACTATTATTTTGGTGTATTTATATTTCTCGGTAAGCAAGCCAAGAATGGGCTCAGTTTATACTAGAAAATGTAGAAAAATTTCCCTAACACTGTACAGCATATTCTTTAAAATCACCTTTATTGAGTAAAAGGTATGAACTATTTTACAGATACAGCCTGAAGTACTTAATTATTTATTCCAAGATGATGCAGTACTCAAGATCATCTCAGATAATTATAATTACGTACTCGCAGATTCTATTACAGACAATACACGATAACATCTTAGCCTACATCATGCGTACGTAAAATATTAACGTATACTGGTTACATATACCGGCATATACAACTGTCTTTGGGTGAACAATTTGAGAAGATAACTCATAATAGATAATTTAGACTTACAGTATTGTTTGCTCTACAGTATGTCCTTCTATATACAGTATGCATAGTATAAATGTTGTGAATCTCACTCCTACATATTACTTGATAAAATGCAGCAACGGAAAAATAAAATCATGCCTTAAAAGGTAGAGGATGGTGGGCTTAGATTTTGTTTAGTAGAAAGCTTATATATAGTAGATACAGTCATGCCACAAATCATAATTATTGTATAGAAGAAGATATTATTTGTTCTTAATGTATTTTTACTACTTTATTTCATTGTTCATCATACTCATATTTTGATATGTTCTGATATCATATGATATATTTTGATCCTTCATATAAGTATTTATTAATTCTTTTTGCCATGTGTATAATTGTAAAAAGCAAGAATGGAAAGATAGATAGGCTCATATCGTAAATGAAGAAAATCATTATAATGATTTACGAATCAATGTATAACTATATCATCAATTATTTATGAATTATAATCTGATTCTACTGTATTTTTCAGAATTTAATTTATCCATCGCCAATATTAAATGTACATGTCTTATTATATTATTATTCTAGAATTTACAATACAATCGATACATACATACGAATGTAACATAATAGAACATCTATATCTTGCTTCGAGTATGAGAGAGTAAACTATAATGATAAAGGATAGATTAATAATTAAAAGTGAGGAGAAAGGATCGCATATAAATATTTTTGGGTGAGAAAAAACATTTCCATAACTAAGTCATTAATCATACTACCTTGGAATACGATGTTAATCGGTGAAGCAATTAAATTTTTAATACATAATTATTCTGTTAATGCTTTACTATGATGGAATTGAAGTCTAACCGATACATCTTATTTAGAATTCTAAGTACATATGTATGTTGTAGCTAAAGCCGGTAATATGGCTGACCACTTTCATATTAATTCCTACAAATCAATACTTATGTAAAATGGCTATAATTATACGATCATGCAAGGCTAATATAACGACGATACGATTTGTATGGCAAGTATACAAGTTCTAGTCTCGGTAATAAAATGTCCAGGTAGTCATGCACAAAAATAAGACAAAGGTCAATTCCACACCTCATGATGAAGTGATTGATACATTAAAGAGCCGAGGATGTGTTGATGGTATCTTATTTAAGCACAGTAATTCAATTAATTAATGACGTAATGTACGTAAATACTTATAAAATATTATAATCGGATTACTGAATGTCTAACTACGATCCTTAATGGATTTCTAAGTCCATGCATAGCTCCGAATTTTTATTAATTATAATTCAGTTATCCATATGGTTATAACAAACTATCAGTAAGTCTGCCATAGCCATGCTTTACAATAACTTACAGTCCTGGAACTATTCCATTATAGCTTGATAACATGGCTAATCCTTCTGCTTTCTGTGGCGAATATTTCAAATATTTTATCGTCTGTAAGTGCACAATAAGTAACTTTGTTATTCATTTAGATCATCATATTGATATGAAGTTAGAATTAAATAAATCATAATAGAATTTTCTTCAAGAAAATCCTTAAGTGACATAAAGTAGATCCTTTTACCTAAGGTAGAGACAGGCTAGGCTACTTTAATCCCGAATATGTTTTGGCGGAGGTATGTTCTGGTCTACTACACCGACAGTAATAAGCGTTCATATATCGATTGATACTAATATTTCTCGAGAGATCTATTAAGTTAAACTTTGTATACCATTCTAGTGACTATTTCGCAATTATTGATCGCATTTACCCTGTATAGTGCCTCATACGAAGTACAGAATAAAGATGTCAATTTATAGTACTTACTTTTGCTATGACACTGCTACTTATCTATAGCAAATGTAAAATGCGGACTGTATCCAAACAGTTTAAAATAATCCTTGCTGTGATGGAGGGTTCGATATCTCAGAGGATTGAGATTTAGTTGCCATTTACAATTAGTACACCAAAGGTTGTATAAAGTTATACTTTGTTTTAAGTAGTAAAGTAAGTACAGTGAGGTAGTTACGGTAGATCAGCGTGCAAGCTGTCGTGAGTAATGTGTGAAGACTAACCAGGAAACTAACGATTTCTGGGGTGGAAATCGGCGGTATTTGTATTTTAAAGATAGAATACATGCAGAGAATAGCATTGTAGAATTAGATACAACATATACCATAACAGGTCACAACATAACTGATGATTGTTGCAAACAGCGAGTACTGTAATAACTAAATGCAGTAGCCTATATATGAATGTGAAGTAAGCGGGCTGTAGATATGTCTAAGTATAAGAGCAATACAACATGTCTATATTTAAGAGTAGAATATAGTTACAGTATATTCTAAATACACTACACTTGCATATGTTGGGTTTGATTGCAACCTTTTATTTACACTAGATGGCTTTTACTTATGCCTATACATCTCGTCTTCGCCGGGAGGTAAATATATTGGGAAAGATTGATAAATTATCGGAAAGTCCAAGTCTTGCCAAGTCTACATAATAGCAAGTGATAATTAAAGGAGTGCTCAAATATTCCTACGACAGCTTCAAATAATTATAATTTGCCTTTAGTAGCATGCTACTCAATTTATAACTTCGCTATTTCGAACAACCCAAAATTTGTAGCTAATTTTTTTTTAGTTCTAATAGAAATTTCGGTATCATAACTATTTTATTATAGCGATTTCAGCTGATTAAAGTAGTAATCTACATTAAATTTGTACTAGTAATACGAAATAAAGCATCATGTGAAGTAGAATAGTCGCTGGGCTAATTAAAGTAATTATAGATGATTACCGGTGTGATGAAACGTTGTACTTCTACTATTAGTACTAGGTACATTAGATACATCTATTTAATCTTAACACATCTTATAAAAACCAATAGTAACGATATTTAACTTTGACGATATCGAATACGATCTTTAAGAAGGCTCTCAATAGTGCATACTTTGCTATCATCTATCTAAAGAGGTCTTATCATTTATTAATATCGATTTGCCTATTAAAAACTTAGCATTAATTTAGACCGCATCTAGTTGCCTAGATAGCATCGCTATATTAGAACTATCACGATATGCTATATGAAGCGGATGCTAATGAAATTAGTACCGTGCGATAATTTCAATAATCAAAACTTGCATGATCGATGTAGCTTTGCCTTCTGTTGTTGATCTTTCTGGATTACCACCACTCATTGTGAGCTTCTGCTTAAACATTGTTCTCCAAGTAAGATCGCTAGAATATTGTAAAATCTTACATTATTGTATTTTATGATTAAGAAGTACGCTAGTCCATATGCTAACTGATCACGTTAACTATCTACATTGGTTATTTTTATTGAATTTCTTATACAAACAGAGTTCTATCATTTATGCTTACACTACATTAATGCAGCAAGCTCGAATCATTATTTTTTCCAGCCTAGATACTAATCACTTACAGGTAGGCATAGGCTACTAAATTTTGTCATTTCTATCACGAAAGCGTGCTATACTCTTTTTAAATACTCTTAATTGTATGCTGTGAATTAGCATAAGCACAGTACTCATATAGTAAATATTCTAACTCTATCAATCAAGGATAGTGATAAGGAAGACGAAAATTCTCCAATACTAGCGCCGATCAGCTTTGAGGAAATTGATAAAAAAAATCAAGCCAATAAAGTTCTTGTTACTTCTAGTGCAATTGGTGGTATTTTTTTACCAATTTTCGGTCAAATCATTTTTAATCTCTTCGTTATTCTGCTCTTGTTAGTTTCAAACCTATAGTTTATCAAGCTACTTAACTTTATAAAACTACATGAACTAGATTACCTTTTTATTGCGCACTCTATATTGTGCATTTTAGTGAATAAAAAATAAACGATTTTTATGATATAGAGTTATTTATTACCTTTACGAAGGACGAATATAGATATTTCTATGTCTAGAGTAGTTGAATTTAATATATTTTTTTCAGTATGCCACCTATGATTTCGGCTGCATTAGGAGGTTCTCAAAGCTTTGCAGCTTTGATTGGAGTCAAGTAATACTATTGTATAAATATTCTTTACTTTTGAGTAAAATTTAATTATAATTTCAATATTTTCCTCTATAGCTACAACTACATTATCGGTCCATATGTATGGATTTTTGCTATTCTATCTATGATTGCCCATCGTGTACTACATTACTCTATACCAATTATGGCAGGATTGAAATATGTCTTATTGTTAACAATTGTAAGTTGTGTTCAAATTAATGTTGGGCAATTTTTTAAATGGATAAATATTGAATAAGATACCTACAAATTATTTAAGCATTTTCTTGAATTAAATTTTATTAGAGTGATGCTTTGTTTCTTATAACGTATATTTACGGATAATGAATGTTATGAAATTTTTAAAAACTAGATTATCGGATGTCTATGTATTGGGAATAAAGCTGATATTGTAGCACATACTAATTGGGATTATATAGCCTCTCCTCTGTTATTTTCAACATTTACAATAGGCAAGTGCATGAGGTTACTTTCCTAATTCAACTGCTAATGAAAAATAACCTACTGTATATTCAAGATATAGACATTTTATCGATCATTTTAGTATAAAAGTAAGATTCACTTTATTGCTGTTATCATTTTTTTAACCTAGGTCATACATGTATATTGATTTTATAGTATCAATTTATTGATTCATGTTTTAAATTTTATTTAAATGCAGGGGGTTTCGAAATTATGGCTCCTACTATGTTTGCAAGTATTAATCTAAAAAAACGAGAGGTAAGAAATTGTACGGGGTAAATGACAATGTATTTATCGGAAAATTGGACTAGTTATAGTAGTAACGACATAGAAAAATAATAATACATTTGTCGGTAAATTGGGCTAATTAGGGCAGTTACGATGTAGAAAATAATTATGATGTTAGCTATAAAGAAATTACACTAATTTATAATTTTATAGTGTACTTTGCATGCAATCGATGTATGATTGCGTTCCAGTTACCGTTTTTGAATATATTTGATTCAATATTATAAAAACATCCTCAACAGTGATGAATACTAATGGATTACATAACCTAGTAAATGTAGACGGAACTAGGTAGAGAATTATTTTATTCCATTTTCTGACTTTTAATTAAAAATCATTTAAATAATATAGATTATTTTGTTCCTGGTCGCTATAATAAGTGCTATAATTACCATTGCATTTATTCAAGCTCTGTGGTAAGTATAATACTATGTAATTCATTTTAGCTATAACATGTGTATCTATATAGATTTTTAGATAAAACATATGATAAATAAGGTATTTCATTTACTATAAGCGGTATCAATTACTACTATAAAATTATCATAATTAGTTGCCTTTTTACCTTATATGATTTACTTATATCCGTACTTCGGAGAAATTGAAAGTTTCCTTCTTTACACGGTGATTTCATCTGCAGGACAGCCGCAGTTTTAAGAATAGTACCGCAGACATGCCAAGATATCCCATATTCATGGCATGATCAATTTGGAATTGTAAATGACACCGATAGTCCTATCAGGTGTAATATTTCGCTTGAATGGTATGAGCCTAACTATTTTACTTTGCTTTAATATAATTTATATATAGTATTAACATCCAGAAGTAAATATGTCGTTATAAGATATGGAAAATTGTGAAACTGTTTATTATGACTTATTCGAATATGTACGAGTGTGTGCGTATAGTTTGGATATTAATGGAAAATAAATTTCATACACATAATAGCGACAAAAGATACTGCATACTGTTTTTGGTATAGTATAAAGCTAACATTTTATGCGATACTGATTAGTTGATTACCTTGGTTAATTTAGGGCGAAAAGGCATGGAGTTCTATCCATAATACCCATGATGAAAGTAATTTTAATTAAATACAAATTATTGACTGTAGTATATATGATAGCATCAGAGAAAGCTGTTAATGTTCGATGTTATTGAATTATACTATCTAATTACTATTATAGCTAATAGGTCAACCTATTCATTTTTTTAATTCTAATACTAACATAGATCATTAAAAGCCGTTATCCGGAATATAACTGGATTGCATCTTTCTCCGCTGGAACTTTATTCTACATGATGTCAATCAATTTTATTTGCAACGCATTGGTATTAGCGAATAACAGTTAGTTTTTTAGACTATGACCATCGATGGCCGAGGAACTACAATTAATATAAATGCTATTTTTATAAGTCTTAGATATTATTAAGTCTTGTTGGTGTGATATCTATCGGTATGAAACATCGTAGGTGCAGTATTATTAGTTACCGATGCATATCTATATCTTATACAAATTTGACCATGAATGCCTTATAGCATGGTTAAGATTGTATTATATAATGTAATCATATATGTTGATTCCTATTGTTTGTAGATAACATTGTAGATGTTTCTTTACTTACACAGTGTATGCACTATCAATTATACCGATATGTGAACTCATTCACTAAATATTTCTGCGTGATTTGCGAAATTTAAGTATATTTTGTGATTGATTTCAATATAGTAACAGGTGTAATTACCTTTATGCAAAAATTGTTTAATCGTAAGAGACTTGAAGATGCTTCTCGTAAAGTTGATATCGTTAGTACAGAGTAAGTAGTTTACATGATGAGATACAAAATAAGCCGATAATTAAAATGCTTTTTTCCGTAATTTAGCTTCATATTTAATTAATCATTTTATTACATTCAACGTTTTTCAAATAGCCTCTACACTATGATAGGGTATTTCTTGGTAATCGCAATCATATTCTTAATAGCTTTTTTCAATTCTAAGGTATTGTCTCGATTCATATCAAAACTAGTTTGTTTACCATGATTGTAACATTGACTACACTATGTATGCAAGTAGCGAATGTAAAATATTATAAATAATTGAAGAATTACTAAAATTGAAGCCTTACTATAAACAACAAATCTATAAATATATTCATTTGTTAACTTCACGCTATGATAAATTAAATAATACGAATGTTAGTGTTGATTAATTAGATCTGTTTTGCAGCTCTTTCATAACTACACTAATAAATTAAAAATTGTCTTCCACTAAAAAGTAGTTCCGAATTTGATTTAAATAAACTTGAATATTCACTTCAAGATAGATATCAGAATAGAATAATATCGTAATTTTGTAATCATAATTAATACTCGTATTATGCAGAACTATAATATTGAATAATCGATCATAATTTTTTAAGTTATGGTAATCAATCATATCGGTTCTTTAATGCCAGGCATTTATTGTAGTGTTAGCCTATGGAGCTACGTCAGGAAATAACATCATTGGTGGGATTGTCCTTCCAATAATGTTTGTTCGTTCGCATTTCAGCCAAGCAAGGTAATTTGAAGAAATGTTAGCCAAAATATTTTTTAACTGAATCTATTTGCCTTAGCATATATTGATATATACCTATGACATCATGCAATATTAAAATAGCATAAGCTATATCAAGAGACTACGTACAATTGCGGACAATATGATTGCATTACATTACACACTAGATTTAAATGTTATAAATAGACGTAGCTAACCGAGATTACATTTGATTGATTAAAAGACTCAAATTTGCATATTTACAGAGAGTTCTGATGATTAATATTAAATTATTTTATTTTACATTGCAGGCATTTGGAAATTCCTCTACCGTTACATCCTATCGGATACATCCTGTTTGCCATAGCTGCTATTTATCTAAACGTGCAGCTGGTTTATGCTATCATTAAATTGGCGAGTTAACTTTTAACATACTAATATACCAATGAGTAGCCAATTTTATCAGCTGAGTATATTTGGCAGACTTTTGCCTGCGTATACGCGTATGTGCATTTTCAAGATGTAGTCATCCTTGAATTACCTCATACACTCGACAGTATATGTATGGATGTCTTAAATCGTAATAAAAATGATGAATACGTAGCTGTGCAAGTAAGTGTGCATAAAGGGCGCATCTTAGTCTACTACTAAAAGCACAAATTTACTGTTAATAGTCAATATTAAGGTCTAAACTGCATCCATTTTGCAGTATGTATTTAGAACATGATCGGTGCCACTGAATTAGTAATTCACTTGTAGAAATGGAGACCAACGTTATGAAGAAGTACCTAATAGCGTCATTAGGGAAGATGTTATTTATTGACCCGTGGCACCCCTTTCAAGTTTGTGGTATTGCATATTGCACACATACGAGCATACTACCAATCTGAAGTATAGGTTTAACAGAAAATGATTATAATACGGTTTCAAAGTGATTGATCAGTATGATTGGGGACATTCTTCAAGTCATAGGCTTGCATTGTGCAAATAATGTTGTTACGAGAGGAGAATTATTAAGGAGGACGAAGAAGACTTATGCTTTGTTTAAGCTAAAAGTTTATATGTATATGTCACAAATCCCACTTGTGATTTGGTTATGTCAGGTGCTATAGTAATTTTGTATGTCTTCCACTAACTTGGAAATCTTCTTCTAAGGGAAAACCAACTCTTTCCTCACAGTCACACAACTACTCAGGTTTCTTTCAAACCACTAGCACTTTTTATTTGGCCATCTGATTTCTAGTCTCTACTAGTTTGTCCTAGCCCGGAGCGACTACTACTATTGTGCCAATCAACGAGCCTGAGCTCAGCACCAATATGAGTAATTAATTGTTGGAGTAGTGCGCTCCCATAAGCTAATCCTATATTAAACGATATTATATCTAGCTACATATAATTCAATCTTTGTTGATTGCTCCATTTATAATAATTGTAAACAACAAGTACTAGTGCCCCATGGTTGTCTACCGAAATGGTAAACAACCGGGTTAATTAATTATTATTGCCTAATTTACGGAGCTACACTTCGTAACAGTATAGTGTTCCTATTTTCCTTATTCAGAATCTATTCATGCAAGTTATGAGCTTAGATTAACTAGAAGGAGTCTTATCTTTTGCATTATATAATAAAGGAGTAATAAACATATCATTTTTTATATTTTCATATCGAAATAATTTACCTTATTCAATATAAGGATACGAATACACTATACAATGGTTTACCTTCAACTCTTAACAAGTAAATCTAGATACACTGCAACTTCTGCAATACCTTGTAAGACAGTGTAATATTGTATTCTAAGTTCATGATATATTTAGTCATGTCTACCGTAGCTATTGTGTTCAACGTGTGATAGATATTCCGTTGGAGGCTTAAGTATTCAGTATAGCTAGCTTAGTAACTGTATCCTTTTGAAGAGGAGTGCTATAGTGCTCACACTAGAGCTTCACCAGAAAGGTGTAAACTATCCTGCATTTGAGATGGTAATACTGGAGTGTGTAATAATTTGCTAAGATTGTTCACGCGGAAAAGTATATAAGCGAGTAGTTTAGTGTAGTAAAATAGTTCATTCTCGTTGGAGGTCCTCCGTTGATCGATTCCATTGTATCTTTGTAAACGAGGTTTTGTTCAATAAATCTTAATTTTCTGAAGGTTTCAAGATTCTTGATCTATCAATCTCACATATCTATTTCATAATAAACCATAACATATAATTAATAAGTTATCTGCGATATCAAAGTTAGCGTTAACACAGATTTATTACGGCCTACGTTGCCTAAATCATATTGGAGTTAAGTGGAGAAAGTATTGTTGCTCACAGTGTTTCAGTGATAACTGTATCCTTTTGAAGAGGAGTGCTATAGTGTTCACACTAGAGCTTCGCCAGAAAGGTGTAAACTATCCTGCATTTGAGATGGTAATACTGAAGTGTGTAGTAAGTAAGGTGCTAAGATCATTCTCGCGGAAAAGTATATAAGCGAGTAGTTTAGTATAGTAAAATAGTTCTTTCTCGTTGGAGGTCCTCCGTTGATCGATTCCATTGTATCTTTGTAAACGAGATTTTGTTCAATAAATCTTAAACCATAATATATAATTAATAAGTTATCTGCGATATATCATAGTTAACGTTAACACAGATTTATCACGGCCTACGTTGCCTAAATCATATTGGAGTTAAGTGGAGAAAGTATTGTTGCTCTCAGTGATATTGTATAAAGCTGTTTTGCGGACTCGAGTACAGTGTGTCTACTAATTGTGAGCCTTATAGAAGGGCGCTTCTTAGGCTTTATAGTTGTAATACTCTATTCGATCGATTAAAAGCTACGTAGTTCGTAATCTGTACAAGCAACTCAAAGTAAGTGCTTTACGTTAGACTAGTAAACTTGTTAGGAAGGAGTCTAGAACACCAATACATAAAAAGGAAATATCCCATTTATAACCATATTACTATATGCGATACATGGAAAGTATTTCTTCTTGAAAGTAGGTCGGCAAATGCAAATATCTAACCACCTACAAGTGTCAAGGAGGGGAAAGGAAAATTGCAGTATGCAGAGCTAGATTATTTTCTGGTCATTCTACTATATTCTAGCACAGAAACCGTGATATGGTATAAAGCTGTTTTGTGGACTCGAGTACAGTGTGTCTACTAATGATGAGCCTTTTAGAAGGGTCTTTATAGTTGTAATATTCTATTCTTATTCCATCTTTCGATAGATTAAAAGCTACTTAGTACGTAATCTGTACAAACAACTCAAAGTAAGGGCAATACATTAGACGAGTAAACTTGTCAGGAAGGAGTCTAGGACAGCATTGCATAGAAGGAAATATCTTATTTATAACCATATTACTATATGCGATCTATGGAAAGTATTTCTTCTCGAAAGTAGGTCGGCAAATGCAAATTTCTGACCACCTACAAGTGGCAAGGAGGAGAAAGGTAAAATTGCAGCATGCAGAGCCAAATTATTTTCTGGTCATTCTACTATACTCTACCACAGAAACCGTACACCATACTGTACAAAAGTAACGTAGCCATTGCTTTGGATCCTTAGGATGGCCTTATGTAGGATAGTAGAGTGTACGATGGCAGGCATACCATACAGTTGAAATGACCAGCGAAACACTCGTCTTCATGGTGTTACTCCGATCGTATGCCATAAAACTCCATACAGCCTTACTGGCTCTCTCTGGTCAGACTATATTATAGTCATTCATACGAGGTTACAACTTCTATTCCATACAGTGGATAGAGCAGCGATCATGGACTCCGGATGGACTTCGTCACTTAGGTCAGAGGATATCGAGTTGTCCTTGGATACATTTTCCATTTCGTGCACAGTCGTTGGAAAGGCAGGCGTAATCTCTCCTAAAACTATTGCAATTGATTCGTATTGGCTTTATTAGAGGTAAGTTTAATGCTATTAAAGCAATATTAATGATAAATTGTTGGTTGTTAGCAGAGGATAAAGTGGATTTGGATTACAAATCAACGTGACTTCAAACTACTCTGCTGTATGATATGGCGTTCTTCTTGCAGGTTTTCTAGTCATAAAATGTTGGCTGGTGATGATTGTAGTGACTTTAAATTAACTGTCAATCAAGATTATGCTCGCAAATATGAAGTTCGAAAGCGTAAAGAGGAATTATCACGGTGTAAGTTACTCATATTACAGTACGTAGGTATGCATACAGAATGTGTGACACAGCATTTTATGAATTGGGCGAAGCTCTGATTTCATATCTTGACAATCCAACATCAAATAGTACCTGTTTTACGCTGGATTCCTTACAGTTTTCACCGATTCTGCTAGTAATAATGACAGTAATAAAATACATAGACGTAGAGAGTCATTTCTAGCTCTGTCATGATACTCAGACTCTGTCAGGAGAAATTGAAGTCATTTATATAGTATACAATCAATATAATTAATAGGATCTCTTATTCTATGATGATGCTCCAAGATGATAGGATCACATTAACGATAATACGAGTATGAACGGTAAGAGGTAGGTATGAAAACATACAATACAGTAGTACGCATAATGCGGATAAAAGAAGATATTACTTTTGCAGAAGTATTGCAGGTAAAAGTTTTCCATTTCCTCTTTACACACCTAAAGTAGGAATATCATCATGATAGCGACAACAATTACTGAGTACACCTATAGCTTATTTTATCATCGTATAATAAAGAATCTATACCATAATATCATTAATTCCTACTGACAAAAGGTGAAATATTTCCACACAATCATTAGTATAATCTCCCACATTTTTGAATACTTCCACACTCCAATTACATGAGATAGTAAGCTATCCTAATAACATAATCGTGATATATAGGGAGGGTTGCTATCATGGAAGGATACTCCTTCTGTGCTTTGTAAGCGAAAATGGAAAATAACTTTTCAATAGTATGCTATGACAAGTGAATCCCTCGTTTTATGTTTATGTTTCAACACCCGTATTTTGGTACATAGATAACAATCTATCGTAAGCTGAATAGAATGGATAATTACTATATTTACCATGATTCTCTCGTAGGAAAGATCCGATCTTTTCCTTAGCTTGCTAGAAATTATACTACTCCTTAACCTAGCACATTCTTCCATGGAAAGAATTACGTGATAAAGTGAGAATTAATGTTCATAATTGTTCCTACCTCTATCATAATTTCATAATGCACTTATAAAGATAATACGCATCTGTCCTGATAGTATATTATCAAAAAGTATAGTCATTTACGATATGCAATCTCATACTTTGAGCTAATTAGTAATAAAATTTGACCATGTTGTAACGGTTAATGACACTGATTTTATGCAGCATAGTCTTAACCTAAAATGATAAACTCAACTGAACTCTGGGATTAGTTTATTGTGCAGTTCTGTAGGTAATCAATATTCGTTGTCGTAAGCCCTTAAACTCGATAGATTCGTATATAAAACGGTGTTCACGGATAAAGGCGCTTAAATGACTGATATTTTATTGCATTACCGTTATACTGTCAAATGATGATTTTTATACATTTTTATTTGTAGTAAAGGATCAATATAGTGATGTCGAGCTATCAGATGGGTCCGGCAATTCATCATCGGAATCGGAAGATGAAGATGCAAAGGTCTAATCTTTTACACTATAGCAACCTGGACATACTGTATTCTAAATAGACTGCAACAGTAAATGTGTTGAAGTTACAATGATGACTGTATGCTTTACTTATGCTAATCTCTCAAATTGCTCTAGATGGGAGCATATACAATAATATAATTATTAAGCAGAACGTATACAAATATACTGTATAGAGTGCATATCGTTAAGCGGAGGGTGTTATACCGTATAGACTATAAGCTACAGTTGTTTAGGGGTAGAAACAATGATAGCTTTACTATTATTATAAATCTTAATTTCTTTACAGTAGGATACTTTCTCTGTCTGAAATTAAATAACTACAGTGATTAATTTGCACCTTTTCTGTGCAATTTTAACGTAGGCCTTGACGCCAGCGGTTGAACGAGATTTCCTTAAGACCTTATCTTTACTGAAAGCAAATGATCCAAAGATATATCAAAAAGATTCCAAGTTCTATTCTAGTCCAGGTAAATTTTAAAAGTGTATACGGTAGTGTATGGATGACAGGCAGTTAACTTTAGGAAATTCATAAGATCAATTAATGTCATCGATTTATATCAATATCATGTTCCCAGATGAGGATTCATCTAATGATCAAGACGATGTCAAAAAATCGAAGCCGATGCGTTTAAAAGATTATGAAAGAGAAAGACTGCTTAAAAAAGGGGCAAAAAGTGCCGTTGAAAGTGACGACGAAAATAGTGATCCTAAGGTATATAGTGTCTTACTTGATATTTGAATTAATAAACTACTATAATTGTTTAATCGATCAGGATATGAGATACGAACGTTAGTATTACAATCTTCAGTGACACAATTTATCACTGAATAATGCTTCAGAAGGCCTAACTGTTTGGTATTCTTTCTAAAGTAATATCTTTAAATCATTATTGACTTATATTGAAGCGGAGTTCATCGCCTACGTATATGGAGGAACAAGAAGAATTAAAAAGAGGGTAATATTATTACAAAATCTATGATGTTGAAATATGAGGATAAGATTATTTTTATATTCCTAGCCAACTAAATTAATTTTATTTTTACGTAGGATAAAAAATGCTATTACTAACGCTGACGATGAAATTCTAACGATCAGAAAGAAGACTAGTCAAGAATTGGTAACGCTTATTAAAATACTATGAAATATAGCATCTATTATAATTATAATGACATGAAATTTGTACGCGCATGGATGTTATAATTTATTTAATTGGTATCACCCAAAATAATTGTTTTAGAAAGAAGAAGAGAATGCGTATGTACAATGGTTAAAGGGACATGAAATGAATAAAAAGAATAGAGAAATGAGCGAAATGGTATGTCGACATGGCCTAATAATATTATAGTGGCTAGTTTACCACTCTTTGAATCAACGCACAATAAAGAATTGTACTTTAGTGATGAACTTTATGGTATTCCATTGTAATATAGGAGTCTCTCAGAAGATATTGGACAGATCCAGATCTTGATCAGAATGAAAAATTCTTAAGAGATTTTATATTAAATAAAGGCTATATAGAAAAAGACTCTGGTGTTTTACCAACTTACGATGAATTAGTTAATTCTAGCTGTGATGAGGAGGTAAAAGCTTCTATACTTATGAATTCTTATTGAGTGATAAAAGAAGGACTTTCTTTTTTAATTATGGAGGTTGCATGAGTATTAATTGAATTATGTTGTAACTGGTTAAGGACGAGGAAGCTATCGAAAAGCAAGAAGATTTTGAAAGAAAGTATAATTTCAGATTTGAAGAGCCGGATTCTGAACTAGTAAACTTTTTAGGATCAGAAGAAAATTTTGGTTGTTTAACAATAATAATCAAATAAATATATAATTTCTTAACAAGGTTTCATTATGCTTACTAGATCATGAGCTATCCAAGAACCGTTGCAGGGTCTGTAAGGCGAAAAGACAGCAGCAGAATTGAAAAGAGAAAAGTCAGACTTGAAAGGAAGGCTGAGGTTAACACAGTAATTGTACGAAGATGGTAGTGATAACGTTGCCATAACACTCTTATTCTACGTTAATATTGAATTAAAATAGGAAAAAGATCGTAAAATTCAAGATCTGAAACGTTTAAAGAATTTAAAAAAGCAAGAGATTGCTGATAAAATTAAAAAATTAAAAGGTTAATTTTCTAACCTAATTCGAAAACAAACAGTGGGTACATCAAGCTTACAATTATTTTATCCTAATCAGAAATTACCGGAAATGAAACTTTGGGTTTTAAAGAATTTGACCTAGATCACGAATTCGATCCATCGAAATATGATGAAGCAATGCAGGTTTAGTGTAGCAATGACTAATGATTACTACCCTACATAAGTTTTTACAGTCATAATCGATAAGGCTTGGTAATTCTAACTTTGTAGAAAGTTTTCGAAAACTATGATGAAGCGGATGTTGACGAAACGAAGCCGATTTTTAGCGATAGTGACATAGACCAACATGGTATTGTAATAATATGATGTCATTTAGCTGTAACACAGATAAAAGCCTCCGCTGCATATCTGGTAAAGGAAATACTTTAATTTTTTTTATAGAGTGGGATGAATATGGAATATACCGCAATGGTTGGCAATTGCAGTGCATGTGTTGTGTTATGTCTTTGTTAAGTAATAATTATGTGGATGATTGTTTTAATGAAATAACTGTACATTATCTTTTCTCTACTATTTGTAGACGCTAAGGAAGATGAAGGACCTTATTGTGAAGACTCTGAATTTAATGTATTTATATAATTTAGATAAGTTTATCTTCGTTTATATTGTTACCACTATCCGATCAATTTCAGACAAGTAATTGTTGCTGTACTCGTTCCTTTGCATGATGAGATGGATGCTGACTTTGAGCCGAAAAAGCCGGTATCAAAATCATCAAAACACAAGGGTAGCGATGTTTCTAGGGGTAATTGTAACTTGATTAGATAGAGTAGCACCTATTTATTTCAAGACTATGTTTGCAGTGATAATACGGGTTATGTTAACGAGTAGCGTTCTAATTTGTTTTAGAAACAAAAGCCGTAAAACAAGATATCGATGAATATTACAAATTAAATTACGAAGATCTAATAGGTGATATACCCTGTAGATTTAAATATCGTCAAGTACCACGCGAGGATTTTGGACTCTCTGCAGCCGAGGTATTAAAGTGGAATTTCTTTAGTTACAATCAGATATTGATTTTATTAATTAGCAGTATATTATGCTAGAATTAGAAGATTGTTCAATTTATATTTATATATAGATTCTCTTATCAGAAGATAAAGAATTAAATAGCTGGTCCTCTTTGAAGAAAGTAGTTCAATACGGGTTTGTTATCAATGTCGACTTGACACTTTTCAGCTGGAACTTACGTTAAATAAATTTATGGCGTATTAAAATATTCTTTTATAATATCAATGTTATAACAGAAAAGAGGAAGGCAGCAAAAGATCAAAGCGCAAACTGACGAAGAGTGTAATGTTAAAGAAAGCGCGAATGTTAACATCTATGAATGATGAAAAGTAAGACACTAGCATTTAAGTATTCGGAACATGTATATATACCACACTATTTTCTGATAGACCGTTTGAACCTTTGTTATTAAACAACTTGCAACTAGACTGATTGAAGATATTGAAAGTGCTACTTTAAATAAAAGCCAACGAAAGCTTCATAAAAAGTTTAAGCAAAGCAAGAAAGCTATTATGAAAGAATTTATGAAAAAAGGCAGTAAAGGTGTTAAAGATACGAGTAAAAAGAGAGGCAATAATAGAAAAGTCACTGCAAAAGTATCTACTCAACGACTGGCTGCTTATGGTTTAGAATAATTATGATGATTAATGGAATCTAAAACATCTAAATATTATTATTTGAATATGGAGGGACAACATCAGGACAATATCTAATCTTCCCTGCAGTTTATTTTGTATAATGACCACTTTAATTAAACCGGAGAATAAATTTACTACTATTAATGAATTCTTCCATGATAGGATTTGTGTACTTATATATAATGGGCAGAATTACAGGATTGAAGCTGCTGATTATACAAATCGAAGTATGGTAGTTATGCGATACTGCAGAAGTGGTCACTTTGACAATTTTTCTTTTTATGTTACCGTAACTACAGTTAAATTATCATTGATCTCGGAGTAGCCCTCTAATAAACGTCATAGCTAGTCTCTTATGTTAAGCGATGCCGAGTAAGTTTTTCATTGTAATTATGATATTTAATTTAATGTTAACGTCAATTACTGGTCTATTTACACTTGAAAGTAGATAATCGCTTGGGTATACTGTTGAGTACCTAATACGGATCTTCGCAATGTCAAATCATAATTACTAACTAACGCAACGAAAGCACTAATTCATGGCGTTTTCATTAACAGAGCCCTGTATTTTGTTTCTTAGGATAACGAAGATCAATTTTATGCCTATTATCGCCGTATAAGTCAACTGTTTTTAGATGATTCAGAATTGCAAAGTTCGTAATTTTAATATATACTGTATATGCAAAGTAGATATATGAAGACGTAAAATATAATTTTATTACATTCACATAATGCAACGCTTAAAGATTGTGTAGAAACTCTAGAACTTCAGAAATTTGTAGATAATTATCTATGATTTATAGAAATTCTTAAAATTTTAAACATTACTAACTTACGGCAATTATCATATAAATATCAGGACAAGGTGTTTCTAGCTAGAATAGACATTGTATAGTATGCTTATCTTACTTTACTTGTAGGATATCAAATCAAGATGATTACGAGAAATGAATACTAATAATTAATTCAGTTTAGCTCATTCTTCGGAGTTGGATTACATTACACCTCTTTATTAAAATAATGGATTTTAACAGTTTTGTAAGCTTCTTCAGCTTCCCACTGGATACCATCATAATATTGAGCATGATATTCTACGATAAAAAAAAGAAAATGGAAATTGATTAAAATGATTTTAGGATATCATATCTGTGCAATCATTCAATTTCAAACATACTTAGGTAGTCTGTATACTTTTCAGAATCGTTCTTATACCATGGATAATATATTTGACCATTATAAAATGATCGGCAAATAAAAAGAACCAATCGTATCAGATTCATTGGAGGAGCAAGGGCAGATCGAAAAATAAAGTCATGAACTAGTTCAGAGAATTGTTTTGCCCAGATGGCTTTTGTTTCAGATTCTAGCTGATCGTAACTTTTGCTATCATTAAGACGAAGAAAATATCAAAGAAAATAGATATTAGAGTAAAAAGCCAAAGTAAAGTTTATCCAAGGAACAATTCAATTTCAACTTACTTGAGAATAGCAATTAATAGGTTAAAGAGTAAAACTACGGCTATAAGAAGATAAATTACTAGTAAAATATTAGTAATAACTTCCACCGAGATACAATTATAATGAGAATAGCCATGAGAAACGGATACTACTGCAGTATTATTAAGTTCGAGTGGACACACGATAATTTTCTCTGTTTATGAAAAATTAATAGAAACGTCATATTAAAGCTCGAAACAGAGATAGGAAACTAATTGCAAATGTTACTACTGCAGCAATTTGTATCCAAATACTGATTCAAAACTGAAATCTAAGGTTTGCTACTATCATAATATTTAGCAAGTATTATTATGATGACTCATTTTAAGCTGTAGTTACTGTGCCATACCACTTTCATCGACCAAAGTCTCCCCAAATACCCGAAGATAAGGTACGACTAAGATATTAGTCATGGCTTTACGGATAGATAGTTGATTTGGGTATAGGATAGCTTGTGTAGCAACACCGAAAGCGATCAGAAATACTAAGAGTAGGACCAAGAACGACATCAAATCGCCACACTATATATATATAGCATATATATTATGAAGATAATTCTGCAGTCAATTCCTGATATGGTTGAGACACCTTCATCTGATAGATTTAGTGCCGAAAAATTATTGTATAGAATACCAATTTTCGAATCATAATAAGTTTTGGCCCATGATTGATTGATGGCGAAATGAATTGGAGACATCTGATTATAGAAATATAAAAATAAATTTGATAATATAGAAATAATTGTACGGCAATACGGTAATATATTATATTATATGATATAAAGATATCTATCAGTACAGCACAGCCAGAGGATTGAGTTACATTACCTAAGACAAAATATTATAAAATCGACAGCATACAAGATTCTTCCCACTTCAATCGTGAATTCAATCATACGAAAGACTAAAGCAAGATAAAATATGCAAATAGCACTGGTATTCATAATATTCCAGAAATTAGTTATCCAAAAAAAGAATTTCTCCATAAAATATCGACCATGCCATCGAGTTATCTGGGTAGTTAACGATGTACAATTGTAAAGATAAGACACCAATGTTAATTTAGTTGTTAGCGACTGCATATTATATTACAGGTTGATATATACATGATACTTTTTTACGTATTAATCAATTCGTATTATAAATGAAACGAAGTTGAATACAACGGCCATTCGTATGCAGATATACGAGGTACAATGTTACCGAATGAACCATGATTATATAGTGCTAGTTAAAAGGATGATCCAATTAAATTTTTGCTATTATTAAGAGGCACACTTCTAAATACCTGTATAATTTCTTCTATGGTCATAGAAAATACCCATGCAATTATTACTTGTTCTGCTAGCGTTGGTAGATCCCGAAATGATATTGTGATAAAAATGGCGTATGAAACTAAGAAGGCCAGGTAAAAGGTCTAATATGAATAGAACATCTTTCGTAGTTTAGCAAAAGTACGCATAGAATATTCTGTAACTCAATAGAAAAATTAAAATTTACCGCATGAATGAAATATTTAAGACGTGGAGTCACATAATATTTTTCAAGCTGTTTCTTGCTGCTAAGGATATGCTTATGATGTTTTCCTCGTTTGCGTGACATAGTTGCCTCTTCTGCATCTCGATTCGATGGGTGGTTAGAATTTTTAAGACTTGAGGAATTTCTCCATAAGCTGGCCAAAGGAGACATGGTCGACATAAATATCTGTAGAAACATAATGGCCACAAATATTATAGCTTTGCATGCTACAGTAAAGTTTCTCGATCTAGTTTCCAATAACTTACAGTTCGCTACTATGAAAATAAGTGAGCATAGGGTCACTTTAACATGCATAAATCATTTACCAGTAATTATATATATATATATATATATATATATATGTTATATATATATAATAAAAATATAGCTACCAAATTTCCATCTAAAGTATGACATTGTGTCTATGTATTAAATTAGTACTTTTACTCGTAAAACGTGAAATTCTTTTAGCTTTAACTGCTTACAAAGTCATTATAAGAGCTAGAGTGAACAAAGCTAAATTAGCAGGTATCGGTATATTTTAATCAGAAATTTATAATTACACAGCGATAATATCTACAGATCTATAATAGATATCACTCTTTAAATGGTTGTATCTAAATACTCGTTGAAGTTGTCTGAATTCCATATACTTTGGATTACAATCTGCCAAAGAATATATGATAATTACTATGCATTGTTGGTAATATTAACTGTGGTCGTTGTACCTGTCGTACTTTCAGTTCCTCTCCTAAAACACCATTCCAAACTGATTTTAGGGCCCGAATATAAGAATCTAAGCCAATAAAGTCGTCGAAATGAGGTAAAAGCATAATAATAGAAAAGCACGACATTTGCCCCCACTCAGGTGAATCTTTTAGTAAATGATAACTGCAAGCCAAGTGATCTTCCTGCGACAAATCTTGGATCATCTCAAAGGCTGCAGACTTATACCATCTATGGAGGTGCAAAAAAGGAAAGGCGTGTTTATTCTCCTAAATTACCAATAAATGCCTCTAGATTTAAGCTCTTAAAACAGTATAGACTAAGTAATATCAAACTACTTCGATCTAAGAAGCTTCTTTATACTATACTAGCCAGTCTTAACCCGGCGTAGTCGGTTTTTTTGCACAAACCCGCATATCACTAACCGAATATAGAAATTTCTATATGTAGACCATATACTAAATTGTACCAAATTTAAGTAATGTCAAGTAAAACACAGCTGAGCATGCACAAACAATATGGCAGCGATAGGAGACAGTGCTTCGCTATAGATTTTAGTAGTTTAGAGATTAAGATTATTTATATTTAAGTTCTTTCGCAGTTTTAAAGTTGCTAAGGACCATCTACACTGTATGCCGATTCCGGAGTTATGCATAATTCCTTCTCCCACTCTCCGTTTGGCCGTGATATTATTACAAAATAATCGCTTTTACCATATGTATATATATAGATTATATGCATATGAGCGCTAGTGAATGTTGAAAAAAATTTACCAGCAATGAAAGTGTAGCAAGGTTTATTGAAATAGATTTACTAACCTGGCATATTTTCCACATTTTTGTTTCATCACCGCGTGCTTTTCTACCTCTACCCTATAACTTAGTATTTTATATGCTACCAAGCCTGCTATAATAGGATGAGCTAGCTGTTTCCAAAAATGGTAACTTAATTCCAGATGAGATGTCCATAATGACCACAGAAATAGCTCACGGATAGCAAAAATCGATTGACTAGTCCAATTTTCATATTCGTTAGAGTTTCTACTAGCGAATTTACGACAGCAACATGAATTTTTTTGCTTCCTTGTCTCCTCAGTTTCATTAAGATGATACGGATTTATATAGCCAAAGCCCATAATTGTTGAGATTTTCTGCCCAATATCCGATAAATGAATTTCCTGATTGTTTGCATTATAATAGGTATAAAAAAAATGGAAGGTATGCATCATTTTCTTAAAACGAAATGGTATGTACTGATGTTTTTTTACCTTTATCCCTATTATTTCAATAATATTCGTATGATTCTAATTTTTCATATTGATTGAATGAATAGATAGAGATCGCCGAGAAATATACGCGCAAGAAAATAATTGCATAGATTGATTACGTCTTGGATAAATGCAGCCCTTATTTTCTGATACTGGTTAAAATGTAATTTTGACGTCATATATAGTCTATGGTAGATCAAACTCTGTACCATAGCACCTTATGAACTTGATTCATAAGTATGAAATATTACAAAATAGTTTCTAACCCATTTCAGGTTCTTTCAGCATTAGAATCAAGTATGAATTTTTAACCAGTCACGAAGAATAGCTTACCCAATAGAGATCCTTTAGTTTGTTGACAGTTACAAAATGATAAATTTTGAAAGTACCCTTCTCCAATAAGAAATCAACAACTTGTAGCGTCTGCTTTGCACCATCAAATAAAACGGACAATATTGCTCCTTCTAATGCATCACGGTAAGATAGTTTTCCAGTGCGGACGAGGGCATAAATTACTGTTGCTAGGCCTTTCATGTAAGCACATCGAATCAAATAGTGGATTGAGAATTTTGGTAAGTCGGTATTACTAACCTTTAAAACAAATTAGTTACTGATCAGTTGCTGATCTAATATACTAGATTATTTTATGTCTGTAATATAACTTCTAAATTTATTAAATAAAGTCATATATGAATAAAATACCATATTGCAAATGTCCAAGCTCAATGTTACTTCATCAATTTTGCCCCACAGGAATTGCATTTTATATCTTTGTGTTTGAGTTTTATAATCTTATAATGTAAATTCAATATCGCTGTTAAAATAAGGCGTCATTATAACTAATGTGGTAGTCATCCCTAAAAGCACGTATTTCTACATTCATTCTTTAGCATTACCGGATTGGCGTTCCGTTTAAATTTATAAGTAAATAGCTATATAGGTCTCATATTTGATATACCATGAGAGTTATGAATCGTTATTTAATGGTAACTAAAAATTCTGGAGATTAGTATAAATTATAGAATCATATCGGCAATAACTTACTACAAAGCAATACTTGGTATATATCGTCTGAAAAATCTCGAATTTTAGTTATGCGAATAACATGAATCTAATTTATATCGGAAAAGAATTTGGAGATTGTTATATGAGTTAGTTGAAGATATAAAACCGAATGTAGCAGTATGAAACAAATACTTACCAAATCCTTACGATCAATAGCATCAATTAAATATGTCTGATAAGCAGTTATATGATCCATATCGGATTGAACAGTGAACGAAAAGTAGCGGAGTACTGCATTTTCTATGTTTTCCCTAGTACTAGATACGATGAATAAAATTTAATCATGCTCTAGATTCTTCGCTGCAATCGCTTGCCATCTATCCAGTATTTATCTTACATTGACACATATATATAATACATAAGACTCTCAGGATTAATTCTACAGCGACTTACAGAGCTTCTTTAAAGCTCACGAGTTCGTAAAGTAAGTCAGCCGCTCCACCACTCCCACAAACAATAAATAAGAAATCTTCACGAAGTATTGTATCTAGGGATAATTTCAGATCCAGCATATTACCTCCAATCAGTAAGCTAACCACTGAAATTGTGTCTAAATGCGAAATGCATATTGCATTAATTGAAGTGAAATAGAAAAACTAGATGTGTTTAATACCATTAATTAACTTTAAATATAGAATGAAAAATACAGAAAGCATTGAATGCTGAAGTGGAAATTAAGATAAGAAAGTTCTAGTTAACCATGGCATTGGATCTTCTGAGATTTTAAAGGAGTGCTTGATACTGGTATATGATGGAAAGAGTTTTGCAGAGCTTGTTGTAACTGGATTCTTAGTTGCAGAACATCACCGTCTTCAAATAGGATGAAGCAATCATGGCAGGGATCAAGGTAATGATTTCCAAGGATGTCGTCATGGATATGATATTCTGAATATACTTGATCTGAGCATTGCTGTTGGCGATAATTATAGCAAAGAATTCAATTTTTTGTCGCATCTTAATTTGCTAGACAGAAATAAAGCCATTATCTAGATCGTATGAATACATATTCGGCAAAATTATGCTAGCAGAGGATAAATTTTTCATCATGATTGTAGTTGATACTATGTAAAGAGTATAAGTGTATTAATCTAAACGTGGAGTAAAATGTAGTTGTTATCACTAGAGAAGAAGGGGGATAATAATTTATATCTGAAGAACGCGAAATCTAAGCCTAATAATAAATAAAATGTAAATGATGCTACAAACAATTGCATGGACCTCATTGTATTATTGTAGTATTAGAAAACAAAATTTGGCTAATTAGAAATTTTAAATATTAATCATTACCTTATTGTAAGCTAACTCATCGCTAGATTGTATAGCTTGCAAGGAATTGATACCAATTAAAGTAACATTATTTTGATTTGGTTCTGCAGTTGAAAATCCTTCAGCAACTGAACGAGTAAGGCCACTATGATAGCCATTTGTAATTATTAATAAGCGTAATTTGCTATTAATTGCTTTGATAGTTTTGCAAATTGATTCATGTTGGATTAGTGTTTCCTGATTATTATTGCCACCAATAATAGATATAATCATTTGTGGGTGATAAGATAAGAGTAAAGTATCCAATAAGGACTGAACTAAATTGGACATATCAATATCCCCAGTTACAATGCAGTACTAAAAAGCAAAAATTTCAGATAATTACTTTGATGACTGATCAGATTTATTCAACCACAAAGTGCCTGAATTAATTTTATAAATACTGGTAGCTGAGCTTTCATACAAGTAGTAACTAATTTTTTACCACAAATTTTACCTCGGCATATATTTCCATGCATTGCTGATGGGTAAGAAATTGAATTGTTCGAAATGGAATGCTCCTAGTATTAGTCAAATTCTGGGGATCAAAGTTGATTAAATGGACCTCATTACTTGTTCCTGCCATTACTTTGTGATTAGTAAGTCGTAATACTCTACAAAATTAGATATGAAAATGGAGATAATACTGCAAGTTCTTCAATTGTAAGGTATCGCTTGAAACAAAGGCCCTTCGGGCTGGTACATTAGCCAATTTTATTCTATCCAAACATAAATTGTACATTATAGAAATAAATAATACAGTAAGCCATCTGTGTACTGCAACATCAAATCCTGCGGTGCTAAAAATAGGTACATGCAAACATTAGAGACCTCAGCAGATATGAATTTAGCAGTATCTTAGTTCCTAATAGTTTATTAGTTCCATTAGCAGATGTTCTAGCTAACTTTGCTGTAACTGCGGCTCAGGTTAACTAGCATATATTTATAAGACATCGCAAGCAATCAAGGTGCTATTACTGGAATAAATTAAAAATTACTAATGATATCTTATGTTAACCAGGTTATATTTGTAAAATATCGCAAACATTTAAGATACAATTACTGGACGCCATTAAGAATTTGGTATCTAAGATAACCTATACCCATTTAGCTCAAAATTGTTGTTTGCAAATTTTAATAGTAGAAATCCTCATGGTGCAGCATATCATGACATGAAAACATTTGGATTATCTTACTCTAATATAAAATTAATTGCTCACCTGCTGATATCTTTTGCAAGGTAGCTTTGATCTAAGACTTAATTTTATTGTAAGTGCACAAGTCATCCGCCGCTTCCAGTAACCTGCATCTTCCAATGTAACAAATTTAAGATTTTAATGTGGAAAACTTGAAAAATGTATTGAAGAAACGTAAGTGACGGAAAATCTTTACTTTATTAGATTGATCTAATTATTTGGTTTAGAAGCAACTTTCAACTAGTTAGACTACATCACTCTAGAAAGGCTAAATATTTATCACTATATCCTTTATTTCGAACCTTTAAATTAAGTAAGACTTGATTGATTACCTTACCGGACGTGTGTAATTGACAAAATATATCAAACTAAAAGATATCGGTAGTATTATTTATTGTCACTAAATATTGCAGCTCGATCTTTTACTAATTACAAATATTACAGCATTCGCTACAAGAATATTATTAATCAGGACAGATTACATAATAAATAGGTATAATGGAAACATCATTTTTTCTTCAATTAGATACTTTTCGGGGCATTGGTATTACCATAGTTTCAATTGTTGTTTGGTGTTATAAGTGACAAAGATTTCCATTGCACCGTAGATCCGTTCATAGTTGACAATAAAAATAGGCTTACCAAATCATGTAGTCGATTTACTTCATAAGCTTAAACCATAGACTAGAACCGGGATCTAGTAAATTTCTAGATTTTAGTAGTTTATGGCCTTAATGTTAGCTTTACAAAGTTGCTTAGAAACGCCTGACAACATATACACTTGATATTTTATAGAGAGATACACAAGGCTAGTAAAATTTGCAATATCTATCCTGAGTCTGGTAATTTACAGAAATTTGAGTTTCTATCGCATACCTTTGGCGAAAATCGCCTGGAAATGCATTCAGGTTAAAAACTTTTGTTAATCCAAAATAAAGTTGAAAAGTTTAAAGAAGGAAAATGTGCATCTTGCTTGGCACTGCTTCTCATCATATGCTCCATTTGAAAGTGTTCTAATACTTTGTTAGAATCAAATTGCTGTCTGTTGCAATGTTAGGCTGATTCTGTGGATATCATTAACTATAAATAACTTAACCTCTTTACATAAATTTTGATCGCTGGCCATTGCTTTCTATTTTATGAATGATTCCTGCAGTATATAACCGGTTAACTAATAATTATGAAGCTATTATAATCTTACTGGGTATGATAACTTGTACAGATTTAATTATTTGCCTTGTGACATATTCAATATTTCGTATGGACTACTTGCAATCATACACTGTATGTATAAATATATTGACACCATAAATATAGGTCAAACATAAGATTGTTAGCAATTTATTATAAACTTTAACTCTAGAAACTTAGCGAATCCTGAAATAGAAGAAAGATTAATATCACCATGTGACGGAGCTCGCTCCGAAATGAATAATATTTTGATCTAAAATGTGTAACAATATTATTATGGAGGTTGCCGATCTCGGCAACAACCTAGTTGTTAATTGAGTTTTGTTATTAATTATCCTAGTAATATACAGCGTGGATATGGTGTTAGCAATTAAAATGTCAAGCTGTAAAGATTATTATGTTAGTTAATAAGGTGCTAATTAATAATATTAATTTGTGACAAGTGATAAGTAACACTCGAGCTAGTCGAATCTATAGTAAGCCTGTATGGATCTGTATTGCACATTCTATAATTTAATGTGAAAGATTAGTACCGATCTTATTTGTGTGATATATGAAACTGTATATAAGCTTGATCATTACTTTTTAATCTGAGTTCCACGAAGGCTACGCTAGAGTACACTGGTACTAAGTTGCAATAGCTGGTAATAAAATATTTAATAACCTAAACCTATCGTTGGACTCGTTGTCTATGGTATAGGAATAAGTTAGTTTTCCTTTACTGAGGATCTCCGGAGTTAGTCGGGAACCTTAAGAGTAGATAGACTAGTTTAGGTACGTTCACGAAAGTTGTTTTGTGACACACCAATATTGAAAAAATATAATTGATAAGTAATTGTATTTGCTTATGAGATAAATCACACAACGCGTGATGTACAGCGTCGTTTATAGGAAAGATATTAGCCCAAAAGTTTTCAGGCTGCTATAAATGTAGTAAGATAATTAGGAGGATGAAGTCATTAAAATGCTACATTACGGGCGTGGATTCAAGTTTAATCATACTATCTACGTGTTACTCAACTAAACTTGCCTAATCTGAACTAATTTAGATTACCCTAGATAAGTAACAATGACTGAAAAATGCACTTTCAGAATCTTCTAACTATATCTTTATTCTCTAAAATGCAAGTCTAATTTAATATTCAAAATCAATCATATAAATAGCTATTCTAGCCATAAAACCGGTTTACGATGTGTAATATATTTGGACCAATAAGACTTCGAGAATACATTAAATTATTCCTAGTCTAATCCAATGAATTTGTAATATTACTATAGATTAACTTTATGTTTGCCCTAGCTTATAATTAACAGGATTTATATTGAATTTGCCATTGACAATTCATATACCATATTTAGTATAATTTAACCTGCATTAGGAACAGGTTTGTATCGGCTATATTAAGTCATCAAATAATTCATGCACATATCCAAATTAATAACTATCTTAACGTGATACGTATACATGTCTAAATTAAGTAAGTTATCATTCATCGCGGTAGATTCACTACCGTGATACTAAGTTTATAATACAGTTATTTGTAAATTATGAGCTTGATGATTACAATGATTAACCATGGATTAACTACTTTGCTATGCTAATAAAATTTATAATGGATGTTGCTTAGCAAGTAAATTTGCTGTATTTATAATTCAGATAATCTATTAGATGTAAATTTTGGATTTAATTCCACGAATAAATGTTGAAATAATTATTTCGCCATAAAAGATGTTATAATTCAGTTATAGCGTATAATATATATATACGAGTAGGTCATAGATTTAGTTTCTCAAATAAATGTTAGTTAAAATAAATTATTTCGCTATCAGCAATATGATAATTCAGTTACACCATATAAAGTAAATGTACGAGTAAATCATGAATTCAATTTCATAAATAAATATCAGTTATAATAAAATATTTCGTCATCTGAGACATTATATCTAACATACTACCTAACCATACGATTAGATTATCATCTTCGTATTGTTGCTAATAATTAGTGAATAGGAGTCAGGATGCGATATGGTTAATTATATGTTACAATAATTACTGTTTACCCTACATTATAATAATTAAAATTTTGATACTAGAAAGACTTAGATAAACAGTCATAGATTAAAATTTGTTCTATAAATCGCTCATATAATAAAGTTATACCTAAGGACATTCTATATTTACTGTTAGAAATTAGTACGTACGCCATATGATGTACAACAGACAATAAATCTATACAATACACATACGAATATAGTAAAAAATAGTTAATGTTGCATTTATATGTGAGAGATTAGCTAATATTTCCAGATTAAGAATGTTCTATTTTCTTTTATAGGTTTCGGGTCGGTAATTAATACGATCTTGTTCCGCCAAAGTTGATTGCCTTGGCAGTTGTGCCCGTTCAATTTTATTACATACATTATACATTAATCTTTTCACTTCTGTCATATCATTTCGTAGGTTTTTCATATCTCCTTTCAATTTTGTTACATCTTTATTCTGTTTCTCAAATCTAAGTAAATATAATTCAATTTGAAGTGAGTTTACTAAAAAATTTAGAGCTTTTTTGCTTTGTATCGACTATAGCTTTAGAGCTAGATTTAGTATATAAGATTCAGAGGATTGGAATAAATCCGCTATGATTTTCTAAGACATTCATTAAAGTATATCATCCTTCAGCAATTAAATAATTGGTAATTTTGAAAATTGAACAAGCTGGCCAAAAATCTAACATATTTTCATTTACTATTATGCTATTACAACAATTGAACGGGAAATTTATTAGTATTGACAAATATGGTTCATTCTTGATGTTTTTGCACGAAAAATTTTCATCGTTATTTGGTTCGCAATGCAGCAGATACAAATATTATAGCTCCAAATCTGATGAGATATGATATACCCTATTCTAGCCATTATATTAAAAACAAATTGCAGCGAACTTTACCTATCAGCTGCTAAGCGACTTTGCTGTTTGATTAAATAACGGCTATCGTTATTGTCTCCTTTCCAAAATCGTTGCAGCCTATAAATAAAAATGACACATATATTTTAGTATATAAGATACACCATATATTATTTTTTATGAAAAATCGACATTTGCTTAGCGACATTCATGTTATTTTAATATTTTAGCTACTAATGCATAAGCTCTTTGGAAAGTAATCAAAAAACGTAAACAAATGTTCACGTGTCAAGCATACTAAGAATGCATACCTCTTAAGTTTATCTTTCTGCCCAAATTCAGCGTTGTTCGCAATTAATTCTTTCTTTAAATCTTCTTCAATATCCGGAAGAGCGTCGTAAGGAATGTTGATGTTGCTAATATCAGGCAATTCTATTTACAGGAAAGATTATGATTGAAAAGATGATGTAATTGAAATCAGCTATTTTATTAGCTTGTAAAAATATATTACAGATAAATATGTAGATTGTATAGAAAATACGTGCTTTCCTATATAGTAGATATATCATACAAGTATCTTTCATGTACGGTAGAATATAATAGCGACTTACTCAAAGATTTTGCAAAATCTTCATCGCTAACACTTTGAAGTAGTGATTTCAAGCGCAGACTAACGATATGAGAAATAACGGAGACTACTGTTTGTATTAGATTGAGCGGTGGTATAAAAGGCGTTCGGAAGACGTATTCTCTAACAAGGGCTGTGAATTGCTGAGCCCATAATTTCTTAGCATCGCCGTCCAGTTCGTCGTATCTTTTACTATATATCATTTATATTTCATAAATCAAACAAATTCACCAAAGTAGGCGATGCAAGGTAATTTTTAATATTAATCAGCACTCTAGAAGTTAATTTTCAGATAAAGCCCGATATCTACTTACTTTAAGATTGCAATCAACAAATTAAGAAGGAGAATGATGGCAATCAAGAGATAAATGATTAGGAGAGCATTCACAACTATCTCTACTGCAAGGCAGTTGTAGTAAGAGTATGTTATTCCAGCAACTGTAGCATTTGAGGTATTAGTGGTTGCGCATTTGATAATATTTTCTATAGTGATGTTATGAAGTAAAAATTTCATAATTACAAAAGACTTTATAAGCCAATTTATGATGTTAAGGTTACAATAGCTTACATCCTTTTCAGAAACATACGATTATGTCTAAGACATTCGAAATTTTATCAACATAGTAGCGCATTTACCTGTACTGTCTATATTCAAATCGCCAAAAATTCGCCAATATGGAATTAGTAAGATTGAAACAACTGCACTTTTGCCCGAAATGCGATTAGGATAGAGTATAGCATGACTAGCGATACCAAACGCCACCAAAAAGACGAAGAGTATGACCAGAAATGAAATCAAATCTCCTAACTGATTATACAGATATAAATAGATATTAAAACAGAAATTAAAAATTAGGATATTTTTAATAGCAGTTTACTGGCAAACATTAATTTCGTTAATTTACCAATTTACGAATCATAATTAATTTCGGTCCATGATTTTTCGAAGGAGATATTACTTGCAGTAAACGAATGCTGAAGATGATCAGGTCAACGCAATATAGTATCCGACTAGCTTCAACTAATATCGTGAAGAAATGCATAATAAATGCTGTAGCAAATATAATGATGGCCATAAAATCCAATGCGTTCCAGACATCCATTAACCATAAGCGGATTTTACCACAGATTGTCCAGGTGGGTTCCCACATAATCTAATGAATTAAAATATGAAAATATGAATTATTTTCATAAAGGCTACACAAAATATAGACCACATTTTGAAAGTAAAAAGTAATTTACCTGACTAATCTCCTCGACTGCTAAGGCTAAAACCCAAATGGCAGTTGCAATCTCTATCGGAGAAGTTACATTGCCGAAAAAAAGTGTAATAAAGGCGCCATACAAAGCCAGAAATATCAGATAAAATATCTGAATGTCATGCAACAAGATTAAAGGGACAAAGGGTATTAAACATGTTAAAAAGTAAACCTAAACATAGTTTAAAATTAGGCATATTTTACGATATTAATTATGCTATAAACCTACCGAATTTAGGAAGTATTTTACTTTAGGAATGTAATAAAATCGGCTAATTCTAACAAAAGTTCCGCAAGTGTTCGAACAAGAAGTAGGTTTAACTATTCCAGTTTCTAAATCATGAGGTTGTATTGCATTAGATGGCCGTAGATTTATGTCTTTCATAATGTAAAAGTTGCAGTAAACTGTTTGAAATAATTGCTGTAGGATAAGTAGAAAAGGTATAGGAAAGATCGTTGCTAGAATAACCTAAAATATAAGAAATGACATACATACTCTATAAGAATATAATCCTAAAATATCATTTAAGATATAGACAAAGAAATGATGGAAATATACACGTAACTCATTGAGATAACTTATGATAAATATGTCAGCCATATCTAATGCACGATTTTATCATGTGAGTCTCTAGCATTAGGATGAAAATGCTCGAAATTGCGTTTAAATGGACTAGATGAGCCTCAGCTGTATACATGATTACATACGAGCTATTGATAATTCTACGTTTTACTTACAAGACTGGTTGGTGTAGAACCTTGTTTCTCGGCAATTAATAAATCGCCGCTCCAAATGCATCGTAGAGATACAACGTAGGAATCATGTGAAATAAACTCATTTAAGCCCTTGGTCAACATAATTACAGAAAAACATGATACACCACCCCAATCAGGTAATTCTCGAAGTAGCATATAAATTGTACCACCAACATCACTGTTGTAAGCCTCATTAACCATTTGGTACGCCAGTCTTCTATATTTTCTAAAAAATTTTAATAGATATGTTATGAATTAGTATATCATTGTAACAAACTATATATTTTAGTAAATTTAATGTATGTATTAATATTTTAATCGATTTGTAATAATTCGTTTGAATTGGTTAAGTATACCGGTATTGCTATATTTCGAAATGAACAAGATTTTAACTTACTCAGCCAATTCTAGACAATGATCTGCAGGCGGGTTAGTACGTTTGTCGTCTTTACTATAATAGTGTAATACTTTATAACCAACTAATGCAGCAATTAACGGCGTTTTAATTCTCTTCCAAAAGAGGAAAGAAAGTTCTAATTTGCCGGTTAATATAGCCCACAAGAAGAGATTGCGGAATGGGTCTAATGAGTCTTTTCCTGCATTTGAAAATTCCTCAACTGAAGTGTAAGTTGCTACTTCTTCGTATGGATTTTTATAACCGAAATCCATAATCTTTGCTAACAGGCTACCAGCCTCCGTCATTGTCAAGTCTTCCGTGTTGCTTTGATGCTATAGGAATATGATTCTTTCTTTAGTAATTAGATAATCAATCTATAGTAGTTGTTTTATCATTTTAGTATGTGGCGCTCTATTTTCATCGAATATGCCATCTTAAAATACAGTATTGATAAATTTTATTTGTTTACCTTGTACATTAGTTTAATTCTATCTAGGTTGACAAAATGTTTTATTTTCGACCCAGCGTTATCCAGTAAAAAATCAACGACACCAATAGTTTCTACTGAACCTCGAGCGATTTCATATGTGATAGCCCTATCTAATGCTTCAATATAGCTTAGAGTACCATTTCGTATTAGTGTGTAAATAACATCCTTTAGACCTTTAATGTACGCGCACTTAATCAAGTAATCAAGGGACATCCGATGAGATTTTCTTTTGCTGACCTGATCATAAAGACGCAAAATGTAGAGAGCAATTAGTATAGAATCATTATCATCGAATATACAAGTAGTTCCTTTCGTAAATTACGAGTAAACAAATTTAAATCTATTATACATAAAATCGTAAATTAGCCATTTTATCATTAACAATAAATAGTTACGATTATCTTTAATGTTAAGGCTTAGCAATGCTTGATAGACGTATATAATCGTATCTATATCAGAATTAATTTCTTACCAAATTTATTATATCTTCACTTAGTTTTCTAGTATCTATTTTTCCCCATAAAAATCTGAGTTTGTATTCGATATCAATTTCGGTACCATGCACTATTTCACAATAAAAGTTATGATTAATACTTCCCTTATAACTATTTCCTGTATTTATTGACAGTATACCATGCAAATAATTAAATTTCAAGTTATTACTAATTATGAAATGTCATGTTACCTTTCAGTAGCATTTCAAAGATTTCTTCTACAAATCCTTTAGCCGCATGGATTCCGATAATTTTAACCTAGTACAATAAATAACAGAAATTTCTTAACAATTTATATAGTAAGATAAATTTTTGAGGAAAGTGGATCAGTTACTGACCTGGTCTCGTAATGCAATTGTTTTCTGTAACATATCAACGTATCTCAATACAATATTTTGATGTTTCTTTTTCTTAAAAGCGAAGATATCCATAAATGTTGCGGCTATCTGTTCTGGTGAGCTGTCAATAGTTATAAATTTTAATATTTGAGACAAATTAACTTCAATAAAGGATTTAGCCATTCCTAATCGAATGAACGAATAAAATATTTTCCATGATTTCCTAAAAGCGCATTTGCAAAGGTATTACCTATCCTCTTGATTTTCTATCAGGTTGGTAAGAAGTTTCGCTGAACCACCAGTGTCCTTAATTACAAAGACAGGATATCCTTTATGAAGTGCTATAGATGCCATTTCTAAAGCTCTAAGATCACCACCAACTAACAAATATACAGCAGGTATAAAGTCGCCTGTAAAGTTATAAGCAAATATAAGCAGAATTAGTTACCAATGAATTGTATAATTAATTACAAGTCAGTGTTATTCTGAATCGTTTAAATTGTTTTCTATTACGAATTTTTTATAGCATGTCTTACCATATCAACATTATTTATGTAACTTTAATATATTGATAACTAACGGTACTTTAATCTTAGTAAGCTTTCATTATTATTTAGATTTGGCATACATAGTATAGTTTTTTAATATTAGAAGTTTTAATAATCAAGTATTGTAGGTACGTATTTATGTAATTTTATATCCTTTAATTGGAATAAATATTAACCTGACATATCATCATCCTTGCTCGTTGTACTAGTACCAAGTAACAGTTTGTCTTTGCCCATATTCCTAATTTCATGCTCTAATGAACACCGTAATTGGACTTCATTATGATAATCCCCTTCATAACTATTATCCACCAATATGAAACAGTCATGAAATGCATTTAAGTCATTATGGTTGGCTTCGTCTCCAACGCTAATATCATAGATCAATGTATCTTGATCCTAGTTTGACGTACACAATTAAAAAGTGTTGAAATTTGTAAGTCATTATCGTGGTATAACGATCACATAACTTTTGAACTGTTGTTTCATTTACTTTCGTTTCATATAGATGACTTAGCATCATAAACAAACTTATTAGTAACATTTTTGTAAATTTTGACTCATTTTCTTAACTGTAAGTACCAGTGGGACAACGAATTGTTCAATTATTTTTTTGGATAGTAACAATCATATAATAAGAGCATCTTTTAAATAATATTAATACATAATTTACCTTTATTTTAGACCACAATTCATGCTTTCCAACATCTTTATAGGTGCATACGCCTAGTAAAGGTATATCTAAGCCGAAATCGGCAGATTCACGACTTTTAATCTCCTCGGCAATGGATCTAACAACACCTGAATTGATACCACTAGTAATCAAATAGCATCTAGCCATTTTAGTTAATCGATTAACGGTTCTACATATTGCTTCTCGTTGAATTAACGTTTCCAGTCTATCTGTTCCACCCAGGATTGATACAATTAATTGAGGTTTTGTAAAGTAGGAAGTTGCTTTACGTATTCCTTTAAGCAAATAGCGAGCGTCGATTTCATCTCGTATTTTACAATACTTTTGTAAGGATAGAAGGAATACAAATGAGTGTTATAGCTCTTAAACATCCGATAGAATTATGTAACGTACGCTATTAAAGAGTTAGCACTACAACTTGCTGCCTTATGTGCATTAGAAATGATGACGTTTAAATAAGGTACATGGTTGATCATCGAAAATATATATAATCACGCTATTACTTAAGCTATACGTAATAGAATTAATAGCTAGATAGTTTCAATTCTTTTACAATAAGATTGACATGAAATCTACAGTGAGCTAATTTAATATTATCTACAACTATCATAATGCATACCACGGCATCGGAAACATCGTAACCAGACGATCGAAATTCCAAGTTATGAAATCGAATATATTCGTTACTATCAGAGTCACTGTCGATAGTAGCAGCCATGTTATAAGTATTAGAATGATTTAAATTACCTCTATTTTAAAAAGCTTCATAGATCTCATTTATAATACTACTGGATGATGCTGTTGCCATGGTGATGAACGTTTATTCTTGATCTCAATAAAATAGTAGTAAAATAGCATATTATGTAATATTGGTCAGTTTTGATTGGCCTATCTGATCTTCTATATAATGGGTTGAAATACGGAGACGATTTTAATGCAATATACTAAAATAGACTAGTTTTTTCCTTGTATAAAGTCTAACTTCTTATACTATTCGATAAAACTGACAAAGGTACCTGGTGTAATATGATATTTGTACTGCTGTGTGCAGAGTGCAATGAAGTGCGGGTACTGTATTGGTACAGTATGTTGGCTAATGGATTACTAAAAATTATTACTAGAAATTACTACAATTTACTATTGTAGTAATTTCTAGTGGTCCGTGATTGGCATTAGAGTAGATTGGCTCTGTGGTTAATGGAGCAACCCTGTAAGGGATATAAAAATTTAAAATCTATATCCGATTCTGGTCCATAGCTTTATATGAGTGTAGTGATCCAGGCGTGTGATAGAGTCATTTAAAAGAGCTTGCTGTTATTAAGATCACGTAACCATTACAGCCGATTCTCCAGGCTGAAAATTCGTTCATAGTTCAAAATCTGTTGGATAAAGTATTAAGTGAAATTTAAGCATATACAGTATCTGACTCTATCCTAGTCCATGGGTAGAGCAACTACTGAGAATTTACTTGATACTAACATCATTGGCTATCATTTAAATTACAGACAGGCGGACAATAATTGCCTTTCTTGTTACGTATCCGGTGATCTTCAGAAGGAATATTCTAAAATGAGTTTCACACTAGCCACACACTGCTACCGTAGTGCTACGGCTAGAAATAACGTGAAAGTACCCTGGTAATGTATATAGCTATTCTTTACTCTAATTCAGTCTAATACTTAATTATATTTGCGGTATAGTTCACAAACGACCGAGTGCATATGCTTAACTTCCACTTGATTTCACATCTTCTTTTATATGTTCGTACGAGTATTAATTGAGTATATGATACTGGTGCAAAGATAATTAAACGTTCCATTGGAGATAACGGATAGTCTAATCCTTACCAGATAATACCGTACTGTAATATAGGATCAGAGTATCCAAGATCAAACTAATTCATGCTTTAGCAATAAAAGCTTAGCAAATCAATAATATCTGGATCAATTATCTGCGACTTCTTACGAATGGATATAGAAATGAAAGTAATAATCTCCGATCAAGACTGCGCTAATGCATGTAGAAATCATTTTCAGATCTTCGAATCAGTTAAATTTCCTTCGATCTTAGTAAACACCTGAGCATCTACGGCGCCAACAGGAAAAAAATGATTAGATATTGCTGATTGGCTTATCCAGTTAATTTACTCATGTTTTATTATTGTTTGTTGATGACGTCAAATAATTCAGTTTGCCACGGAAATTGATACAATAGACTACACCCAAAATCTACCTTGATCTACAAAGTACTTCATAACCATGTTCTCCCTGCTGTCCATTTATTGTTAGTAAGATGATTGAAAACCAATGAGTTTCACTCCTAAATGAATTGGATTACTTTGAACAGAGATTAATAAAAGATAGAAGAATCTACGAGTAAGTTTAAATGATAAGCAATTTTGCTATTTAAAAATTAGGGGAATAGAGTACTAGAATTGAAGTTAGATGTAGAGATGTGCCATGAAGCTGATGATGAAAGATTGAGTGCTTACTTATAATACTGATGATAGTCATCAATTGTACTGCAGCAAATGTATAGGGTGATCTCTGTAAAAAGTTCAAACACGAATGGATGTTGTTACTTTAATCATTTGGCAAATGAATATCTTCTAAATAAGACGGAAAAAATTGATTGTAATCCCAATACATGACAGAAAATTACGTTTTAAATAACTTAGTTTGCTGTTTTAAATTCAGTTCTGGCTTGAAATACACTTACTTCTTATTCTTGATATAAGATTAAACAGTAGTATTATTATGGTTGATTAAACAATACTAGCGTAATCATTACTGATGTTAGTCATCAATGGTAGTAAGCGTTCACGATTATTCTTGTAAAATATTCAAGTACGAATTGGTGTCGTATTCTAGTTTGGTAAATGAATATCTTGTAAGTATGACTCGGAAGAATGGATTGTAATCCGAATACATGACAGGAAATTACCTTTCAAAGTAACTTAATTTGCTCTTTGAATTCAGTGCTAGCTTGAAATAGGCTCCGCTTTCTAATCATAAGGAAATAAAATAGGATGACTGCAAGATAGTAATAGACCAATAAATTAGTTATAGGCATATGATAGCACATTCTTAAAGGACAAAAACTGTCAAGACACTTTCCGAAGATAAAACTCTTTATAGGTGTTAATATCGTGATTAGATTTAGTTTTAAGGCCGCTAACTATATCATGCTAGTTTTTGATCTTTTAATTTAAATTATACACATTCACTTGATGAAGTTGGTATGCATCTAATTATTCTCTTCGGTAAACACAGCTGCAAGTAGAATACAAGGATCTACAAAGGAAGTAGTATTTAACATCGTTACAATGCTAAAAAAATTAATATCAAAGAATATTGTGATTAAAATCGGCTTCCTTAATCTTACATTTAAATCAGAATTTAGTAAATTAGCTATAATGAAGCATGCAAAATCAAATATAGATTTATAAAACATTACAGTAACTAATACAAATAAAAAGCGAAACAGCGTTATCTTTGTTTCGTCCATTTATACTTATCCATTGAAATTAAGGTCACTGTATCCTAATAAATAATCACTTTTGCTCTTTTCAGCCGTTAAATATGTTTTTTAATTGTTGATAATTGTTTTCTCTTGACTTCACGGTGACGGTTAATCAATACATGTTAATGCCAGTAGAACTAGCTAAACTATCAAGCAGTAGAATAATCAATAAAGGATCCGTTTTCGATGACAAAATGTCTTCAATGTACTTACTGTAACTCTTAGTAGCTAGCACCAATCGTTATTGCATTTACTTATTTTTGATTAAGTAAATATCATTATTTTGATAAGAGTTTATATTTCAGATTTGATATAACTTACAAGTTACAGTGTATTATTCGAAAAATGCATCTGTAATTTATTAATTTTATTATAACCTTACCACATTACGATTTGCTTATGTTTATAAAATGGTCGAGTGAAGACAGACTTTTTGGTAATAGATTTATATGAGTAATTTTTACAACTTCAATGTTCGATATCCTATCGCAAAAACCCATGCCTTTAAAACCAAGAGATATGAGTAATTTACTATTTATCTTATCCTATAGATCTTTACGGTGACTTGGCGACTTGCAGCCTGAAATACGCAAGTAGTGCTAAAATACGATATTTAGATTATTAATTAGACTACAACCCGTGCTCAGTTCTATAATATCACGACAAATATCCAACTACGATACTTTCCTAGAAGATTTTATTGCACTGTAAAACTGTTACACTACATTTATGGCGCTTATAGTGTGGTGTTTTAAATCTTATTGTACACTGTTTATGGTTTTACAAAAATTTCGTAATCATAACTTAATTGTATCTTAAAGGAGAAGAAATCGAATTTGAAGGGCAATTGAATGATGACTAAGCTATCAATCAAGGAAAGTGCGAGCCAAGAGCTTAATGAACTTAACAGTACCTCCTGTAGGAAGTGGAAAAAAATTCAATTTCGTAAATGTGGTCGTATCATTTCCAAAGGATTGGTAAATTGATGTAGAAATATGGCCTTAATGCTTATTTCACTTTCATTATCGTCGTCAAGAATATATTCTTGACCTTAACAAACATTTTAAAATCGTAATACAGTTTCTTAATCTGATCTGTAGAATAATACTTATTGCAATAACATTGTTTACTTTTCCAAGCTTCAGTGTTAATTCTATAAGTTAAAGTGTTATATATGTTATCACCACAATATATTTGATAAAGCATTTCTAATTTTGATAGCACTGCAGAATTCACCAAAATAACGATGAACTTCAGATAATTGCCGATGAAATGAGTTTGGATATGGGAACTTCTACAGTACCGAAACAGGCCATGTTTTCTATTATAGGTGCATCCAAAGAGCATAACTGTGCTCGGCAGTATTTTGCATTATCGAAGACCCTCTTCAACTTAAGGTCCAAGATGCAATGTTATCTTGTAACATCATGTAGAGCATCATCTGTTATTCGAATTGCCTGCGAAGGACTTTATAAGAATAGAGCAAGTGACTATTCAAACCGTAAAAGTGCTGTCATCGTCGGGATGAGTCAAAATAATCCTCAATTATGGAGTCGGTTTTCTACTTTAGTTGAGGTAGCCATGAATAAAATTTTGATCTTAAATGAAAGTTGTCCTTATAGCGATAAATCAATCAGTGTAGCTTCTTTAATTGATGTGGTCATGCTGAATACTTCTGCTTTATAATATTGTACCAGGATAGCGATCACACAGGAGCTTCCATTTATGATATTCCTATGACTGAAGACACCAATACATTATCACCCTACCATGATTATTACTATTTGTTGGATGGAAATAAAACTAGTGATGTTTATAGCCTCCGATTACGATTAGAGAGACAGATTTGTACATCTAGCGCTTCAATGAGTATGTATATGTACGCATAATAATTACGTATTAAATAATTTTCCAATTCAGCTTCATTGATTATCACTACACTTGATGATAGAATAAAAAATATGAAGCTAAGTGTAATAGAATGTTTAAAATTTTTTTAATTTCAGGTGATATTTTGAGAATGTACTTTTTGGTAGGAGGCGATTTCGATGATTTGGAATACGTCGATTGTGTCATTAACGCTGGCTATCCAGTCATGATTATTGCTGGCACAAGGGGTGCAGCAGATATTTTAACGAATCTTTTGGAAGGAAGATCCGATCTTAAGTAAGGTTTCCTTAACTCTCGATATGCTGTAGATGCTTTCTTGCAAAATTATTTACAAATGTTGGATAGAAGTGGTAATTATGTAAAGTAGACGTGCTGAAACGAAAATAAGCCTGCTACTGTATCTCCCGTTAAGATTTAAGTAGTATCGCTTTTCTTAAATACTATTTAGCGCAAGTATCTATAGAAGCCTCAAGATACGATCCTTCCTGGCAGATTCAAAACGTTAACTTGGATAGATTAAGTCAAATCATATACAATATTGGCAGCAAACGTAACCATGTACGTCTATTTCACACATTTATTAGCTTAATGGTTGTTAGAACCATTAAACTGAAACAGGATTCATAATGCACTTGGTTACTCATCTCCTCGTTATATTTCGAAAACACGCACATATTTAAGTTCAATGTCTATCATTTTTTAATAGGTTTATATTCATGAAAGTAGACATGGCGAGGCTTTTAATGACAAAATTTTCGAATTTGTTAAATCAGGTATGTTACAGTTAGGCCAGCAGAATATGGCCGAACCATAAAAGTCATCTTGCTAAAGCCATAGTTATAGCACAAGTGTATAAAATGATCTAGCCGTGGCTAACTTCATTTGATTTAGAATAAAAAATTAATAACTAATGATGTTTTCGTTGCTTTTTGAAAAAAATAGTGAACAGTAAGACGCTAAATGATGAGTATAGAGTAAGATTATTTTGGAGCAATGTTGATGATGAAAAGCTAACTCAGGATTTAATTTTTACAGTAAGTTTTTAAATTTTCATGATGCTATTTCTGTTAGTAGTGGTTACAACTTAGTAACAAGAATTAACTCAATAAATTAAGTTGCTCTATTACAACTGTAATTGTATCCGAATTACGACATGTTCTGATTCATATAATATTGTATTAAACATAACAGATAGCAAGGTTTAATAAAGTATTCGTTATTTTATGATAGATTGAGAATTATCAGAAAGAAAATATCTCTGTCGAATATTTACTTAAATGCGGATTTTTGAAAGGCTCAGGACAAGTCACATTGCTTCTTGCCAATAGTAATTTCATGAGCTACGCGGATATTTTTAACAGAGCTCTAGAGTGGGAAGCAATGAAACCAACGCAGGAAATATTATCCGCTTTGGATTGGATATTTGAAAAAGGTGAAGATGAACTTTCCCAAAGTTTAACTGTAAATGCGTTGGATAATATGTACAGGGTAAGAAAAAAATCAATTATTAGCCATAATTTACTTCGCTGCTTCAATGATACTGCAATTAAATCGATATATTTATTTAATAAAATAAGATATCAAGGTAGTATGAATACGTCGGTCAAAATGCGTTATTACTTTATTCCGCTATTAATTTATTAATTCTTGTTTTATCGATGATAGTTCTCGAGATCGAAAAATAAGGCTATGCAGGTAGTTAACCCTGTAATTTTAGCGTTCTAAATGAATAATGCTAATCGTTAGGGTAGTATTGGACATATTGTATTTAGGAATGATAAAATTTATAATTCACATAACTAGCCTAAGTTCCAACTAAAAGATATAGAGTTCATATTAAGTATCCTTTAGCACCTAAAAATTTCATAGAATATTAAAAAGCGCCACCGTATGATTATTTAGGTAGGAAGTTTAACTGAAGCTGGCCAAATGGTTGAAAAGACTATGGGGTACGGCTATGCAAATCCATACGACGAAATAGAATCTAAAGCCAATGTAATGAGTGACATGGACGACGTACATGTGCAGGAGCCATTCCGAGATTTGTTCATATGGGCCTTATTTTCTTTACGACTTCGGATAGCATTACTGATATGGAAAAGACTTAGGCATCCTACGTCCGCAGCGCTAGTTGCATACAAAATTTTAAGCAATCAAGCAGATGAAACATATAATCAAGAAGAAAAAGAAATGTATCAGTCTTATGCAAAGTAGGGAAATCACTAATGTTCTAACGCCCTTATAGGCTTCTCAATCATTATAGGCTATCCAACTCAGTACTTATAAAAATAAAACACCACTATTTGTAAAATAAACTTGAAATATTTACTTACGTTTAATTTGTAATTGTGATAGTATTTAAAGTTTTTGAAGCTATTATTTCCTATGCAGAAAAGCTGAAAAATTATTATATAGTCGTATTTAAGTTATTGTACACTCTTATGTGATGTATGGAAATTTTCTTTCTTAGTAAATTTATGGATCTTGCCTGTGAAATTGCTAATAAGGTACATTATCGCGATCGCCGTAAATGTCGCTTCATGATGCTGCAAGAGGTTGTGGAATGGGGCAAAGTATCTACGTTTTCTATCATTGCCTTGCATAATATGCCAGAAATCATACAAAGTGACGGTTATATTAATGCCCTTGAGGCAGCCTGGGGTCGCAATATCGACATTGATATACCAAATTCGGTGGTATGTCCATTTATGTTGCAAATACATGTATAAATTTATTTATAAATATATTTTGCATTGGGAAATTATCGTTACTTTTGGATTAGTTCTATCTATATCATACGAAATCAGCGAGAGCTAACTACCTTTTCTATATTATTTTATTATAATAACTCAACTTTTAGAATAATATATAATAATTCAAATGTATATTGAACTATATATACTGTATGTATGCAAATGTAAGCTCACCTCACCTATTAGATGTAATATCTCTCTCTGTTTTGTTTCATAAATTTTCTACAGCTTCTAACAAGTTGTATGCTGCCAATACCTCTTGCCTCCTGGTATATCTTCAATGACCAAAATCGGTTAGTAACTTTCAAATAGTTCATGAAATACCGTACTTGTCTTACGATTAAATTGATAAGCACTAGCTATAATTATTTCTTAATCGACAGTTGTAGATAATTTCATGTAAGTGTTAGCCTCCCACTAATATATACCTTTATTTTATTTTTTTTGTAATTAATATTTATTTAGATATTGGAAAATAGCTAGGGGTCCTTATCAGTCAGTTGACCGTAGGCTGCTATCTAGACTCTACGAGCTTTATGATACACCTTTGGTTAAATTTCGCTTAACCTTCGTAAGTTTATACGAAAGTTCAAAATGTATCGAAATGTTGCAATTTAATGCTTATCGATGACCTACGTACTTGCAATTTGGTTATATTATAAAGCTGAAGTAATGAATTAGCATACTGTAGTCAAGAATTTACCGGTATCTACTGAATTATTAATTCCCTATTGTATTTTGATACATATAGTTGGTTTATGTGGGCTTCACGGTTACCTACGCGGTATTCCTCATTAGATACTTTTATGATCGGCTATCTCCATTTGAAATAGTTATCGCTGCTTGGTTAATAGGGAGTTACATTGAGGACATTCTAATGGTGAGTACATTTCTATTAAAGTCTATAAGCTGTATTACTAACCAATAAGTGTTTCTAATAGTTATTCTTTGGATAAGATAAGGCGGAAAAGTAACAATATACAGTAAAAAATTGTTCCTGTTGATTGTAAATCTATCGCTAATACTAGATTTTACTGCAATCTGCCAATGTCGTAAATGAAATTCTCCTATTGCTAAAAATTGCTAATAACTTTACATATTTAATTTATAGAATCGATGGAAAAATAAATTAAAGTGGAGCTTCTGGGATATTCTATCTCATCTAATGCTAGTCATATTCATAGTGTGCATTAATATGCGAATACAATATACAACAGTGGAGATTAGTAGGATGCTTTACTGCGTCAATTTTGTAGTGATTTGTATAAGAATTTTACAAATTCTATCACCTAATCGTAAACATGGACCAAAATTGATCATGATTTGGGAATTAGTATGTAATATTAACGTAATATTATAATTTATACAGTCTCGCTAATCTCTATTCTTCATTAAAATTTAAAGCACACAAGCTAATCAATGTCCATTTACTTTTTTCATTAATTACGCGATGAATTGGATGATATTTGGCTAGCTATGGGATCTATTCTCTTTCTTTACCATCCTCTTTGTTTTCTTGATATCATACGGTATAGCATCTCATGCTATCTTGTATCCTAATGGAAGTAAACCAACACAAGCACTGTCAGATATACTTCTCAAGCCATTTTATGCCCTCTTTGGTGAATTATCCGTTGATGAAACACGTAAGACAATAGCGTTAATCATAATAAGATATTTTATTGAATATTGTTTTACAATAAATTGCTCATACACAACTTTTAAGCTAAAATTTCACTATATTTTTCACCTACATTTATAATCTACAGTAAAGTACGTAAAATGTCCATCGGATGCGCCAGTAAATTTTAATTTATCCGCTAATCCGCTTTCCAGCGTTTATGGAAACGGAACGAGCTCTACTTCGTATACTTTTTACAACTGTATGGCGGTGGAAATTACTGTTAACATTCTCCTGGCTTTCTATTTGGTCATTGCTGTTATTCTTCTTCTTAATCTATTAATTGCTATTATGAAGTAAGTGTGATATTACAATACTTCAAGTCATTTAATTTCGTAAAGGTTTTTAAGGTTGACTATATAGCATTGCATTTGTCTTGAAAGGATTTTACGCATTTTAAAGGGTTTTTGATTATGCTTTTATGAATTATTTCTATTATGATAACAGCAAGAGCTATGACAAACTAGAAGAAGAAGCCAAATTATTATGGGCTAGCCAAATGACCGGTTTAGTTCTTGAGTATACTTATCGTAGCCCGATTGTCTCTCCATTCAGTATTCTCCTCCTGCCAATGGCTCTAGTTTACGCGACCATAACTGGAAAGTGTATCGATGTCCGTATTGGAGGCAAGCGAAATAATTTTTCCGCACCACTTAGTAAGTTTTTCTCTGTGAAAGCGACATAAAATAAAATTCGTCTATATGGCAATGTCTGCTCTGATTCTAAGGCAAATATTACGATTAAACGTGATAGTTCAAAATCATTTATGCCATTCAATTTATTATTTATCAGAATCAACTAGAGATATGACAAGTATAGAACATTGCCTAGGTTCCATTGAAAAAGAAATTCAGAGTGATATTATAGGAGACTCATTAGATTTTATTGAATTGACCAAAGCTGACAGGTACGCTAACAATTCGTTAGTTCATTTTTCAGGTTAAGTAGTCAGTTGCTAATGTATAGGCTTCTCGTAACAAAGCAATCAAGAATTTGCTGTATAACAGCAATAACGCCGTTCGTAATTCCGGTATTTTTTGATAGTTACTACGTTGTATCGTAATTCGTATGAAGGAGCAGCAGTTTTACAATTCTTCTAGGAAGCATATATAGCTGTAAACTTTCTTTTAATGCATCGCTTTGTGTAGAATATTTACCCGTTAATTTGAAAGGTAAATTTACCCTACTAGTACAAATAATTTATGACTGCAGAGCAATTTTCAAGCTGCTATCGATGGTATCGTAGCGTCATCATCTTAAAATCGCCCTTAATTGTTGATACTTATAATAACATTCTATGAAATATTTGTAGGGATGATCGCCAAGATGAAGAAATTAGGCAGTTAAAGGAAGAACTTAGTAATATCCGTACAAGCCTGAGCGATATTAAGGAATTACTTCAGTCTCAATCAAGCCTTCCTATAAATTCTGAACAAGAAAAATTTTAACATGTTAATAATATAGCAAGTCTCTTCATTTTATCCGCATTTTTTACTGTTAGGATAAAGTATAACTGGCGTAATCGCCAATTTAGGATCTTTGTATAACTATGACAGAAATCTTTAAAGGATGATGCGTAGTGTTAAATTTTAGATATTATTATGACATATCAGTTAATACAAAATTTAATTTATAGAATCTACTTGATAGAAGAGCTAATTTGTTATGGGAAACTAAACTCAGACTGAAACTGCTTTCTCTACAAATTCTATAAATGATAAAATAACCATTGCTAATATCAGCTACGGTAACAACGATGTACGAATATATTGTAACGGTTCAATTTTTTAAATAAGATTTATAAAATGATAATGTATAGTATGATTCAGACATGTTAAAATGTTATTAAACATGCAATATTAACGTAATATCATATTCTCCTTGAACTTTTTATAGTTAGTTATTATCACAACCTTGTAGAAATGTAATAAAAATAGCCATAGTGGCAGCTTTACAATATGATTTTCGTAGTTGACTAGTTAAGAACTTGCCAAAGTTTTGATGAGTGGTGAAGAATTCCTGTTTTGTTCTAGCTCGTTATAGCAGTTTAAACGCGTATACTTACGAGTACACACCATATCGCCCTTCTTTTCAACATCCTTATGACCAGAATATCACATGGCTATAACCGAATCTTTCGATCAAATATTCATTTAATTTTCTTAGTTATATGTGCAATTAACGAAAAGTGAAATACCTTATCAATTTTTATCTGGATAGCAGCAAATTTAGACTCATGGATTGCTGCTATGTTAGCAGATAAACTGAGTAAAGGAATATTTTTCATCCGCTACAATTTTTGAGTATAACTGCAGCTATCGAGACTCAAATCAACATGATGGTATTAGCTTGCTATGACTCTAGAAGCTGTCTTAATAAATCTTAATATGCGTACTTTATGCTTCCGGAATGCTGAATAACGCTTCTTAATTGAGAAGAAAATAGTTTTGGATGGCTAGAATGTACAGAATAATATCTTAATTAATTTACAGTAGAATGGTAGCCTTTCAAGCAATATAATTTGTGAAATTTTACTATCATAGCTATAATCGCAGCAGATTACAGCTTGTTATAGCTCTTAGTACTGTAAATTTATTCAGAAAATAGGTAACGGTGCTTTGTATCATCCAAAATTAAACTTTATGAACTGAGGTTGACTCAGCATAAATTTCGTTATTTGTTTATTCGGAGTTGAGCCAATTCAATAAATGTAATGAGGGTAAGGTAGGTAATTAATTGTTTTACCATAATAATATGCTGGTGAGATGATACTACCCCAGATGTTTAGAAGCAAGTAAATACGGTAAGAATTTTTAATTACCCAGACACCACTAGAACTGAAGTAGCAAAAACAAATGTTGTAGCCTTTTTGGAAATTTATACTGTAGCTCAAATTTGACTTTGCTGTGACAAATTTTCGAAGAATTTAATTGAGATAAAGTATTTCTGTTACTCGTACAAAAATTTTAATTTTATGTAACGCCATTTAATCTTAAATCTTGCGTCCGAATCAGAGTTGCGCAGAGATTACAACAATTGGCTACCATTTAGGATTTCGATAATGGTATATTTCTATAATTTCCAATAATTTAAGTTTCTTTTCATATTGACATAGTCTTTAACTGAGATCTGCTACCTGAAATTACAGAATTTACTCATAATTGATGGAAATAAAGCTTACCCGATCTCCTTCTAAACTAATCTGAGACCAATTTATTGCTAAATAATTAGAGTTTCAATATTATATTCTACATCGCTACAAGACTATCTGAAGTAGCTGGTCTTACATGTAAGATTTCTAAAGTCCTATTAAGATGGAATGCTGTTACTCATCTGCCAGATGTTAGCGTACTGTTTACATTTATCTTTACTGAAATCCAAAGCGTAACTTATTCATTCGTGAAAACTACCGCTGGCCTGCAACTATCCTGTCGCCATTTTCAAAGTCTTACAGCATTTGTTGCTAAGAATCTCAAAGTTGGTATAATTTTATAAAGGATTCATTGTCAATTTAATACACTATCGGTATAATGTCTGTAAGAGCGGACTACAAACGCGCAATTATGAATATATTTTATCCTGGATACTGTAATCCAGACATAGTCTTTCTTTTTTGCGCGAATAATAAAATCATCAAACAGGTCAAAAGATAGTAAACGCCTCCATTGGATCAACGTGCAAGAACATAACCGTACAGCTTTTGTATTGATTAACAATGTCAAATCCGCTGATAATTGCATTTAATTGGCGGAAGGAGATTTACTGCCTCGAAATTATTTCTGACACTGTACTACATGTAGTATAGGTGCTATGCAAATAGCGGATGCCGTTAGCGTTAGTTCTTATCGTATAGACTGTCTACGTTGCATGTACGCACACAAATACAATGTACATTTACGGCATAATCAAATTCTCTTGAGTATTCCTTTTTCAACAAAAAAACTTGTGTCACGCTAAGGCTTTATTTCTGCAGATCCACCGTTGAGTAATCATTTGATACTATATTCTGTAAAACAGAATCATTTTTCGATACGTACGGTGGTGGAAGAAGCAACTTCATTAAATCTCTACCAGTCATTACGATAAAATTTGTCAATTAAAACGGATCCTTCAATGCTTATATATTCTCTAATCACTGCTCATTTCCTATATTGGTAAAAGTAAATGAAATATTTAATAATTGAGAAATGACTCCAAAGAATAGCATTTGAAAGAAAGCCAAAGCTATAACATCTATGCGATCACTAGGATAGAAACATTTTTAATAATCGAGAAAAAAGGCTCCAGCTACAATAATAAATTCCGCCACTGCTACAAGAACATTTTACTTTGAGGTTTAGTACCTAATTGATGAAATAAGTTAAGAACGTGGGCCACCTTATAGCGCAAGAATAAAAGGTAAGATTTAAAAGGTAACTATATGATTGTTGATATGACATGCTTACCCACATAGCAGGATAGTAATTTTCGCAGAAATTTAGTGATGATGTACTAGACATTACACTACTAATAGTTTGTAGGAAGAAACTGTCAGGTATTCATAATTGGACCTAAAAACTTTTCAATACAGCGATATTACCAGCTAAAGTGTACCGGTAAGTAATTAATCTTTGATCTTGTAATAAGTTTACAAATACAGTATTTCTTGATGGAAATTATCGAAATATAATAATTTAACTAACTTTTTTGGATAGCTTACGATAATAAATTTTACTTGCCATCTCGATTTAAATCATTTGATGAATGCAGCTAGTAAAGGAGTAGGGTATGCGTAAAGTATCCCTTTCTGATCGGTATTTTAAATCCTCTAAACTTAGAGTTTTAATTATAAGGGATAATGAGATAGTATAGGCTTTCGATCTATACAGTGTGGAATATCATCATAATTATTTGCAGGTACGGTACTGTCTTTCTTGAAAGTAGCGATACTGAACGGATTACTATCTTTAATTATAATTATAGTTTACTCTAAATGTAGCTTTTAACATATCTTGGTTGATTAACTATGAAGTCACTTTATACGAGTAAAGGATTATTAATCAATGAATCATATTCATTATTTATTATTTTACGTAGCGAATTTTTAAAGATACTGCGCTTCATCTTGATAGCTGAAGACTATGTGATGTCTATTAAACACTATACGAAAGGATATCATTTTGGTACTTTTCATCATTATAAATCTTCACTGTAGAGGTCGATGATACATATCAATAATACCCTTTGACTAGTCTATATTAGAAGTTATAATCCTAAGAAATACTTTGATTTTATCAACATGGCAATCTCGCCATCCCCTCAGGCATACAGATTAATTGCTCATTGTTAAAATCATGCATTGTATTCAAAGACTCAAACATTCATTCTGTATTGTAATTGCCTAGGGATTAGCCAATCAATAGCAATAAACTGCATTCATTTTGCTCGTAGATAAAAGAAGTAGCAAGTAGTTCGGGCTGTAAGCAGATGTCTTAAGGCTTAGTATCATAGATCTAGTACATTATATATATAACATATTCATTATCACACTGCTGGCATATTTAAATTTGATACTAGACCGTTTGCCCTATTTTATTTCTTCGCGTAAATTGTATGATTTTATAACACAACTACAACGCATTAGAAGGAATTTAAAACATGGAACGAATTATGATTTAGATACACTTACATTTAATTATCTAAGACATCAACAAAAAATGATTCAAATAATTTGGTGTAGTATAATAGGAAGCTAGTTCGAATGTGGCTACGATTGCATACATTATATTATTAGACCGTTATTGTTCGATTTTGTTTTGGTTTAGTATCAGCTATAGCTGTTATCAATCTAAAATATGTATTGCAGATTATGAATAAATTGCTAATACATGATATAGCAAAAGGAAGTGCAATCACTTAATTATTCTCTCAGCTAATATTAAATTTAATATTAGAAGTTAGAAATGGCTAAGTTGGAGGAATATTCTACTACCCGCAAGTCAATAATTATGGCAACACTATGCTTTGTATATACATTATGGGGAATTATTTACAGCCTGCCTGTGCCATTTTTCCCTCGTGAGGTACAACACTTTACGTGATATTGATCCAATTAAGTCACTTACAACAGTTATAGATATTATCGACATGATGTTTCATCTGTTTTTTGTGTAAATAAAAGGCCGTCGCTAGTGGTTTAACCTTGGCGGAAATTGGAATAATCTTTACTATGTACCCTGTTGCGTTATTTGTTTTCTCGCCAGTCTGCTCTATGCTGGTATGAACACTAATCATGACTAAAACTATTTCATTGCAGATAATAATTATTATCACGTAAATTCAGTAATATAGCTACGTAAGTTTTCGTTTTGAATATCAAGCATAATAATTGTAGAGCTTTGCAAAATCGTTTTATTCTCTTGTATATGAATGCAGAATCAAACTTGATAAGTAATCGGAAAGTATTCATTTTAGCGTTTAGACAAGAAGAGTTTATTCTGTGATTATTTTAGAGGATAAACTTCCATGTTATCATATTCTTAACAAATTCGAGAATTATTACTACAAACAGCATGGATAAAATTTGCTATCAATCAACTCTAATCCAAACTCTTTTAACAGTTACCGCGGATCGGGTCAAAATATATGATGTGGGCAGGTATGACTATAGAAGGCAGCTGCACAATTTTTTTAGGGTAAGGCAATTAGTGTTCAATCTAGCTTATTACAATAATCTCAAGTATGCGATATTAACAGTCGAACTACCGTATCGATATCAACTTAATTAAAAGGTATAAATATATATCTACTTTTTAGAACCTTGAAATTCATGCATAACAGAATGCATTTTCTGGTTATGGCATTAATTATTCGATTTGTGCAAGGTATCGGGGCAGCTATTCAGGGAATTGCTGTCGAATCTGCGATTATCGTATTATACCGTGATCGTATAGCCTCCGCAAAGGTATTGTCAGTCCCGAGTTACGAGAGCTGTTTTACTGTTTTGTGTCATAGTTATATTTCCATATGGTTTGCAATATTATTTAAAAAATTAGTATCAATTAAAATTATTTATATATAGAATCATTTTATTTTTATAATGAAAATCTTCACAAAATATTTATACCTATGAAGCTGTAGGGATACGAACCCGAGTATTTTTTAAAGAAATTTGCTTGTTAATAAAAAACCTGTTCTCATACAATTCGTAAATCTCATTCTAGGGTTTGATGGAGAGTTTTGGAGGTCTAGGATACGCTATTGGGCCTATAATAGGCGCAGGCTTTTATGCTGTAGGTTTACACTAAGGTCTTATAAATTTTAAATTACGTACTAAATGAGACGCAAAAACTCAGCTAGAAATTTTCGTAAATGTTCATAGCTTGCTACTATACGTTGTAAGATACAATACTGCACTGGAATAATTTAATATTTATATATACCTCTCAGCTCGGTGGATATTCCTTGCCCTTCTTTGTCGTTGGTTCTACTATCGTTGTTCTTGGTCCTGTTGCAGCATTTGTTGTTCCAATGATATTAGGTTAGTACATTGATCATAACAGACACGATGTAATGATAATCAACAGGAATATTTGCGGTACTGTAATAATAAATCATAGCTATATATCACTATTATTCATTTCTGATAGTGTTTTTTATGATTATAATAGATAAACAAGCAACGCCTTGGAAATCTATGCTAAAACTAATTAAGAACTTTTATATTTTTATATTATGTAAGTGTACAAGACTGTGGGTATATTTATTCTGTTTCTATAAAAGTATTACGAATATGACTATCCAGTATGATATTATTCTAGAAGAATATCTTTGTTTGTTAGGTTTTGGAGTGTTTGTTCAAGAATCATCGTTGACCTTTGTAGAGACCAATTATTCTATTCATTTGGTATCAGTATGTATCTATAAATGTAACGTATCCCGGTAATTTAAACAACTTCTGCAATTTAGAAAATTTTGCTGGCTGGATAACAGAATTAATTAAGGCTTTAATCGCTGTATGATTACTAGAGAGCTGCTAAATATTTAGTTAATTTTATTTTAAATTGAAGCTATCTACAGTATTCAGGCAAATCCTTCAGTGTACTAGAATCAAATTTCTTGCTAAGCTATTTTTATTCTATTCTACTTGTGAATTTAAATCAGTTCCATTTGAAAGTGGTGAAAGCTGCTGCTCTTATGCTAATATTAGCAGTGTGCTATGCAACAATGGGAATAATCATTGGTCTAGTATCTGATCGTTTGGTAGGTCTGAACATATACGAATAGATATCTACTCTGTAATTGTAAATGACCATGTGATAGTACTAAGCATTATATTTGTATGGCTTGACAGGTAGTCTCATTAATAGGCAACTTAAGGCTTTAGCTAGCAGATCTATCAGTTAGATGTACGGCTGTATGCCCTCTAGTTATGCTATCTATATATAGTACATTATGACAAAGCTGCAATGAGCATTAAAATTGAGCAACACTTCTAGACTTATCTGCTAACGAGGTTGTCCATTTATCTTAATATTACTGTTTAGGGCTACAGAAAATTTCTAGGAGCTGGATATTTTATAGCAGTGATAGGATTGGAATTTATGGGTTCATTCCCTTATTTTCATGTCAGACCGTAAGGCTATTCTCAAAATACCATTGCTATTTAGCTTCATCAATAATTACAGTTCCATCTGACATAATTCATAAAGTGTCTGATGATATTATGATAAATTTAGTCATCTAAAAATTGTTATTTTTAACTTTTCGATCGCACGGCATTGAAAAATTAAGGAAATTATGGCATTTTCTTCTTGGCATGTCCGCTTTTGGAATTAGCACCGGTGGAGTCATGATACCTACCACCGCCGAAATGGTTCGGTATGCAAGGTAAATCATTCAAGTGGTACGTAAATTTTATGCCACAGACAGAGAACGAATAATTAATGAATATATTCGAAATTAATAATGATACATTCAAAAGAAATAAAAATCTTCCTAAATATATTAGTTGCTCCTTATCGTCACGATACTTTAACAACGGTGCAATAAGTTAGATTTAGCTTCATTCTGCAAAAGCACATATTGATATTTAGGTATCGAAAGACATAGTTTAAAAGAATTATGTTCATTCTGCATCACAAAACCCCGATTTTTGGAAGTTTCGTGATGCTTTATTGCTACAATTTAACTTGAGTTTTCAACGTAGCAATCTCTGTTCATTTTACACTCTGATCAATTTCTATATACTGTACTGCAGTTGCATCGAAGTAAGTGTTGTAAAGTAATCGAGTATCGAGATTTTGCGTGTGGTCTTAATCGGTCGTTTACTGTATTTGCTGCAATAAAGCATCCGTATTATATAAAAAAATCTTCTTAACTATTTTTGGGAGCTAGTTACTACATTTTCGACCGCTAGTTTTTTGGATGAGTATCAATAATCTCGATTTGTGACAATCTTCATTGAAAGTTAACCAGTGAACAAGTGTACGTTCTGGTATCCGGTGGAGTGGTATTTTCTAATAAATATTGGATATGCCATAGTTTCCAAACAATATTGAGCAATTATTTAACTATCGATTTGTAAGAGTATCATCTGGTACACATTTTAGATATAGTGACTGTAATTAACGTATTTGGCTATTTCATACTGAAAATACTAAATTTATACCTGTTTACCAACTCAAATAGGGAGAACAATGTTGGAGATGACCTTAGCGTCTATACCTGCGTTACAGGTTTATTCAAAATGGCACAATCGTTAGGGTAAATAATTAAAACAGTAGTAAAATTTAAATCTGAATCTATCTTTAAATTCTAATCCCAGTAAATATATCTACGATTATATGATATTAGCAACATGATAGTTAAAAATTTAGAAATAGATAATTTACCTTGGTTCTACCTAATCTCGCATCCAAGCGTAAACACAATTGTTACGTATATGTGAACGTGACCGTATGCGAAATGACAATACGGACAGACATTTTGCAAACTGCCCATACTATTGCTACTATATGAGTATAAATGAGTACATATATTCTAGTTTATTAAAACTTCGGATAGCAAAATATCTACTTTGTAGTTGGAGTATAATCTAAATACTAAGTATAGTATGCTTAATCAAACATTCTAGCATGATTTGTGGCCCTGCCGTTGGTTCAACTTTAACTTCTTTACCTCAACTAAAATTTCCATGGACTAGCACGGTAAGCTTCTTATGTATAAGAAACAACGTTTACTTTAATTCAAGTATTAGCATGATATTGAATCGAAAAATAACATGACAAGCTTTAACTTGCAGCGAGATATAGTTATGAGCCTACTAAAGAATTATAACAGTCAAGAATATACAATTCGCTCTGCTTAATCACTTAACTAATTAAAATTATCTGCACAATATTAGATATGGTACTATAGTTCTACATTGATAGATTAATCCAAGCTGCTCTTCGCATCTCACGCTATTTCTAGCAATGTTTACAATCATACGCGTGTACATAAATGTATCGGTGCCACAAAACAGCTTTGCAACAAGATAACGCAATATACGATCAATAAGTCAATTCCTTGAACCACGTATCAAGGAACGATATCTGGACTATCACGAACACTTTTGCTCTACTAGCAGACTACACAAAGACTTAAACGCCTTGTATTTTACGTTTGACACTAAGTTGGAGAAATTCACTTTATTTCACGATATACTGCATTTATATACTACTCCTCAATAGTTCATGAGCCATAGTTAATACAATTAACATTGGAATCATTTACTGAATTAGATATTAATTTTAGCTACTGCTCCCTTAATGCAGACAACAGTATTTACGAACATAGACATGTAATGACTAATGCAGAATAGTCAGATTACGATATGTCCTATCACGGAACATTTCCATGATAATTTACAGTCTACCATAAGTAAATTACAATCACAATGATTCGAACTGTAAGCAGATGATTTGCATTCCCTATTATAACTATTAATTTCGGTATGTGTATAAGTGTCACTGTCATAAAAAGTCAGTGCTATATTAAAACACGGTATATCCAAATTAGAAGTTAACTAAATAAGGATAGTCTAACAGAATTATCCTAACATAGATATTTCTACTGTAATACAGTATTTAACACTGTAACAATCGGTATCCTAACCGGAACCTATGATAGATACTGTAGCACTAACTTTAGCTAGAATAGTGAGAAAGAGCGGTCTATTATTAGTTCACGTTGCATAAAGTAAAATTGTAATAACGGTACTGTAATATTTAAAAGTACACAAGTGTAAGAGCGGATTTTATCACTCGATAAATTTGTTTTGCTAAACATCTAACAGTATATTTAATCTCTATTCTAGATATTTGGTGTTGTTACTTTTTTTCAAGTAAGTGGATAATGATATTGTAATACTTACATACTGAAATCATATATTTAGGATCTTGAAATGATAAGGTGGTACTCATTCATTATTTTTAATACTACTCCATTATTATTCTAGTTTTTAATATTTGCTGCATTTGTCCTCTATGAAACCTTTTGTGCAAAGAAATCGTAAGTAAATTTAGATAAAAATTTAAGCAAGCCAAAAACTAAATCATTCATAAACTGAAATTCTAATATATCATTTACTAAGTTAAACATGTTTATAATTAAAACATTCTTTAATATGATTATCTAGTGATAGTAATGATGGTAAGGGTAACTACAGCCAAATTTCGGCAACTGATGAAGAAGATGATGGAAATAAAGAATTCAAATCTGTAGTGGCTAATGAATCAGAAGACGAAAATATCGACAATAAATCAGAAAAGTAGAACAATTTCTAACAAGTTCAATCGTAGCATAAAGTACATCTTAAGTAGATGCGACATTACGCAATAGAATTATTCCATTACTTATAAAATGCATGCATCGCCCACCAATGATTGTGAAAGCTACAATCTGAATTTTAATTTCATATCCTAGCAAATACATAAAAAAGAAATCACAGCAAAGTTATCTATGGATCTATGCCGATAAATTTTCTGACTTAAGTAACTGATTTTAATCTATTAATAAGACTAATTGACGTACTTAGTTAATTTAATCGATTGCTGGACACTTAAACTCAGCTAATATTCTATTATACAAGCATATGAATTGGGATCAATATTCAGCTATTGCTGCTACTGGGATATTAGATGATAATGTAAAGGAATTGAATAAGTTAATAACTTCTCATTCGTTGCAGACAAAATTATTAAATAATTTAGGTACTAACCAAAATAAGGCACTACTACCGCTATCATTGATGTAGCTCTGCTGATATTTATATCTAAATGATAATTAAGTGGTATTCTGTATAGCATCAGAAATCAATTTCTTTCCGCATTCCTATATATTATATATTACTGTATATAGTTGTAGTAAAGTGGTTTAATATGCTGTAGATCTGCTATTACCGAGGTATTCTTTTCACCACCTCCAGTACTGTACTAATGCTATACCACAGGTTAAAGTTCGGTAAAGAAATATGTGACATCTTTCAGCTACGGATTCCGTTTATTTACACTATCCAGAAATGTTTGTATACTAGCCAAGGATACATAGACAAAATTTTTGCTATAAACGATTGCTACCGACAAATTACCCTTTCAAATGAACGTGAACATAATCTGCACAAAGCAAATAAATTAATAGAAAATTTACAAGCTAGATTATCTTATAATTGATAAAATCCTTATGCAAAATTCATTTACTTGTTGTTTATCTACTGTATATGTCTGAATAAATTACCTGCTTAGGTCTTTGTATTAATGTGGATATAATTATCACCCTAGGATAGGTTGTTGTAATGATTTCAGCTAATTAAATTAGTCATGTTTTAGGAAATCCAGTGATATTATGTGCTATAGAACTGTATATCTTAATAAAGTAAGGTTAAAACCTATACATTATAGCTATTTATATAAATTGTATGATATTACGCTATAGTTATTTAGTGATAAGAACTTTACAATTTTCCTTTTTCTTAGTGTATCTATTGTAATGATATTAAGTTTATCAAACATGGTTTGACTTTGCTGTTACTAGCTGGCATTTAGTTCGTGATAATAGGTGTTTGGTATACTCTCATTAGTACGATTGCTACATGTGTGGATGTTGTAAGATACTGATATCTTTACATAGCCTATAACTATCGTATATATCTAGACATATTTTCCCGTAGTTTAATTTATAGTCATTTTATTACTTATCTAGTTAGGTATTCCGAAGGATATCTAAATCTTTGTTATCTTTAAGAGCAGTCTAGCTTCAAAGTGCTGTAGTATATTTTTTTCTGCTATAATGATGATGATAACTAACTTTTAAAGTAGAATTAATGCCAGAATATTCTTTCTGAAAGTAATCCTGATAATGTTAGAGGGAAGATATGGCTAGTTAACGTAAAGATAAAATAAATAAACTATTACAGTAGCAGCTCCATCATCTGTCTTCAAACAGCTCTGCTACATGGTAAGCGAACAAAACGAATTTATAATAATCGCTGATCAGATACAAATAAGTACCAACTTATGATGCCCTCTTACGTAATTAAGCTATTAAATATATACAATACTGTAGTAGTATTTATTATCGTTGATAGATATCAATCATAGTCATGTAGTCAATATGCCAAGGCATCACAAATTGTTTTTCTTGTACTAGTAGAAAAATTTCTGGTATCCACCTACATTGCTAATAAGATCAGGATAAAAAGTATATTTATTTCAGCTGACGGATCAGTTGTAGTTTAGTACAGTTTCAAAGAAGTAGAGAATTTTTACGTTGTGATTTTGCTAGTATCAAAGTCCAGTATTTCAGTTCAATGGCTCATTACTCTATCTAAGATTATGTGATAGAAGATTTTAAAGTCTGTGACTGCAAAGGGACCCTAAAAATGATCTATCGTGCTGTTCTATCAGGATTAAATGACTGAATTTATAATTATAATCACTATTGATGGAGGTAAATTAATGCAAGTGATATTTGCCATATAACATCATTTTTAATTGTAAAAATAATTTTTTCTTCTATAGCCCATCTTAAGATAATATACTATTGTGATGGCGCTACTGCTCTCACGCTTGCATTGGATAGTGTACTGCGTAGATACTGAGGGAATTTCCGCTAACAGAAAAATATGTTTGGTATTTTCAACTTTGATACGTATGTAATGGTTATGTCACGTATTTGTGGTAATCTGTCGCTATAGAAATTTATAAGATATCTCAAATATTCTTTTAGATGCGAACTTTGAGCCCAATATACCACTGTCACCGTTATTACCATTATTATACTGGGGCTTTCTTTGAAGGATCTAGATATCTTATTTAACAGCTTTGGTACCGATGCAATGCTCGTATGTTCGCACCTCTTAGGGCTTAGATACAGTAAGACAATGTTAATGACCATAATCCTTATAGAGTTCACTAAGAAGTCATCCTTGTTCTCTAGCTTTCACCACTATAGCAAACTTATTCCAAAATTTCTAATACGATTCATATCAAATACTTATATAAAATATAATCATTTTGAAGGGTAGAGAGTCAATTTTTTAGCTCTTAATGTATTGTGGACACTAATTTCTTTTCTACTTCTCCATTCCCAAACCTGTTATTATCAAATACTAAGACAGTACACGTAGTCACTTAAAAAATCTATGTAATGTTGCTAATAAAACATTAGTTGAAAACTTCAATTATTGTTATTCCAGATACTCCTGAAGTTTGATATATTCCGCTAAACAAGATAATATATTTCTATGGTATCATTCAAACTAGTAAAACACGAGAAAATTTCACTTTATGTATATAGCCAATAGAAGATGATCGAATGGGGACTTTACATAGCGTCATGCTGTGCAAGTATGAGTCAGCTAGAATAGTTAAAGTAAGTAGAAGTGTTTAAACCTGTATCATCGATATCCATCAGCTAGTCTAGAGTCACTAAGACAAACATAGAAGATAAAGGAATTTCCCTTATCAAATGAAAACATTCCGTTTCCCCAAAACACCAAATAAATTGCCTATCGGGCTAGACAATAGTAAACTAACAAGTATGAGTCATTTATCAACTTACTATCAAGGTAGGAATCGAGTGTAGCCTGTGTAATAATAATGCGATTCATAATATGATTACATATTTTGTGCTTAATAATAATACGAAATCCTTCTTGCCTAATGCTATTAATTTCGATAGGAACATTTGATAAAATCAGTCTTACAACGTTAATGGATGGAAGTGTAGACTTAACAACATGCGAGTGCTATCTATGATCAGAATGTGCAAGATAAATTTAGTAATTGCAATATTATAGTGACTAAATATTAGTTATTAGCGATAAAATAATTAACTAAATTACATGGGATCAACTTAAAGTTGAATATACGCATAAATAATGATAAGATATATATTTATGTAAAGTAGAGCAATGTATTAGAACATTATAAAATTGTCGTTTACTATATTATGCATACGAGATAAATTAAGATGATTATATTAATTCAAAGTAGAAGTTAATTTTAAGAACATCAATGTCATGTACCATAGGTGTCAACGATCATCATCCTGCATTAAAGATTGCATACTGTAAATGTATGGGTGCCATATATGTATCATTGATTATTATTTGTGGCTACTGGCCGAGACGATTTCAGAATTACTTCGTCACTCAGAAAATGCATTATTCATACATCCAAGTAACCTTTTATTTGATAAAAGTCCAGCGTCGAAATTAGATAGATCTTTCGAAGTGGACAAATAAATCAACCTATAAATCTTTCATGCCCATAGCAAATTTCTAGACTACAATTTATTTACTTAAATGGATGAAACCTTTGAATACCAGTTCAGACTGGTCTGTTTTAGTTACCATGTGAATGCATATTACATCAGCTCATTATTACAGTTTCTAAACCTGTTACAATGTTATACTTCATTACGTATTTGTTTATCTTCCCCAGAGCAACACGTTCGGCTAATTATAGTACAAATTTATTATTATCGCAAGGCATAAATAGCAGAAGCAAAGAGCTTTAGTTCTATTCTAAATTTGATATTGCCTGAATGATTAAGTCAAAAAATTGAAGAATATCAAGACAATGCGTTTAGATAAACAAATTACCGTGCTCCATAATCCTGCTCACGAAAGTAATTATGAACTTTTCCTACCATATCATCGTAAAGTTTCCACCTGTATATCTCCAAACAATTATTTCGAAATATTACAGCAGTACAACAAAGAAGAATCTGATGTTAAGAGCGTTCGGAAAGATCGTTATAAAGTATCTAGATTTGGTTCCAGAAAATCGCTAATTATTGAAAGTTATCCTAAAGAGCTTTTTACCGGAGCAGCAGCCTATTGCAGCTGTTTAGGCAAAAAATGCATCATTGATATTGATGTATCTACATCCAAGACGATAATCAAGATCAGAAAGAAAGGATTCACAAGTCATGAACTGACTGTTGTAGTTTTTGGAATAGAAATTCAGAAGTAAGCTCTGAATTGACTTCGGCTAGTAAGTTACTTTAAGGAATGGTAAAAGTCTGTTCGAAATCAAAGGGGCCAATTTATTACTAATTCCTTAATATGCATAGGTTTACTTACTCAATACGTATTAAAAATGTGAATTAAATTATTATGGAGTATTATTAATCTTATTGACTTCACTGGTTGGAAGATATATTCCACTAATTTTATTTTAAGCTTTTATTTAATAATATAAGTTTCAAAAAAAAATCATTCATTGAAATGTACAAGTATAACTCGATTCAATCGAAATATCACGCTTCTTTACTATCAAATGATATTTGTTTTAAGAAACATTAGATGGATGAGATTGATTTATTAATTAGTGAATTATAACTGTTACATACCTAGCACCTACTGAACAATTTAGCTTTAATGTTTATACGTATACAGTCGACCTTATGAGCATTGAAAAATGCCTAGGTTCGAGTATTTATAGTTGCTCATATATATTAATTTTCTGAATTACACTCATCAGCATATGGAACTAATTAGATAATACAGTATTATATTTAAGGAAAGGAATCTGTTTTAATTTCATTTTATAGTCAAACGGAATTACTTAAAAAGTATGCATAATATCGTCCTATTACCGTTCAATATCCTTGCATAAATTAATTATCAAATTAATAGCTTTTAATATCTATACAGATTAAACATTATACGTATATATATATGTTTACTTATATATATAATTAATAATTGATTTGCTCTAAATGTTATGAAAATATAAACTTATACGCGTATATCAATTGGAAAGGATTTTGCTTTATTTTATGGCATAAATGAGTACACTATACTGTACTGTATAGTTTGCTGATCTTTGGTATCCTATGTTGCCTATAATTACAGTATATAATTTACGGCTAATGATAACATTGTACAAGTCCTGCATAGCCTGTAAAATATACCATTGAGCATAATTATGTAAAAATACGATAACTGAATTCGTTCTAGAGATGAGGGAGCATTTTATATCGAAGGATTTTGAACAGTCAGCGGAAGCAGGAGCTTCTAAAAAAGAGAATTTTTCTTTAAAATCCATACTGTGGTGATGCATGAGATTTGTTGCTGTCATTAAACCAAAAAATTTGAATAAAATATTGATTAAAATTCAATTTTGTACAGCTGCCTGTACAGAGAGCTACAGTATGATTTATTGATTCATATCGTACGTATTATAGAACTGCATTTGATCTCCAGTACACTAATAAGAGTAAATGCACGCCAGCAGCACAATACTGTACTTTATCGTAGTAAGTGATGCTACTGATTTAGTATAGAATCAATAATAAAAGACAGCTCAAACAAAGTGTACAAAGAAATCTATGCAAAATGTCTTGCATCACTGCAGCTGGGACTTGATGATGCAATGGATTGACCGTAGTGCCTTCCCAATCTCGTAGTATTCACAGTGAATTCAAAACCTGTAGAGTGTACAGTACACTGTGCAGTACGCTACGGATTGTAATCTAACAGTACGGTACAGTATAGTACTGTACAGTACTTTCTTTGCTGATACGGTACTGTACAGTACAAGCAACAGTACAGTACCGTGTACTGTAGAGGTACTGTACACTAGTACAGTACAGTACTGTACTGTACAGTACTGTACCACTTTCTGCTCCAATCCTGTAGTATTCACAGTGAATTCGGAACCTGTACAGTACTGTACTGTACTGTACGCTACGGATTGTTTTCTAACAGTACTGTACAAGTGTACATGTACTGTACTGTACTTTCTTTGCCGATACGGTACAGTACAGTACAATTACTGTACAGTGTACAGTACCACTTTCTGCACAGTACAGTACAGGTTCATAGTCCATACAGTACTGCACTACAGTACAGTACAGTACGCTACGGATTGTTTCTAACAGTACAGTACAGTACAGTACAGTACAGGTCCATAGTCCATACTGTACTGTACAGTAATACAGTACTGTACAGTGTACAGTACGCTACGGATTGTTTTCTAAAACAGTACAGTACAGTACTGTACTTTCTTTGCTGATACGGTACGGTACAGTACAGTACTGTAACTTGTCTTAAAATTTCCGCGTGGCGACTTACTGAATGGATTGCCTGATGATTCGCAGTAACGCGGATGCTGGTAATTAGTATTCAGCTCTAATTAGTAATAATATCAATCGAGTTTGAACAAGCTTGGAACGACTAGCTTTATTATTAATCCAGATACGTGTAGTTACCGTTCATCTCTTCAAGTCCGACTTGCCCAATTTCTGTTCTGGCGATATTTATTAATTAATTATTGTGCAGTATAAGGTAAGTGGTAAATAGGTATCTTTCCTCTTGCATAGTACAGCACAATTGATCGATCTAACTGAGCTTCAGCTAGTGAGCGCACATTAAGAAGCAAGCAGGAAAGTAATGTAGTGTTCTTCTTTGAACCCTGTATTCTTGCCGAACATGCTCTACTGTAAATAATCAGAGTTATTTTTCTACGAAATACATATATATATATATTATACAGTAGCACGCGTATGGTTATGTAGTTATCACAATAGTTCATGGCAAGTGTCAGAAGGGCTTGCACTGACTTTTCATATTGAAATAGTTTCCACAATCCCATTCATCGTTCGGATCAATGATCTCATCTTTTAATAACCTTACTGGGATAGACTATAGTAAAATTTTAATCAACTTTGATCCCAGTTTTGATTCTATTACATATATTAAATTAGTTTATTCATACTAATTGTATGATGTAATATTAACTTTTCCAGTTGGTTTCTCCTTAATTAATATGCACAGCATTCGTATTTTTACTTGCTTGTTTCAGCAGCGGCAACTGCTGCACCTGTTTAGGTTGAGGTCTTATAACTTACGGAAAGCCTACTGCTAACCACTGTACCGCCAACCATTTTGATGGAGACTTAGTTGCTTCCTTATTTACCGTTAGAAAATTTTAAGCTCAGGATTAACATTTAAATCTAACTGACTGTTGTTATTGAAGTTTAGGACGCAGCATTACTGCATCGGTATGGGAACAACACAGAGTAACGGAAATACGAATTCATCTTTGCAAAGTACGGATAATAAGCCTAATCAGATAGAGCCTACAGATAAAAGTGATGCTACAGTTTCAGCCAGTGAATGTCCAATGCATGGCAAAACTTCTGATAAAAGTCTAATAACCGCTACTCATGGCTCTGATAGAACTCAACCCGATAAAAAATTATTAGCTGGCCAATGTCCTATGCATGCAAATAATGACCCACCAACTGCATCACAAATTGGGCAATCGGTATCGTCAAACACCGGCAGTCATGCAAGCGGTAGTGAAGAAATCGTGTTAGAAAATATGGTAAGATTTATTTTTGTAATATCTTCCTCGGGTAATATTGCAAAATGATAGTCGTGTAATTGAGTAAAAGGATCGATGTAACTGAAAGGTAATATATAATATAATATATATTGTACATTTATACGGTTTTATTCACAATTGCGTTTAAAATGAAGGTATTAACTATATTTCATCATAATTTGTTGGTTATTTCATGTGTAATGTGATTATACGCTGTATTGCACTGATAGATGCCTCCACCAAACCAGAGGCCGTCACCTGGACAACCTTTTTCACTCTCAACTGATAGAGAAATCTCATCAATTCCGAAAGCAAGCGATAAGGAGGAGAAGTGGGTGTATCCCTCACCTCAAATGTTTTGGAATGCTATGCTGAGGAAAGGATGGAAATGGGAAGATGATCAAATTAAGAACAATGATATGGATTGGATTATAAGGATGCATAATACTAATAATGAAACTGTATGGCGGGAAATTTTAAAATGGGAGACGCTACACGCCAAGTACATCAAATTTAATATTGGATTATATGATCTTCTTACTTCATCTTAGCATCTACACTTTTCTATGCAGTATATATATGCTCGTAGTCATAAAATCGCTTTTATTTCATGGTTGTTTGTATTAATATAGTAAATCATATGTAAGGGATTGTGATACTTAATCTTGAATTTTGTATCTCGTTGAAGGGAATGCGGTCAGCCAAAGTTAGCTCGATTTTATGGCAAAGCTCAGGATTTCTCTCCTCGAGCCAGAATACGAAGCTGGCTAGGGTAACTCCTTGTACATATGAAAGTTTTAAGAATAGAATCCTTAATAATTCAGTAAGTTAACTTTAAGGAATTATCCTAACGCGCTCAATGATTTAAATACTTTATTATAGATACGAACTGCCATTTGATCGTCACGACTGGATCATAAATCGATGTGGCAGAGAAGTTCGTTACGTTATCGACTTTTACGATAAAGGAGAAGTTGATCCACAAACAGGTGTTGTTGCTCTACTGGATGTACGACCTGCGTTAGATTCGTGGGGAGCTGTTTGGGACAGAGTGAAAGTGGCTTGGTGGAGGTGGACATCATAAACCCTACAATTGCTATGCTAGCATACAGTACAGAAGCTATAATATTGCTACTACAAGTATACAATAATAACAATTCTTCACAACCTTGCAGATTCTTTTTGCCTAAGGAAATTTTTGTCGCATAATTACATTATATTTAGTCTAAACTGTTCATATCCTGTACATCCGTACGAGTATAGTCTGCATAGCTTTCAATGCTCTATTGTGCACCTGGCGTTAATTAAAGCAGTCATCGATGCATATGCATATTAATATAAGTGGCAGTGTATGAAATACGTAATCGAAGTTATGATACTTTCTTTATTTAATATTACAGTGATTCGTTGAAACTGACGCCTTAATAGTTTATTCATTTATCGTTAGTAGCGTAATCTGCTTGACTACGTTTGATCAAAATCTAGTAGCGGTAAAACTTTTTATTAATCTTTTACTGTAAATACATTGATATTCGTCGGATTTAGGTACAGTACTAAGAAAAGAAGTATGAGCTTTGATTTATACTTTTCAACAATAAAATGAAGATAAGATCCGACGGATTAACATTACAGTAGATGAGCATTACAAGATATAACAAGATAATTTTATTCAAAGATTATACAAATTTTAATTTGCTGCAGTAACTTCCGTAAGTGCATGCTAGACTATTCTGTCAGCGAAATGCACCAATTTGCAATTTTTGTACAAATAAAAGCTATCCTTTGAAATACCTTCTCTGTGCGGACGAAATAGGAACAACTGCTGAATTTCTCGAACATTAAATGTTATCCATTATTTTGCATTATTAATCTTTTTAAAGGTATTAAACGAACTTGACAATTGAACTTTGGCATTTTAATTAATACAAATAATAATACTGTCAATGACATACGACAACTAATAAGGTTAACGTAATTTATACGACAGTCTTCCATCTGTGAGTACATTCAGCGTAATATGCTATATTAATGTAATTAGCTAAATATCAAAGACAGTAGAAACACGTAGCTTGTACATACTGCCGTAAACAAACCCACGAATCATTCTCAACTTGCGAACATTACAAAACACATCGTATAAACAGAAGTAGCAGATTCAGAATAACACCTGTTACACAATATTATAAATGATAGGCATCAATGTAATCTTTACAAAGCTTACATTACTCCAAAGACTAATGATATCGCTGATGGCATAATAATATATAAGACTAGTTTAGGCAAATCCAATGCATCAACTTAACATCAATCTTTGTATGAGATTGCTAAATTTCAACTTAAAAGTCTTCATTATCAGAAGACTCCGAAGAGGTTATTGACGAGTCACTGGAGCAGGAAACTGCATTTGATCTAGTCGTCTGCCTTAGATTTTTGGTTGTCTTAGTCAGAGACAAGTTACTCAGGCCTGATAGCTGGTATTGCTGGATGCATCAATTCATAAGTAATTAAATATTGCAATCAATATATTATATTAAAAGCGTTACTAAAACTGGTATAATGATTACTTATTGTATTTTTAACCGTATCAAGAACTTACCATTTGCCGAGATAGAAATTCCTTTTTTTCGTCCTCAGTTATAGGAGTGAATGAATCATCGTCTGATTCATCATGCCAACCCATCGCTCGTAACAGCCTATTTGTAATATCAAATATTAGGATTAAACTAGATTGTAGTTATAATAAAGAATATTTATCTTCTTATATCTAATGAAGTACTGCCTGCATTGAAGCTGCTCAGTACAGCTTTCCAGATTTTAATTGATATAGCAATGGTTAACATTACTGTACCTTTGTTCCCCTTCAAGTGATATCGATATTTCTCGACAGGGGTGTAATGCGCCTACACAGATAACATAGATTAGTAACATAATCCAATAATGGTGATATGATTCCTATATAAAATAACTGTAGGACAGATAACTAATTAAGGTTCACTCACGATCGCTTTCATTAGCTAAGCCGTCTAAAGATGCATCTTGCCGTTTATGATTATTTACTTCAATTTTCTGTAGATAGAGAGTTCGAAAACCGCATGAAAAAATAGTACTTCATACCGTAATCAACGTTGAGAGATTCTTTTCCGTAAAATCATCGTCATTGTATCTATCATTACGTACCTGACTAAGGTAATTTTCATTTCCGCTATCTACTTTCCTACCCAGTGATTGTTTATTTCTAGGCATATTACTATTTTCGGAGCGAACTGCTTCGAAAAAATCGCTTTTATTTAGCGCTGGTCGAGGTTTTTGCACATTTTGAAGTTTTGGTTCCATATTCTTATTATTATTAAACTTAAAGTTCTAGGTGTGTATTAAGGCATTTAAACAATACAGTAAATATATTATTTCAGTGAAACAGCGTAACGGTTCAATAGAAATTTATGTAAAATTACATTTTAGATACACTGTAGTAACTCTAGCAACGTGCATTAGGAAATACATATAGTAAATGAACCTTTTCGGTATGTTTGCTCGATGATGCTTCCGACTTTATAATTCGACTTCGACGAACACTCTAAGTGCAACATACAAGACAACTGTTAAAAATAAAAGGAACTTGACAACCTATATAACAAGTAAGCCTTTGATAGTTACCTTTCCAGAAACAACCACAGTAGACGCTGCTACGTCTTTATACGAAGCACCAATTGACTAAAAGTGAAAGTGTCACGAAGTAAAGCACTTTATTTACATCATGCATGCACGTGAATATACTGTAAATGTTTGATTAAAAAACTACATTTGTATGTACCGGTGAGCCAGAGGTGCGTGTTACCGGATAAGGTAGAGGCTGTGTTAGTTCATTAGCTTCGATAATCGTTTTGGCGGCTGGCCACATACTTTTCGGTTAAGTAGTGTACATTGGGTGCAGGTTGCTACGGCTATGTAGTTATATGATTATCTCGTACTTAATTACACACCTCTCTCTTCCCGTTTGCAGAACCTTTATAGCTAGTATAAAATTTACTACTAACGAAGTTATTATCGTCTTCATTGTCGTTGGAATTTCTAACAGGTTTCTTAGATAAATGATTGCTAGTACCGGTGTCATTGGCTTTTCCGAAATCCAAAGGTTTAATTCCATTGTTTTGTTTTCCTAGCAATATTTACGAGGCAAGAATATTATTATATCGGGTATAAATAGTTTATTGAGTGCAATCCGAAATCCTTCAAGGCATTGAAGGAGTATAAATACTTCGAATACTATTTCGCAATCAAATTTTTCTTTCAATGATCAACTACCAACCTGCGGAAGACGTAACTAATGCAGCCGATAAAGGTGAATTACCACGCGACCACACATTTTTGTTGCTAGCATTGGTCTAGGGGTTCATTTAAAAGTATTATACATAAATCAATCGTAACGCAATGTATGAAATCTACTCATCCAAAATTTCTGATGTTCAGATTACTAATATGATTATCACAATGGAATCTTGAATAACCCATTCAGCATATGATACTCAATAAATTACATAAAGATATTCTTACATTGCCATCGTTACTCGACGGGAAAGATAACCAAGCAGGAGTGAAATCAGGCACTTTATTTGCCATTATTTTATAACATTCTCGCCAAGATCAGCTCAACACGTTCTCGATGCACTTAGCGTGATCCCGAATTGTTGCATAAAGTGATTCACAAATACAAGAATTACCCGTTTCAAGAACTGGAAGTGCGATATTTTCCTATAATTTTAAAGATAGAAATGAGAATGATGGATAAATCAATCACATGATATTAAGATTAACCTGTCAAGTATCTCCAAACAAACTAATAATGCAGGAGCGACTACTTATAGAATTATACAGTAGCACACCTGCAGAATTCTACTAGTTATGATACATTCACTAGATCCTGATTGAAGTTATGATTGCGAATATTGTGCACTACGAAAAGATTACTAATATCATCATTTATCATTTAAATAAGGCCATTTTTAATCTTACATAAATTGCTAAAATTATAAAAAAAATAGCATACACAAAACGTCCTGTTGATATTCTAAAATTTTAGGCAATAAATTAACTTGTAGGCTGTACACAGTATTTGCTCATAGCGCTGTCAAAATTACTAATAGTAACCTTAATAGTTAGGTGTATGAACGCACCTTGTGACGGACAATCGATGCAATCTGATGTACTGAGACAGTAGATACAATTGCAACGGGTAGAACCGTTTAGTGATTGGATATAAGGTTAACAGCTTCGAAAAAGCGTAATAACCACAGTCCTAGTTCTGATCCATAATCTCTATCTTTGTGTCAAGCAGTAGATGCAAACAAGATTAAGTTTCGATAAAGTACTGTATAATAAAAATCTAAGTACGTAAACGTGGGACTATTGCGATTGTAGAACAACCATGTGCTTCTTATGAAATGATAGTCTTGACTACGAAAGAAAAATCGGCGATTTATAGACTGTAGGCTTCAAAGTATCAATAGCAAGCACGAACCATAAACAGCCAGTAACCAGAATTTACTACTAAGTTTTATGAAAGTCTTTTCAGGAGTCAATAACGGTTGAAATTTTCCGTCATGTAAGAGATACGGATAAGTGATAACATGGATTTATATAATATGTTGAAGAAGCGTAGTTCCACTTATATCTTCTATGTACGTGCTTCGTATAGTATTAACTGTAAGTTCCGGGATAGTAACAACGTGTATAATTTCGAAAGATGTCGGCGAGGTGAAACTTATAATAACGTTTATTTGAATAAGCACAAGTATTTTCCTTTAATATGCTGGGATCGATGTACGTAGAAGCGCCCTAGTGAAATTCGTCAAGATTCTTGACTTTAATATGTTACCAAGTTGGATTTCTAGCAATGACAATAACAACGATAAATGAACCAGGAACAAGGGTTTCCAATCTTTCAGTAACTATTACTTTTTGTAAGATATTACCGTAATAAAGTCAGTAAATGTGAACCTATTCGGCAATGCGTCTGTCCGTAGTCCAGTATGCAATTAGAATATTGCAGAAAGTAGTCTTTCGATTGTCAGGCTATGCTGATGATTATAATTATTAACATACAAGCGGTAAAAATGGAAAATAACTCACTGTTAATAATGAAATATGTAGCGTAATATAATGTATAATTTGTATGTAGATAAACAAGAAAATTCTCTTAATTAATCTTTACCTGAAGGTGCGGATGGGTAAACTTTAGCGTTTGACTGTATTTTCTGTGAGTGTCGTACGTGGATGGACACTTACAGTAGCTATCACCTAGAACAGGCCTATATTTATGTAAAAATGACGTTATACGATATAATGTACAGTAAAAGTGGTAAAAAAATCTCTAAATTTAACCAGTCAGTTTAGTAATCAGGCTACTTTTTGGCCTAATATCATTGGAATGATTCGACAAGAGTTCAGCGCGTGAATATACGTACACACTCGTACAGTACGCAGATCTTTAAAATAGTACTACAGTAACCACACCAAGTTGATTTATTTGTCTGTCTTCACGAGGATGAGTTAAGTGTCGTAGTTAGTTTATATCAAGATTCTTCTTTCTGGTTGAAGTAGATGACTCTTCGTTGGTAACTTATTCTTCAAAAACCGTTGATCTTTCTAGTTGATGCAGTTTACTTTTTATCCACGACAGCCAGGTTATGACTGCCAACGTCAAAATTAGTATGCTCAATAAATAGCTAGTACGGTACTGTACAGTGTAGTGTACACTATAAGCCAGGCATGAGTAGGGGTAAGATTTTACAGACCTCGGCTATACACTGTACAGACAGGATTCTTCAAATACAGTGGAAGCAATCTATTTGCCGCTTTTGTAGAAGACAGTTTACAGGCAATGCGATGGATGTACAGTGTGAAATTGTAAATGTAGTCGTTGAGGGGCTGACAAGTTCACAAGTAGCAGTTAATGAGTAAACGGTGGCAAACAAAGTAAAACGGCTTCTTTAGACTTCTTCTTTCAGCTCTGCACGGTATAACAACAATCGCAGATTTGTACGCAAATAGGATACTTGATGCTTTAACAAATTTCTTTCATTTCACTTTTCCACAGTATTAAAGATCATAAATTGACAAAATGTTCTTCTTCTTCTCTTACAGCAATAATAATGTTTCGTGATATATTGCTAACTTAATGATCATCGGAAAAAAAAGGTGAACTCCTAACGGATGCTTGGCGACTTTGATAAAATTTTTGGTGTATCTCAGTACGCAGCAAATATACACACAAAATAAATGACTGGTAACTTGTGAATGTGCTCGTGGATGAGTTGAATTTGTGTACTATACTGACCATACGTGATACTGAGTAAAGTCAAGCGTAACCTTTTATAAAAGGACTTTTAGGGTTTCTAGAGTGTACTGTACTGTACACTGTACTGTACTGTACTGTACTGCACGATCTACAGTACAGTATACTGTACAGTGAAAGTACCGTGACAGTAAAACGTCTGCACAAAGTGGAAAGACTCCGATAAAATCCATCTTTACCGTCTGTCAGAGTCTGTGGACAAAAAATGGTGCTAAATCGAGTTTACAGTACTGTACTGTACTGTGCTCACTTAATAAATTTAGTATCATGGATTGCTGTACTGTACACTTGTACAGTACACAATAGTGCGTACAGTGGATTTTAATTTGAGAAAACGCTAGCTGCTCCCAGGGACTACTGGAAGAAAAGATCTAGCACCACTGGACGTCGCTACAAAGGGCCACCTAGGGCTACGATAGTATTGCCCGCCGATCAACCACTATTTTGACCCTCAAATGGCACAGTAGTACTGACTCTGTTATATGAATTAATTAACTAATCCATTTTCAGTTACTTTTGAATTAATTAATTTATTTATTTATTTTCGTCTTTAGCGTACAGTACAGTACAGTAACAGTGTTGTACTGTACTGTACGCAAGTAGGCGATGTGTACAGTACAGTACTGTACTGTATTTACCATAGACGGAGTTGAACTGCGCAAGTTCGTTTTGTACTGTACTGTACAGTACTGTACCATGGACTACCAAATATGTGTAATGTACAGTACTGTACTACGAAGGTGTATTGTACTGTAATTTCCAGTTATAACGGTCTAAAATACAGTACTGTATGTCTTTGTTTTGACAAAGGCGTATTATTAACTCAAAAGCTACGGGGATGATAAACCCGCCATACATAATACGAATCAAGTATATCGAAATTGATTTAATTTTATTTTAAAATAAGCGTGCATCAAAGAATTGAAGCATAATACGACCAGGAATCCAGGTGAGTAAAAAGAGTTATCATGTACGTAATTTATCTATTGCAACGTGATTTATCGATACACCAATCCACTAAACCCAATGGAATAGGGTACTCATACATAGGACTATGTTGTAAATACAAGATAGTTTTACAATACAGTATGTTCAGACAAGACAATATGATAATTTACTTTACTGATGCAGTAGTGCAGTACTGTACTGTACGTATTTTGCCTTTAATAATAATTATTAATAAATATACCAATAATTAGTCTAGTAGATTAATCTTATTATGAATGTAAAGTTATCTAACGTGAGTGATGAAGGTTAATTCTTTAGTGAGCTAGTGTTCTTGCCTTTTACAATCGATAGTTGCATACTCTTACTTTTGTATACTGTACATATTTTATTAGTAGATTACTCCTAATCTGCAACTCCAGCGCTGCAATTATGTTCTCTTAATATGAATTACTAACTTCTAATTGAATACGTATGTGGCTATAATTGTAGAATACATTCAAAATCTTATATCACTGTAAACTAGTATATTAAACAGTACACTCATTTAAAATCATTTTATATCTATGAGTAAACCACAACGAACGTTTACAAGCTTCATTTGATACGAATAGCGAATTATATTATTATCAAGTGTGCGGATAAAACATTATCTCTTCTAGTTAATTGATACTTATGACATAAGCAAATATTTCAATTTAGTATACGCAATTTAATTTACAGTTACCTAATCGATCTTGCATATTATCATGCACATATCATGTTCAACGTTGAATGAAATCATATCCTACATGCACGGTCAAACTTCGAAATAGAGATCAATTCTTGCTACTCATATATATAATTTATCTTAGCTGAGCTTCTACAATCGAAAATGATGGCACTATTAACAGGAGTGGTACTTTGAAGGTAACTGAAACATTGTTTCATTAGGTGGACGAAATTTCATACTAATAAAAGTAATTTCTTATAGACGATATGTGTCATGAACGATTATTTACATAATGATGTAATGTGATCATAGAGGAGATCATATCGTATAATGTACTATAATGGTAACTCAATCATTTATTGCTATAATGGCTTTTTCGATAGGAAGAGATATATTTTATTGCGAGTTTTCAAGGAAGGAAGGAAACAGTTAAACTACTATAACTTTCTGATGCTCTTACATTACCTAAACTACATCCTGTGAAAATGTTGATAACACTAAGCGTGATTGCTTCCGAATCTTTCAAAAGCAAAAAAACTTGGTCAAGATTGGTTTGGCCTATCCAGGTTTGCTATGAATGTTTCATAACTGTTTTTTTTAATTTTCATGATCCATATACTTTGCTTTGATTGAATACTAGTTAATACTAATAAGTAAGCTTTATTCCTTTGCATTTAATTAATTTTATAGGCTAAAGATAGCCTGTACCTTCTTGATACCAATCGATTACGTCAAGCTCAAATTCATACCGGTCAGATCAGGCGTCAAAAAATCCCAAACTTGAAAGATACCATTGCAGTGAATATCTCTATCGATGGTAAGATCGTTTCTGCTCTATACCTTGCCTATGATACTTCTCTGTTAAGATCTCCTATTATCACTCCATAATACTAGGCTCATTCGTTGTATTCATATGGAATAATAATGAAATCTGTTTATGGCACGGTGAAAGTCGGACATTATTAACCATTGAAAATTCTAAGCAATTCGTTGAGAACTACCTAAATCAAGGTACTGACATACAGTAACATATCTACATTTGTGCAAATATGTTCCTTTCAAGATATATTATTTAATTAAGCTAATTGGGTTACTGTACTTGCTTAACTTTAAGCTTGGCTACCAATTTAGTGAATAAATTTGAACTAAACCAATATTAAGCCTCTAAATGGCTCTTTCCGTGACTTTTAATTGAATTGTGATGCATGCCTTAATTATGCCCAGCTCTTTAACGCGTTTCAATATTCTCAACATTAAATCAAGATGTATCAAAATATTTTTCATTAAAATCACTACCTAGTCAAATAGTAATACATAAATAATAATCTTATGTATATCTTTAACTCTGTAGGGAGCAGAGTTAGCATTTTCGTCTCAGATTGTGGTCGGAAGATTATCGTAGTTATTGATATGAAGAAAATATTGCTATGGGAAGCTGATCTTGATAGTTTTTGTAAGCTTATATGTATTTAAATTAAAAACTTCATTTACACAATGCTTTTGCAAAATTAACGGTATATTTAACTGCTTGTACCTCGTCATATTAACTTACTTACACTATTAATAGTGATCGTCGTTTAAACGTTTAAACTAATCAATTAAATTAAGCACTCAATAGTAACTTTTGATACTCACATATTTATGCTAACTTTTAAAAAGAAAATTTCAGTACTAACAGCAAAATTTGTAGAGTAAAATCATATTATTTTACATGCAATGTTATAAGAGTAGACTTAGTAATTGCCAGAAGATATTCCTTTCGAAATTTTTTTTTGCGGTCATATTATCCACAGTACGTATTTTAAAACTTGAACCTATCCGTTAATTGAATTAATAAAATCAATTATTCTTAGCGGTAGAATTCTCTTCATGTTTTGGCATTTAACGCAATGGGTTATACGTAATGCACAAAGTTTAAGTGCCATTTTTACGCGGAGTTATCAATCTAGAAATATCTGTATTAATATATTGAAAGTGTATATAGGCTACTAATTTGTACCTTAATTCGTTGTCTTATTAGTTAAATTGAATTTATATCCTTGGTAGAGTCCAATTTACAGTATATTGGTCATGTATACGCATATTAACCGACACTTGTAGTATATTAAATACTACTTTGAATCATTTATGATATTCAACGTTGTAATTTATAGTTGAACTCAAAGGGAAGGAAGCTACTGCAAGTGGGATTTGGAGTAATATCCAGCCAAACAATTGCAGTTTACCGGATGAAGGCAGTAAAGAGGCATTTGTCGAAACAATATTTTACTTTGATCCGGTAACGTAATTAATGAATGTACTACTTATAGGGACACTTGAAAAAATTAATTCAATTTTTTGTAGTCCTTGCTATCTATAGCTGTTATAACCTGTAAGCGGTTCGATTCTTGCCTATGACGGTTAATTAAATCTTAAATTTTTATTTGGATCAAATGCGATCGTGTAGATGATTGGATTTAATTGCAGCATCATCTTCGTATTTAACAATCAAGCGAACCAACTCGTAATTACACAGATCTTAATAAGATGGACAGATTTAAATGAAGAGGAACAAGTTTTAAAAAACATAGCTAAACAAAGTTTACGCAGCAGTGAAAATCGACATCAATCGGACAGAAAGCATCAAGATGAAATCACATTTATTCCGGATTCTGTTTATGAAACGCACAATCCCAGCTATCAAACTATACCGCAGGCCTTTGATCAACGTTATCGTTCGGAACTTATTAACTTAGCAGATATCTGTAGTGCTGCCAAAGCTAATTTTAAAGCAGGTAAATTATACTTTATAAAACATGGAACTAATGCTTCTCTACTGGCTAGTTGGATTTCTGCAAGCTAGTGTATCCAGTTTTAAGTAGAGTTACATTTTTTAACGTTAAAGAATGTAATAGTTGAGCGTACTATGATTTATCGTAGGTGCATATGTTGCGAAGCATTCACGCGATGGCGATATTTTAGCTATCGCTATGAATCAGAAAATATCCAAGGATACCAGAATTATATTTTACTCTTTACGTGCTAAAGCCATTGTAGTAACAGACATGTACGGGTGCAGTCGTCGTGATGGACGCGGCAAGTAAGTCAGGCTATCAATTAACAACTGAAGTTATCAGAAATTAATAACCTTCATGAGGGATGTAGTACCAGATACAATATGATTATAATCGGTTAAGGCAAGACATAGAAAAATCATATTTAGAAAGAATCGATAAGTATGGTATTACTAATTAATACTAATAGATGAAAAATTGATAGAGATATGTTAATATTGCTTTAGGGAATTCAGCATTACCGATATGACTTGGACTTCCAATAGTTTATTACTAATTGCGATAACACGTAATGGGTTCGTAGCTATCATTAGCCGTGCTGGACAACTGCTATTGTGCAATACGAAAGGCTTGGGTACGGAGTTAGGCCCCTCCTTTTATTTGCCGTTACATCCATTAATGACCATTAAGTATGTCGAAATAACTAAATTGGGTCATCTATACTGAGCCCCTGAGCTATCGATAACACATATTAGCTTCATTTTCCTTTGCATCTGCACTATATTTATGAAACTCACGACATCTAATTATCACAAAATGTATTGATTCTATAGAAAATATTAACATTAACTCATTATTGAGCCAAATAAATGTTTCAGTTGCTACATAATGAATATTCAATAATTATGCAGTTGCAATACCGTATACATGTGAATAATAGAGTTTCAAAAATAAATTTGAATAGGCTTATTTAGCTGTTTAATAGTTATTTGCTTCACTTTTATTAATTCTTCTTTCCTTTAGAAAATTTAGTGATATGACAGGTGATAGTAGCAGCAAAATTACGAGCCCGAATACAAGCGAACATGAAAATGATGACTTTGAAAAGCTGAAACAAAAGTTTTCTGTTACAGTTCATCCTCGGTTACCGCGAATTATCACATCAGACGGCTACATGTTTATTATTATATCTTTGCCAGCAATTGCAACTCATTGTCAACATATGATCTCAACATTCATACAGGAAGTACAAGTAGCTGTTTTAAGGAAATTTAAAGATTCAGCTAACCCGATAATTGGCATCAACACGGAAACAAATTTTAGTCGCACTAATAATTTTGATTATTTAGGCACGCGAAGTATTAATCAATTACTATACAAGGGATCATTATATACAGGTCTTCCAATCGGTGACGGGAGTGGTAATATCGAGCAAGGATTCGATCACACGCAATTTGGCAATCAACAGTTGCAACGCACGATAAGCGAAGAATTTAACACTACATATGGATATTCTACAACATCATCAACAACCGAATTAGGCCTCAACACATTCTTAAATGGTCTAGATTATGGCATTATTGAATTTGGTTTTCCAATTGATACCCTAGAAAAAGAAACAGCTGCTGTACTGGGGCAAGAATACGCACCGTTGCATGTTAGTTTTAATGGTTTATTAAATGCCTGGTCACTATTGGTGACTGCCAATATAGATGCGTCGGCTGGATTTAATCGTGATTTACTAACCTGGAAAGTCATCCAATGTATTGCACAGGTTTCTAACCAAGTTTTAATTTTTAGTATATCAAAATTTACTCAAACTGATGGTTCAAGTAATCGTCGTGCTCATAGACAATTGACAAGGCAGAGATCAATACTATTTGATTTATCATTTATTCAGGCCATTAACATGGTCACATCACTGTACCAAAAATGCATGACTATAATTCTGTGGGATGCAGCTACACGCCACTCTATGCAACATGCAATTTTTCTGCCATTTAGTTTGATTCGTGCTTTTCTAAATATACCGGCTCGATCGGATCAGAGATTTATTTTACTTGAATATTGTTACAAATTTACCAGATTTGCTGATCAAATTTTGACGTCAACTTACTCTTCTATAATACGCGAGCGCAATGCCGGTAATAAACAGAGTTTTCAAAATACTACCAACGCAAAGTCATCCGCTAACGATGCTCTACACCTTGACGTGACAGTGAGAGTGGCCAACTTATGGCTGTATCTTTATAGCCATATCGTTGTTACTTGGAAAGCTGTACAATCAGAAAGTAAATGACTGAATCAACTCTTAAATTATTTCTTCTATTTACAGCATATTGTAATAGTTAAGTTACAGTATTTTCTTATGAAAGCTTTTAGCATAGAATTTTCTAACGTTATGCTTTTAACCTATTTATTTCTTTATAAGATATTGCAAGTGATAAAATCAAGGAATTGGCTAGGTCCTTATTATATAACATTCAGGGGGTGTTAACGCATTATAATATAGAAATACCTTACCAAGATAATGATCATGCCTGTATTCAAGCATTAAATGAGTGTAAGTAGGAAAATTATTAACAATTTACCTTATTTACTGTAAACCGTATAAATACATAACATCCACATCACAGCAAGCGAGATTATCAAGCTGCTGTTGGACTTTCTGGAATGGTTGGATTTAAAATTTATCATAAATCTTATCGTCATGTAAATCACATCAGGGCAGTTATTCTTTTTATATGTAATCAAAGAATAAATTAATAATGTTTGCAATAGCTTTATTTAGAAGATATGCGTTATAACCTAAAAAAATTTTTGTTTTGCTTTGCAGAAAAGTTATTTATATGCAGTATTCAATGTAACAATGATGTTATTACTACTATGAAGATTTATCAAATTTTAAACAATAGTTTATATCTTATTTATCATCATAGGCTATACAATGTATTTTAAAGGATCAATACTAGATGCTGCCAAATCCTTGGCGTCAGCATATCAACGTCGAAGCGATAATAATCTTCTAACTGACAATTTTAAATCTGCTCATCCCAAATTATCCTTACTTTACATGTATCTTGAAAGTTATCATTTAAATGACGCCATTAATCTGGTTAACTCACTAATTGCCGTTCGTCACGATCATGATGCATCACTATCATCCATTAATCGAGCTGCAAGCTATGCTAGCCTAAGTGCCGGCTCAGACATAAGCCATTTATCAGTACCACAGCTATTTTCAGGTAGACAGAAACATCGATCATCTCGGAAAAAGAATTTAAGTAACAACATGCCCCATTATTGGGTTAAAGATATAATAGACCTTGAAGTTGTGCAAAATTTTGCGCGTTGTATGGCTTTGTATTTTTGCTATGGATATGATATTTTAATTAGTCCTGCACACCATGCCCAAAATTGTCCGAGTCTATTTACATTAACTTGTCGAAAAGGAGAGGATTTAGATCTAGTAAATAAAACTGAAAACACCAGATTATTTCGGTTGAAAGAGCGTCTTAAAGGACATAAATTTTTACCAAGAATAAAATCCACAGGTAAGCTATCCGAGCTGAAAGTAAATGTCACTTTACTATTCCTGATCTCTTCTATGCATGTGTATGAGCTGGATTAATAATATAATTTACTTCCGGATGATAACTGTATAATTTTTCGTTCTGCATTAATTGATACTTACCAATGATTTCGTCACTTCGTCTGTAGCCCTAGAGGTGGTCTATAAAGATGGAAATCGTTATTTTAAATTGGATCGTGAAAGCATCGCTAAAGCAGTTCGTAACTTAACTTTAGATAGTGTATGGACAGCGAAATTTACGTGTTATTTACTGCTGACATCAGGTTTACTGTCAGAATCGATTTGGTTTACCATGCAACTGGGCGATTGGAAAAATGCTTTAGTACTTGCTACACTATACGAGAAGCGGTATCAATTTTTTCAAGCGAACAAATTTGTATCTTTTGCAGAATTACCGAAACAATTGACAACAAGATACATTATTCAATCGCATATCGATTCAGCCTTGCATATTAACAAGAAAATTATCGAAGGTACTGTTGATAATTTTATGTGCTCATTCGAAATCTAATATCGTCATTCCATTGTATATATATATATATATCTAACGTGCACACTAAATGTACTCTAATGTTATCTGGGCGACATTATGTAAGCGGGTATGTTATACTTGAGAAATAAGTAATGTAATGTTGCTATTTAGATTGTCTGCAATACTGATAAATAGTACGTCCTGATACTTTTCCAGTCATTTAATACGTTAAATGTTACATTCTTCAAGTTGCTATGCCTTGAAATGAGGGATTCATGTTTTACTACGGAGCATTAATTTGCTCAAATACTGTAGCTAGCTTCCCTGCGCACGATGTAAATATAAAACATCACATAAAAATGATTGACTCTAGATTTCGACTTTCTATATTAAATGTTTAAAGCGACAACTTTGAAGGCTGATTCTATTAAAAATAGCACTAAACATCAGACTTTAAATGTTAGTACAGTATACTATTTGTAACATTTCTGTAATGTGATTCTTAGAATTTATTTATTAAATCTTCAATAAATGTGATCGAAACTCACTGATTTATTGCTTAATTAATTTCGAAATTTATCCTAGCATTTTGCTAACATTTCATGTAAAGTAAAACGAAGTTATCCGATCGTGGTAATTAAGTAATGTATAGAAATTTTCGATATGAATCAATTTGATCAGTAAATTTCTTATATCTGTTTACAATTACAGAAACTAATGCAACAGCAAGTGAAGTTAATGACTCAAATGTTACTTCTTGTAGTGGTGAAGTAATTAGTTCTGTTATTGCTGATGTTTTACAAATCTCCGCCTTGCTAAATCTGTCGGAAGTTGCTCCGTATACCTTATCTAGCCTAATCCGAGCACTGAAAAATAAAATTTGTCAACTTGATATATTTGTTCCTGAAGAACTGTACTTACCAGCTCCGCCACTGTATTGTCCGCAGTTTTTGGATAATGAAGATGAAGTAAGTCTTAAATCTCTAACGGTGCAATTTTTCTAAGTTAGGTAACTGTTGAAATGTTTAGATGACATTCAGGGTAACTTTTATAAAGTCAGCTATTATCAGATTGGTTATTTGATACTTTGGGATGTTTGAAGTTTAGAAATTTCACTGTTGTATTAGGCATCTCCATTCACAAGCTCGGATACTGAATCTGTTTTCCGTACGATCATATATAATAGCAGTCAACAATTACTGAATATTTATAGCTCATCACATTATATATCCGCCTGTACGAAATGGTATTGCCAAAAGATAGTTCGAGCTTATTTAATGAAGAATTTTTCTAATTCGCAAGAAAGTCACAACGATAGAAATGATTTGAATAATAATTCCGTACTTCTAGATACAAATATGTTAGAAACTCATAATATACCGGCAACTCTTTCAAATTACGCTCTAGCTGAAGACAATCTTGCTACGATTTGGCTAGATCAATGTAATGATATAAATACATCTTCATCAAATGTTACCGAAATCATAAATGCAATTAGTGTATTAAATTCTTTTCGACAACTCTGTATTCTACTCTGGTTGATGCATGTTCGAGATGAATTTTCTTTAAATTATCGTAAATTGATGGAAGGAAAAAATTTTTCATCATCTGCGGTAAGTAAATTATTAAAGTATCTTTGAAGCTAATATGAACCATAAATTAAATTTTTTAGTATAACAAGGATCTTTTGATAATATTTAATTATTTAGAATGGGTTCAATATTGAAGATTTTCACCAACATTGCCTAGTAACGCTAAAGTGGTGCTTAATGCTAATTCATTTTGCTGATTTGTTGCAAGATAAAGCGACGATATTGAATATCATGTTAAATATTTTAATAGAAATTCCTATTAGCCCTGTTCATGCTAAGATTTTGATGATGCACAAAGATGAATTTACTGATTCATCGACTTCATCAATGATTAGAAAGAAGTATTATCGCCTTATTAAAAATATTGAACGCCATGTTATTCAACAAACACATGAAATACATATCACAACAGAAGAAGCATTAGCTACTTTAAGTGAGCAGAAACAAGATCAGTTTCAGAATGTAACCATAGAAAATTATCAAATTCAGTTTGAAATCTGTGAAGGCCAAGATAGTCAATATAATCAAGCATCGGATTATATTACCCTTTGGCCATTCGAAATGGATAAGGATTATCTAGAGTTTTTAGATACATTCTTTTTGATAGCACTATCTAAAATACCAGAAATATCGACCACTACCAATATACCCGGCGTTGCAACACTTCCTCCTTTGCCATTGCTGTCCTTGTTTCGTAATCAAATTGCTGAATATCTGAACATTGTCGATGGGTATTACAACACCAAGCGTAACACCAAACAACGCTATCGGAAGACAAATTCAGGCAAAATCGACCCAAAAGACAGAATTTTACAGAAAACGGCCTCCTCCGCTGCTTTATTGCAAAATATATCAAAGTAAGAGTATTCGTGGGTTCATTTTACGATATTTACAAAATTATTGTTATACTGTAAGTTTGACTTAAAATTAAACTTACAGGTAGCAAATGATTTAATGCTTATGAAACCTTCCGTAGTGCAGAGTTTTCTTTTTATATTATTGAGTCCTTCTAAATGCTATCCTCGTTTAAGAGACTATGAGATGATATTGTTCCATTTTCTATTCTTACTTTTTGTTTGTTTTAATCTATCATTAGTAATTGTGACTGTTTTAAAAGTGTTTTCACTTCTTTAAATTATATAGAAAAAGTCCACAATCTACTCCTCAATCAGCTAGAGGTCACCGTTTACCTACTGGCGCTACTAAACAAAAAGTACAGCGGCAACGTAGCCGCAGTTTCGATGCCAGTGAGAAAGCTAGCCATAAAGGTAGAGCTATCTTATAATTCATATCCTAGAATGTGAAGCTTCTGTTGAATTAAACATGTAATTAATAAACAATGATTATAAAGACGTTGATGGCATAGATATATTTTAATATAATATATTTGACATAATATCATCAAATTATTGTAGGAGCATTTATTCATCAAGTGCTGTTAGATGATGATTCTGCAGCTAACAGTGACGATAAATATCGGCAGGATAGTGAAAATGATTTAGAAAAAATACTGAATGGTCCGCTGTCATTACTGACTCCATTCGCTAAATGGTTGTTGAAATGGTCGGCAAAAAGTGAGCCTGGAGATATTCAGCGACTTAACATTGGCACTAATAGATGCCACCTGATTAGCATGAGAGTAATTTTGGATCTAGATATCGTACTAAATAGCCTTTGGCTGCTTGAGAATGGCTACCAAATTGACTCTTCTAGATTCAATGACGATGAAATTGTCCATGGTACTCATTTTATGGCAGAATCCTCAATTAAGACAGTAACGTCTGATGATTCTATGGCATCATCGTCACGATTACGAAGTGTATCACATCCTACTCCGATCCTGAATGCGCTAAACGTGCAAGATCATGACAGATCTGATGGTTTTGACTCTAAGCTTGATCTTAATCCCTCCTCAGTGTCTTCAATACCATTAACAAAGCTGTCACATGATGATTTATCCATGAAAGATATTGATTCTGTCAAAAGCGTAGACTTTTACAATGTTAACGAAGTTTTGGAACATGAGCAGCAAAATCATATTGATGACGGCGATGATGCAAACGACAATCTAATTCAGAATCCGTTAGATACAGAGAAACAATCTGCCTATTTTCATTTAAACACTGATTCAAGCGAGTCAGAATCTAATAACTTAAAAGGTGTTCTCACCAAGCAGATACAAAATATAGAAAGAAAGGGTGATTTTCTAGCTATGAAGCAGCAAAATATTAGTGATAGTACTCGGTCTGAAGGTGGACAATTGCATAAAAGTAGTCAAACAAGGGAAAAAATATCAACATGCGAAATACCACCTACCGATGCTGATCAAGAGTTGAGCACATCGTTAGATGATCCAACTAAAAAATTGACAAATACCAAAAGTAATTCTAGTTCATTAACGGCTTCAACGCCTTTTCATCAAGCTATCACGACCGTTGATTTGTCACCTTCAACTTACCGATCGACAAATAATCAGGATGGCACCTTAATTTTTTTCGATCGTACTGACAATAGTGCTGAAGAAAAGAAAATTATGGAACTTAATGATAGCGACAACCAATATCCAACTGTTATTGCAAAGAAAGAATTATCCAATGTTGACCAGGTCAATTTGGATAGTAGCGGTAAAAGGTTGGATTTAAATCCTGATCAATCTTCAAAATCTTATGGTGGCTTTCATCAGGAAGTAGACTACGACAAGGTGACAGACATAATGCCAACTTATGTAATGGCAGTCGATCAGATAGCGACAGACAGTAACTCAGATGTTTGTCATAGTAGGGACAACAAAGTATTAAGTCCGACACATGGCAGGAAAATAACCAGGCAACATCAAGTCAAGAGCTCTTCTAGTGCTAACGAGCACTCTAGTACAATGAAACAGGAAATTTCAACATTACGACGATATAGTAAAAATTCTCAGGATCACAATAATAAATCTAAGAGTTACAATAGGAATGCACTGGTTACTAGTCACTATCGAAATAGTTTGCAACCTGATAATGATAGTGAAAGTGGGGAATGGAATAGTAGCAAAATCAAAGCAGCTTCAAGCAAATATCAAATTAGCAGAAACGTCAAAAGTAGTAATAAGGAATTTCACGACGATAGCGATGAAGAATGTACTTATCGTCAAGCAATTTTAAATCCTTTAAGCAATGGCACTACGGACAGCATTAAATTGAACACAGCAAAAATTATGCCAACCTCGAATAAAAATCAAGGCAATAAACTGTATCAGCACTCTGTTGAAGGTAATGGGCAGGAATCATGTCATGACCAATTTTCGGATACCATGGAAAAAGACGAAGTAAAAATAACCCCTGATTCAGTTCAAAGAGTTGTTCGTGATGAAATGATTAGAGTTTTACAGGTATCGCTATATCATTACTCTAATAAAAATTTCAATCTTGAATTATAATTCTTTGTAAACTATATGTGCAGGATTTAGGCATTGAATGAATTTGACTTTATTAAAAATTAATACAAATGATCATCCAAATTTTCAATAACAAGCTTTGAAATTTTCGATTTTATTAGATGCAAAATAGTAATTTAATGATGATGTTGCAAGGTGCTCAGGAAAGTGGGGCCCCATTATCAAAGCCAGCTTTAGGTATCTTTCAATATACCCTTACCTAAAGTTTCGATAAATAAATTTAAGTCGGTGTATGTCAAAGTACCATTTCGTACTATTTTATCTATTCCCTATTTATTGATTAATTATTTGAATCAGACAATTAAGGTGCATTTTGCTATATCTAATAATACTAATTGTAAATTAGCATAATTAAGTAAGGTATTAAAAGTAACTGTTAGACTCTTAGGTCGAATGTTACGAGATAGTAGCCATCTAAAGGCGATTAGTTTCGAATTTCTCATACTTATCATTTAAGAATGCGACTGTGAAAAATATTTTAAAATTAATTACCTACCTAGACGCTGACAATATCGGTATTGCTACCCAAAGTCGTCAATTTTCAGAAAGAGATAATGCAATAAAAGTAAGAAGGCTTCCTATATAGCTTAAAATTTTAATGATCTTGTTAAATTAATTTTAAAAAATTCATCGTCTCTTCCTCTGAAGAAATAGCAAGTGAATCTAGTTTTAATTTTGTAACCAAAGTTTTTTCAGCAGTGTAAAGTAGATCTATCCATATTATTTAGTAACCAATTAATTCAGAAAAATTTTTAATTCTGTGGGTAAAGGTTTGATTTTTTTTTTAGATCAATGATGATGAGAAAGAACATAAGAAATTTGAAACCAAAGTTGATGCATCAACGAGTCCGATTTTATATCAAGCTAATGGAATAAGTCAACAGGAAGATGAGGATACAACTCGTAAAGATAGTTCAGATTCGAAATTATCAATCCGTACCCAATCATTAAATGAAACAAGAAGTATTCAATCTAGCTGCCAATCAAGTATCAGAAAGACCGATTTAGTTCATTCTGCCGTATCTTCTGGTACTTTACCGCTTTTGCAAGCTAACATTGCAGATGATGAAGACGAGCAATTACCTCAGCTAGATTCGAATTCCCTAGTCTACTCTGGCATAAATTCGAAGCTAAATCAAGATCACGGAGTATCTATGGCTCCATTGTACCATTTGCACAGTCATGATATTGCATTTGCGTCAAAAGAAGTAGAACTACCATTATTAATGGTGGATCCAAAACAATTGAATAATCGAGTAAGCGAATACCGTTCTACATCATTAATTCAATCATATGATATTACTTCTATTCCTCGCCCCGAAGAAATAATCAAATCTGAACGCACCGCTGAAAATTCTTATCCACTTTTACATGTCGATTTGGATACAGTCAATAATAATTATCCTAAACGTCAACCGCATAATAACAAGCGAAACACATTTGTCTCAACTTTGATACCTCCCGAGCAAATTTCAACCATAACTGACTGGAATAAAGTGCCCAGCAATTATTTGTTATCAAATGGTTTAAATGATGTTGAGTTACTGAAATGCGATTTATCTTTATCCTCATTAAATCATAATGATAAGCTATTAAATGAAAAAGACCTCTCCAAAAAACAACCGGAAAAAATTAACGTTGATACGAAAGAAGTTCAAATTGATAATAAAATAAATCATGAAATCACTGTTACAAGAAGAAAAAGACACCGGCAGCAAAATAAGGAAAATTTCCAATTTTTAAATCAATTAGCCCTTGATAGCAAACCCATTCAATCAAATTCGCAAAATACGGCTACAATAGATAACGATTGTGTCAGCTCAAATCAGATTAAAGATTTAAAAGAGAAAAAAAATAAAAGAATATATAGAAAAGGTAAAAGAAGACATGCATATGCTTCGTCAGTTCCTAGTGAGTTTAATAATCAGCATGAAGAGCCTTCTTCTAATATTGAAATAATACTAGATCAACCAGGTCAAATTAGAGTTGGAAATGCAGTTATAACATTAAAACAAGCTAAGGTTACTTCTATTTCTGATGTTGATATCAATGGCGCTGAGAAAAAATCAGGAGAAATTGACAATCTAAGTCTTCAGTTAAGCAATGTTAGTCAACAGTCCATACCTATCACAACCCCTGAACGGGAAGAAATGCAAGAGAAATTACTCAAAGATAAGGAAAAATTTCTAAACGATGTTTTCGATGGTCAAGTTCCTCTTGAATTAAAAAATATGGTACTCTTTGGCCAATCTGTAAAAGGTGAACAGGAGGCAGAAGATGAATTGGCAACAACTGAAGATGACGAAGTGCAATTAGCGAGCAATCAAGCTGAAATTGATCACTATAATAAAGATGCTTGTGTTGGCCCAGATATAGCTGATGATTATAACATCTTATCATCAAAGGAAACCACTGAGGTACATACTCAAACAGAAAGTTCAGAATCAAAAGCTAATGTAGCGGGAAATGGTATTCATTCAAAAATGGAAATCCATCATTTACTTGAAGAATACCCACAACAACCTCGTACTGCATCTAATGAAGTAATTAATCAAGATCAACAACCTATTAGTTATGTTTCCCCTGAGTTATTTCTTCACGGCAATAATCAAGCTACGAATTCATTGCTAACTTTACCTAAAAACACTAAGGTAACGCTAATTTCTGCAGCTGATACAGTTAGCAGTAATCAATCTAGCCATGATGGAAAACAGCATCATTTTATTCATGTCGCTGATATACACAGCGACCATCCAGAAAGTAATTTCATACCTGTTAGAACATTTAAGCCACCAGAATTAGCATCATCTCTGCAGCAAGATGTCGACAGATTGTTAGAGTCAACCGATAGCGATAGCAAGTTAGACTTGCATAAAGACGGTAAATTCGATGATATTAAGACTAATGATATTGGTCCGGATGAAGCCACTATGTCAGCTTTCAAATCTCTTGATGACATGATGAAATCGGTAAAGCCGATTGCCCCTTCGAGCGAAAATGACATACAAGTACGAGCTAAAACTGGATTACAACGGCATTTAGAAGGAATGAAATCACGTTTGGAAGCAATAGAAGAAATTACTCAAAATGTTACAAATCAATTTCAAGATGTTAAAGCGCTAGCAAAAACAATTGAACGACTAGAACAAGCTCGTCATCCTCAATTAAACATAGATAACGACGGAGAAGATGATAGCAATCCTATCCAAGTTACTACATTACTAGAACAACTCGGTCAAAAGCTGCAGCCAAAGATTGATCACAGTGACAGTAATCATATATCATTACAAGTCAATGCTTCTCCATCGACTTCATTATCCACCTCGAAAGACGTACTCTCGAATGTGGCATTAGAAATTGAATCCAATGTGGAGCATCATGTCAGTGACGATAGAGGTAGTGAGGAAAGTTTTTCGTCGACTATTCAACTAAGTAGCAAATTGCCAACCGATCTTGCATCAATGATCAGTAAGCAGAGCCAGATTACTGACCAATCTCAAGATAATGTTCTGACCGCATATAACAGCGTAAAGAGTATAAAGGAGTCATTGCCTGAAGGTTCGTCTGATTTAAGATCGCTGTTTCCTGATTTGCAACAATCTCAAAGCAACGTTGATAATAAGGAAGAAAAAAGAAAGGAATTACTAGCTTGGATGGCTAAGCGTCGTCAAGAACAAGCTATCAAATATAGGCAACATTTGGATGATTTAAAAGAGCGAGAAAACCCAAGTCATTTCAGATATAAAGATGGTAAGAAGAAAATGGGATATAAAGAAATTAAAGCTAGTCGAAAGAAGGAACTTCATCAGCGTAAGTTAAAAGAGAAGAAATATCAACAAACACGTTTTGAACTTGCTTTCCAATTAATGGGCGATATTGTTACTGAACCGGCGCCTAAGATACGCAAATACAATGAAGTCGTAAAATCATCAGTAAAATCATATCAACGGAATGGACCAATAAAACAGAAAGCCAACAAATCTAATACCACTGAAAATAATGCAACGAAGAGATTAGAATCAGCATTTAAACTAATAGAAGACATGCAGTTAACAGGACAAGAACAGCATATTATTGGCGAAGAAGGCGATGATATAGAAGATGAAGGTGCTCAGACTTTATCCAGTGAAGGGTATTCATTCGCTCCTTATGTTAATGATCACTTGCAGCAAGCGCTAGTGAAAAATAGAGCTCCATTTATTCGCAGTCAAGATCTTCATTTATCATTAAATCAACAACAAATCGAGGCCCTTCAGCGAGCTAAACAGTATTCACAAAGAATCGATAAGATTCAACAAGTACGAACTAAACGTGAAGAAGAACAATTAAAGAGTAAAACTGATACCAATACGAAACCTCGTCTGCTATCTTCAACACCAGCAACACTAACTACTTCACAAGCTATTAATCCTAGAAAATCTTTAGCATCTCCTCAAAAAGTTAGAGGTAAATCACCGCTATGATATAGTGTTTTTATATTAATTAAATATGTTCCATATGATCCTAGAATCTGTGTTTATCTATTGTGATATTTTACCACAGAATGGAGTACAAATTAGTTGTTTATCGGTAATAAATCATTATGAAACAGTTTTGTACAAAATAATGCGTACAAACTAACGTTGTAGCGCCTTTAGTACGCTCGTGCTCTTATGCAACTTAGAGCCATGTCGTCTCTAGTTAATTTACTATTTTGCGTCATAGTATTGTCTAGAATTGGAAAGAATGCAAGCTACGGATTACTAAAAAGCGATAGCGACATTTTACAGAATTGCGATTTTTCTGATTTTATGTCTTATATTCAGTTCAGATATACCATGAACCACTAGATACATTGTCGGTAAAGTACCTAGTGGTCCATGGATATACTAATTTTATAAGGACACCAAATAATCTCCAATATTATGAAAGTTGATAATACTGCACTATATAATTGCGCTTTAAGTAATATTTAAAACCATTATTAGAATATCTTTTAACTAATTTCTCTTTAAATAGTTGGTTTTACTACACCAGTTGGACGTTATAAGGCCTCGCAAGCAAAAAGAGAGAGGGCTAATCGCAACCAATCTTATGCAAAAACAAAGTCATCAAATAAAGCACGCGTACAACAAGATCTTCAACAATCGATTGAATCTGACATTGGTGGATGGGAAGCAAGTGACGTACAATATGACGATGTTAAAGAAATCTTGGTATGGCTCTTTTGAACAGGCCTTATTCTATCTTGACAGAAAATGTTTTCAATTGCAGTATACATAACTTTACACCTTTGTTTTTATCTCTTTTTTAGGCAAAAAATAATATCAATATCGATAACATTTCGTTAAGTAGTGGCAGTGTAAGCCAGTCAATTGACTGGAAAGCCGTAGATGCTATCTTAGCTGAAGATAGCAGCGTTATTGGCGGAAGTAATATCTCAAGTAACGATATTCATGGGTCTTCAATATTAAGCGGACCAACTTCGGAAGCACCAATCCGCTACGGCATCCAAGACCATGATTTAGTCTTAAGTTATAATCCTTCTGATGATTTCATTAAGTCTAACGTAGGAAAGGCTGCTCAGATTCGAGCCGATTATAATCACCCAGATCTTAAACAATATCATGTAGTTGGAAACTCCAGTAATATACGCGATACAGCCAGTATCAGATCAGTTAGTAGCATGAGTGGAAGTATAATGAGTAATATCGATTGGGATGAAGTAGATAAACTAATAGAAGATGCTTAATAAAAATCATAATTTTTTAAAAGATTAGGAATATGATAAAGATAAAGTAAACTAGCCTTTTAACAATTTTTTTGACATGGTGTAATATTGACATTTATACTTCGATACTGTATGGCCATTCGAGAGTTTATTTCAAAATTTTAAATATACTACCTCAATTTAGCGGTACTGTAAAGTATAATCTGAATGAAAAAAATTGGGATATTTATTTATGAGTACTCTAGAATTTTATGTTATAATGAATACAACTGCATATATTTATTTGGTTTGTATATTGATATGGTGAATGAAAATTGTTTATACAACCTGTAGTTGCGCTTTTTTGTTAAACTCTAAATAATAGTTAGATATTTAGAAGATTTCGACTTAGATGATTTCTAATTTAAGCTTTTAACACATTTTATTAAAATTATATAATAATTAAATAGATTAATTTTAGGCTATTTTAAATCTGATTCGACACCTGCCTGCAGTATTAAAAATTATAATTTTAGCTTTAAGGTTACCAAATGCGAAAACAAATATTGAAACTTTCTATACGATTGGATAATTTCCTTTTGTTTAGATGTAAACAATGTAAAATGTTAAGAATAAAGATATTATCAGTCCAAAAGAAATTTATGCTGTTCTGTATGAACTAAGACGTATTTGAGTAAAGCATTTTCAAGCTATGAGCTTCCTTTTATTGATTACTGTTATCGACAATGTTAAAAATATACATTAAAATACCACAATGGAGAATCTTGAAAATGCTTCAGTTACATATCAACGCCAGTTATATATCACTCATTAAGAATAAGCGGTATAAAATTGTGAGTAAACTCGAAATTTTAATTACTGATGTCAAAAGTGTTCCATTACTGCAATACAACTTTACTCTAATATGTAAAACGTCAGAAGTGGTTCTGTTAGGCTGCTCTAATTGTATTATATTGCGTTTTACGGAGTAGATTCTGCATTCCCTATTAATGCAGTTAGGCAAGTCAATAAGTTAAGATATTCATCGTAGAGTAGAAGTTATTCTTACATTGCATAATAAACAGTCTGACCATTCCATGGAGTACAACTATACGCATATCAAAGCACTGATCATGACCCAAAAAGTTACCTTTGAAATGATATAGCTTTGTTACATTATTCATATTGCAATAAGTTCAAACTGCTTCATAGATCAAATAGTCCTTGATCAAGTAAGCAGTTGTAATACAAAAGGTTACTCTTACCATCGGTAAAGGAATGTATGATTTGTCCTATGAAACAGTCCGATTTTATCCTTTATTAACATAGGAATCACTATAATTATACAAAAATTATTCTCGCTGCTATACAAGCTCTTGATTCTATTTTTGTCACAATAATAGTAGTCCATCTAAATTATCATAGTTATTAGACTCAGCAGCCACGGAAACAATAGTATGTCTGAATGACTTCTGCCCTTTATTAGATTCTGTGCTGTCATCACTCCTGTCGCCATTAACAGTTGATTTTGTGTGAATGATTTATGCTTAAAGCCGTATGGAGTGGATCAAATCATGAGAATCCAGTCACTATAGCAACGTTGAATACGTAAAAACAATATGATAGCCAAGAGCAAACGATTATAATAAGAACAAATAATGTCGATTTAAGGATACAATGACATTAGTATCAATAATAGCATGCTAATAATCAAGGCGACAGCAGGAATAATGAGACAATAGCAGTTACTCTCATTTAAAGCAAATTTTAACGTATAAAGTAAATATTCTAGACTAATAAATCAGTACAACTTTTATGCTTTACATAGTCCAAAAGATCTTAACAAGGAAAATTTACGGACTACTGTAGCAAATATAATCCTCTTAATGTTAGTTTACTTGATTTAACAATAACTAAGATGAGTCTCGATCTTAGATGTTAAATCATTTACAATTCAGTTCAGAATCAAATGATAATGACAAAATTTCTACATATACGTCGGTGAAGGCAACTACGATAAATGCGACAAGTTATATTAATCCCATCATTAAGAGTGAAGATATTTGATTTTCATTTTCTAATTTTGACATGCACAATCGATGTATAGCTAGGGGAAAGCCTGAAAATGTTCGAAAAAAAGTCAGCTCTAAGAGGTTTGTAATACTTGAAACGTTTTCATTTACATTATGAGCGCAGGAAGTTAGATTTTAAACATATACTGTAGAAGCGCAAGGTAAATAACTTAAAATGTTTAACCTGAATTAGAAATGCAGACTAAGACTATACACTACAATTAATACGCCTACAGAATGGAGATACGTTTACTGATCTCACCAAATGTTAAAGCATCTTGACACACGGATATAAACATATAATATATCTAATCTAGTGCGAAATAATTAACTAGCAAATCCTATCCTATTACTTTGATAATACTAATGCTAAACTTAAAATGCTGATAGTTTTACATGTCGTCTAAGGCCATTTGAAAAAGGAAAGATTATGCGTGCAATTCTCGAATTTCTATAATCTTCAATAAAGTGAACGAGTATATAAGTTGATGTATTCATTTTATTTACAAAATAGTCTGTATATCAGAATGGCCGCGAATATAGCCTAACTCATTTACAAACTACGTAGTTATAGTATTTTTGGTTCATTTCCATACACAAATCATAAGTCTATTGATGATAGATTCATTCGCAGTAAATGTATCCTGACATACGAGTAGTAAGTGTAAGTTTTAACTTAGCCATAACTTGAAATTAAAACCTTATATGTAGTAAATTACTTCGGGAAGAATACTATAGCCTATTAATTACTGGCCTGCGCTTAGTAGTACATTTACCAAATTCTATTTCGTAATTTTAAAATTCTAAAAATCTGTCGTTACAAACAGTAATAGTAATTTAATTTAATGAATCAACGTCCGTTATTGAATAAGCCGAAATCCTTTCATTAGAATTTGTAAAAGGTCATAACGAAATTAATCATAAACAGATTAATTTGGTTATGATATATAGTTAAAACGGGATAAATTATCATTCGATCAAAATTCTATATAACCATCATCATAAATGAATCACGGCCATCAACTATCATAGAAACTGTTCCTTTCAATCCTAATAATTTTTTGTACTATAATTATTTACTGGTAAAATATTTTAGTATTACGATTATTTTTAGGAATAAAATTATCATTGGCCATAAAGCAAGACCTGTAGGGCTCAAAGTAGTAATTCATTGAGCTAAATCTTACTGCAATGAAACACAGCTTGAATAACTGCTGCTGCATTTTAGCATTTCTAGCATGAATTGTTTCAATCTTGAAACGGTCAGAATAATATATATTGGACTTACTTACAACTACCTAACTTTTAAGTCAGTCAATTTTATGCTTCTTCTATTAAAATGTATTCATTAAAAAATAACAGTTGGGTTTTATTGGTTAATTAGTATATTAACGTTGTGTTATTAACTATAGTACCAAAGGTAGCGTACGAAAATCTACGTTTGATAAATTATCCGGCTGGGAAACCGATTCAGATGAAAATTTGGCTTTCAAACTCGGTAAGTATCTTTAGTATCAAATTGCTCCAAATCCAAATCTAAACTCAGCGATATTAGATCCTTTTATCGCTATGTTAGCTTTATATTATAAATAAACAAAATCACTACTAAATGATTGATGCTTGAATAAATTAATTAAAAATATACCACAGCAGAATAGAATGTATGTGTAAAATACGAGCATAAAATCAAGCCGAAATATTAAAATTAAAATATCTAATAATTTTAATATCCAGTAATGAATGTTAGCATTACTTTTTTTTGAAAGTAAACATGGTATCTAAGACACAAATTTATGAGATTGTATAAATAAGATGAATATATTAATTTCTGATATTCGTCATTATAGAAATTGCAGAGTGGCAAAAAGATGGTAAAGGAAAATTGATATCGAATGGTAAGTTGATGACACTGGTGCAATGCGAAACTATCGTAAAGCAATCAATAGGTCTAGGCTATGATACCAAATAAACTAATATGAGTGTCTCACTCCTCGAAATAGTATAAAAATACATATAAGTACTTATGACGATATATATACGAGTGTATCAGCTACAGCTATATCCAAGAATGGACGTAGCCTAATCATTCTTTAATATTACATGCGTTAAATGATACTTTAAATGCAGGATAAATTTACACATATTACTTTACTCTTTTCAATCTTTGTTGCCATGTAAGAAATATTATGCGTATAGCACAAATTAATTAAACTACCTATATAAGTATATATATATATGAACGTGACCGTATGCGAAGTATACATAGTATTATAAGAAACTAATTAGTTTTCGTTCACTGAAACTGTCACTTTTTAGCTTATTCTGAAATTTGTCAGCTAGTTCAACTACTAACCCTTGAAGGCTTATCACAAGTATACAAAAATGACGTCATAGCAATTCTTGATGATAACAAAGATGATAGTAAGCAAAATCGTGAGGGTAACGACGATAAATTAAGTTATAATGCATCGGAAGAGCAGAGAAAATGTAACCAATCAAAATTTAAAGCCAATCTGGATAAGATTTATCAACTAGGTCAGCCTTCTAATGAGGAAAAAATAACAGATGAAAGTAGACCTGCGGCAAAGCAGAGTAAAAGTAGCAACTCTAAGTCGTTATCGAAGCATAATCAGACTAAATTGCAGGAACAAGCTGGGCCAGAGAAAAATTTCAACGTATCCCTTCCAAGTAGCAGTAGTGGATGTAGCATCAATTCTAATAAAAATAGTAATCGGTATAAGCTAAATGATGATATGGACCACGGTGATAAGAACTCTCAATCATCTAATTTAAAATCAAAAGATACTGACAAGAAAGTTAACGAAAGTGAGAAAATTAAAACCGAAATCGATGAATTGAAAGCTATAATTTCAGAAGGTACTAGTTGTAAATCACCATTTAGGCATGATTCTGTTGATTCTGAAAACAATTCTAACATTAGCTCATGTGGAGAACCGATAGAACTTGCAATTTGGCCATCAGAAAATAATAAAGAAAGAATATGTAGCTGTGATAAATGTGATAATTTCGCTCATAGCTATCCGTATTACTACTTTAAGCCATCTGTAGCAGGATCAAACTTAGTTATGAAACGAATATGCCCACATTCACGACCTATAACAGCATTAAATAAGTCACTCACAAATAACCAGCGAGATGATACGAAAAAAATTACGAACAAGATATCACGAGAAGATTTTCAAGCTATCATGGAAAACAAGCCTGAGCAAAATATCAAGCGTAGAGTGAGATCAGCTAACTCTTTAAATCCCTATCATGCCAGTAGCTACCCAATTCCTCCAGCCACCCCATCATCTTCACCTCGCCCTCATTTATTAATGACAAACCAGAAACGAAAGTTTTCAGCAACATTAGGCAGATTTATTAGCATAAGCAATCAGAATGATAAGACTAAATCAGATCAACAAATACTAGACCCCAGCCAATACCGAGAGAGGAATTATACAACTCCTTACCGCTTTAAAACCTTAATATCTGGCAATAAAGTACGGCTGCATCAATTGCGAATGAAAGCAAGTCCTTCCAAAAATTCTGTTAAGAAAATGTCTCCTAGTAGTCAGGAAATTCGTATAATCCAGGAACGTAAGGTAGATCTTACATGATTTAGATTTCCTTTTATTACTGGTAATAACTAACTAAATCGTATGACTTCATAATCAAATAAGTCATTAAACTGAATGCAAACAGTATGTACTAATGTAATACCAATAATTTCATTTATCATTAAACGTAGTTTCAAGAAATAAGGGGACAGAAACATCAAAAAAATTCACGAATCAATAACGTCAAGCATTTGCAGCCTTTCCAGCTTAAGAAACAAACGCAATCCAAAGCAACTATCAATTTTCGTAAACAGTAAATACTAAATACCCGTTAAAGTATAGGCGTGATTATAATCTTAATTATTCACTTATATTTAAATGATGCAAAAATCTACAGGTATTCATTCAAGAGCGAATTATCTTGGATAAATTTATATTTAGGGATAATAACTCTGATCAATCAATATCTTGGAGTGTTCATGGCCAATGTCAAGAATATTATTCATGCTACGTTATGCCATCAACGCTGCCTAGCCATAAGTTACCCATGAGGTATCGTATAACGTAAAAGCAAATCCTAATACCTTAACAATATAATTTGTTCCTAGCTTTTAGCAAATTTAATTAGTCCATAGAACCTTCATAGATCATTAAAGAAATTGATCTGTTTTCTAGGATATCTATCTACAGTAGCTTTAAGTGCAACTTGCAGTATAGCATTTCATATAAATTTATGCAATTCTTGTTGCCTATACTGTACGTATTATCTGGCATAATGTCGCCTTAAGGTGTAATGCTAAAATTTTATTTATCGACATTCAAGGCCAACTGCCTATCATGGATACTCTATTCCCTCACCTAGATGATAAGTAAACTGGTTATAGAATGGCACTGCCGTATCTTATAGATCTAGCCGTGGACCCTTCAATAAGTTCTCATGATATTATTTTACACTACTTATAGTAGACCTATTAAACTATTAGCTAAAAAATGTTATACGCCGGTTTAATAATGAATTATTCAAACGGAATCTTCGCAAATTTCTTTCTCAAATTAGAGCACTAGAACTTCAAGTTGATATGCCTTTTATTATATTATCAATAGTGTTAAGCGACGGTTTAATAATAAATTATTCAAACGAAATCTCCACAAGTTTCTCAACTATTTCTTTCTTAAATTAGAGCACTAAACCTTCGAGTTGATATGTCTTTCATAACCAATAATTCATTTGAATTCTTTATTAATCAGTCAGTGACTACATGTAAGAGTATCTTCACAAGCTTTAAATTATAAGTAATCACTTTACTTATCATATTTAAAAATGAATCATTAACGGTATCTCAATACTATTGTTATGGTTTCAATTAAAACGCTTGCGTAAAAATTAGAGCACGTCTTCAGGATATTATCATATTATCAGGAAATGAAATATAAATACAAAAAAACAGATCTTATCATAATTTGCTAATAATTCGATAAACTAATTGAAAATATCTATGTTTAAAAATTCAATCGCTAACGGTCATATCACATTCTATCAATGTGCTTCCGTAAGATAAAGATATATTATTATAAATATTGAACTAATGTTAACGAAATCTTTTTGATGCTATTACCATTACGAAATCAAAGCTATACTTCTCTTTCATCCTTTTTACTTCCTTTTATCCATTACCATAATATAAAATTAATGCTACCTTAAGAACTATGTCACCACTTACAATATTTAAATGTTTATTATATTTTAATAACAAATCTTCTATGATCTTGGGAAAATACTTTTAAAAGATCGGAATAAAGGGCAAGTCATCTTGCATAATGAAATGACAAATTTTTATCGTGCAATCCTGCCGATTCTAATTTATGATTTTATTATGTCTCTCTTTTATGATAAGAAGAAATTCCATAAAGAGTTACAAATTTAATAGATTGGTATTAGAAAGACTAATCAGGGTGTAGCTTTCACAGACCATTTACGCATTTCTCTCTCAGCTCAAGTCTGTAGATAGCTATTATCATAGCGCATGTAAGTAATTAAATTCTCACATGTTGAGCTGAGCTCATACTAACCGAATTCAGACTAAAATGACTGATTTATTTACTAAGATTGCTACTCTATATAGCGGACCTGCTTGAACTAAAATATCGTAAAGAGGCTCTAGAGCAGCTGCTGCTATTTCCTCAAAAGTACCCTTTGTATGTGTGTAGCAGTTTCAGCTAATTACAGTAGTAATTGAAGTATGGCAGCATTAAGACGTAGAATAGTCTACTATACTTATAAGGTAATTTCATGATTGCTGATGATGAAACGGTGTAGTTATACTATTCTTACAATGTGTGTATATACGGCCGCAGTAGTCGGATATGTGAGGCGATGTTTTTGTGCAGCGTCTTGATATAACTGTTAGATAATATGGAATTGGTATCGGGAGACGAAGTCGATTATCCGATTTATCGTAGGCGCTTTCGACTGTTATTATGAGGGAAGAAAAGTGGATTCTTCTCTTGTCAAGCGTTCTATTAATAAACGGATATTTTTAAGGTTAAACACGGTGTTTGTCTGATCTTGTGTCACGTTAGAGATTTACTCAATTTTAATAACTCAGATTTTGAGTTAGACGATTGCGAATCTAAGGGATTATAAAACCCAAGCACTACATAATTTGGCGCCGCGAGTAACGTAGTTATTCTGTGTCATAGATACTGCACTAATCTTAGTACTTTTGAGGAGGGAGGGAGCGTTATGGATTTATTAAAACGAGCACTGCACGGCATATATGACTATAAAATAGAGAGACAAATAGGCTAATTACGAACATCTAATACCCAACAAAATCTCATACAGAATTAACTTAAAAGAGACTTTTGATATTTATGTACCTTTCATCGATAAAATTTGATAACTTTATAGTCATAAATTTGATATTGTCCGTAAAATACTTCCTTTACAGCATCCTTTAGATCTGGTACTGTCAACTCTCATACTTTGATTAACAAATTAAATTTTTGTGTTGCAATATTCTTTAATTAGCTTTTAATAATAATTATAATCGTCGCAACTATGAAACTTTATCAATATTGGGGCAATCTTGTACGTCTGATTAATAAATCGTTAGATATGTTAAATATGACTAATTAGCGGAATTATTGCACTAATCATATTCTATATTTCGATACTGTCCTAATGAGTCATTCTATTAGACTATTTATCAATTAATTGATATAACGTAAGTCGATATGAAAATACGTACTTAGCTATTAGTCCAGTAACTATGATATCTCGTGGGCAATCTTTAAGTGTTTAAATACTGTCTTGACCATCTGATTTACGATCTGGGGTTTAAGCTAGTACGTATACAGCGGAATATTATCTCGATTAAAGAATCTATTGATACCATAGCTTGAGCAACATCCTTAAAAGTCATATTCTAATTCTGTCCTAATTAGACAATCTATTACTTGTCATATGTGTAAGGTCAGCTCTTTAAATAATAGAACACTGACTCAATTAGCAATCTATTTTAAAAATCTCGAGGTCAATCTTCAATGCTAGTATGCTATTTTGGTCATTCAATTTATCATTCGCGATATCTCAATACGTATCTTTCGAATCGGTTTTATAATATCATCTTCATCAGAAGATCAATTTTATAATAGGTTCATCAAGATTAATTCTTTACATATAGAAACACTATCTGGATTAACAAACCTATTACGTACACTATCTCAAGGTCAATCCTACAATATTGAAACACCATCTTGATTATTCAATTCATTACTTATAACATCTACATTCAAAACGTCCATTTTCGAAGACTGCTTGATTTAATGATTCGAGGGCATTCCGTTTATTTTACCTTGTAAGGTAGAAAATGGATACGCCGAAATCAATTTGCAGGACCGAGACCATCTATAGAAATAAGGATATTGTTAATGTTTTCTTTACAATGATTGAAGAATGTAATGGCGATCAAAACACAGTTCGTCGCTATCGTTGTAGCTGCGGAACAATTCGCAAGCAAAATACTCGTTATGGCTACACTAATTTAATCAATCATATTTACCGTAGTCATGTAGATTGGCGCGATGTCATGGCTTCAGTTTATGGCTACTATACTTCCAAAGATAACCGAAAATCCATTTCCAATCAATTCCTTAATAATGCTTTTGTGTGGATTGAATGGATAGTAATGGAAAATCGAGAAATTTGGCTATCAGAAAGTAAATGGACCAAAAAAAATACAATGTTAAAAGATGTTTCCACAACAATTATTATAAAATACATTGCACTACTAGCAAATGAAGTTGAAAAGATTTTGACGCAAAATTTATCTGATCGCTTAGGCATTGTAATAGATGATAAAGTAGATGATTCTAGTCAATACATTGCAATTTATGCCTTCAATTCACAGCAAAATCAAGAACAAGAAAATCCAGAAAAACATCCACAACTCCATTACTACCTATTAGATATATTACATCCAATTGTTCACGACTTATCGACAGAAAACTTCCGTAATTTAATCTGTTCCATCCTGCACCGTTATTCCAAAGATTTCAGTTGCATTTCCTATTTTGTAGGTGCAACATGCGAGAAGAATAAAGCCCTTGCTGAAAGTATCGGTAAACCGTTAATTGCTTGTGCATGTTACCGTTTAAACTTAGCTATTAAACACTACCTAGGTGAAGAACAGTCCTTAATTAACCGTCTATTAGTCTTTATGACAAAACTAAACAATACCAAGATGATGGCATCGTTACAAAGAACTGGAAATTTGGCTGTCATATTAAGTAAGACGATGCAATGGTCATCCACCTTTCAAATGATTAGTCATTATTTCGAGTTAAAGCCCTATTTAGACCTTCAAGATCCTGAGTTAGCCAAGTTACTGCCATCGCCTAAAGACGATGTTAAGTTAACGGAAAAGATGAAAGATTTAGCAGCATTTGAATCAGTCTACCACAAATTACTCTACTCGCGTGATATTGATCATAATACTTTACGACAATTATTTGACGCCTTGATCCGACAATTCCCTCAACTCGACCTCTACCTAGCCGCAGATTCAGTGTGTGTTTATAGTGTTGCTTTTGAAACAGGAATTGCCAAAATTATTACGGGACAAGAACGGAGTTTGACAAAAGATGAACAGGAGGTTTGCCAACCCTTTAGAGTTACAGACGATACTGCGGATAAATCTGCTATGGATTCTATTATAAATGATAACCTCTCGTTTGCTGAGAAGGTCTTGTCAAAGCAAACATCGAAGGTAACGAAGTCTTCCGCATATGAAGATGTATCTTATATACCAGTTATGTCCACTGTAACTCAGCAATTAACCCGTAATAATATCATTGATCTAACTAAGAGCAATGATGTCATGAATCCCATTTACTTACGGTGTATCTTTCTAAAGCTGAATCGCCGTTTGTGGGATTTACCATTACTCAAGAAAGTAGTTCACAGATCAACTTAACTGAAATATAAGAGTCCAGAAAGCTTGCTCTGTGGCTTACTCTGTGGCATCATTTTCTAACCTAATATATAAATCTGTAAATTGTCAACAGTAATCAATTTATAATTAATTTGTAGGGGAAATCTAGCTATATAATTTACTAGCTCAAATTAATCAGTTTATTGATTCATTTACAAGCAAAATCAGAATCTAAGGTCTACAATCACAATACTGGTATGTTATTCTGCGCTATTGAAAGATGTGGTGCAAGAATCTGTAATAAAATCAAGTTAACCAATGAACTTGCTCTACTTTAGATATCGCATATTCGAAACTTGGCTTATAAATCGCTGGTTTATGTAATTAATTGATTCCTTACAGGTATATGAATCACTGATATATTATTATCTAACATGATGTACTCATCTATTTACAGTAGAAAGGAAAACTGATTCATCTATTGATAGTAGTAGGAAAAATCGAAAAATCACGCTATTTAATTTACTGGCTCTCGTAAATTCTTCTGCATTTTCTTTAGATTTGATGTTAGAATTAGTTGATGTAAAAATTTGTCTGTTGATAGTGGAAATTAATTGATTAATTGGTTAAGTTGTACGTAAATTAGGATCTCGAGATATGAGATACACTTTAGCTTGTGTTACTGAACGCTACCTTTTAACTTGATTTAGTTTAATATAATCCTATTGTATCGTATACTTATTTTAGTCACAAGGAAAAAATTATAGCATAAAATTTATTAACCCTCACTGGGTGAAAAAAAATCGCAACGTTAGTGTTAAAGTAACAGATAAATTTACTAATATTACAACCAAGCTACCACAAAATTGATTACCATTGAATTTTCATAATCACTAATTGTCGTAGTAAAAATAAACTTCTAATTTGACTACATTGCTCGGTATGTCCTATTTCGAAATGTACATTAAATCAAAGCATAGTACATCACAAATAGAAATCCTTCATTTCGTTTCATATTGCTTCTTATAGCATTAAACCAATTTTTTCGATGCAAGTAAAAAGCAAATTAAGCGCCACATCAAATTACAACCACAAAATGTAATAAAATGTTATCAGATTAACTTCAGATTTGTAATCATGTATACTTATCGAGACGAAAAGCGATATCGATATCATTAAATCAACTTTACGTTATCACATTTGATTTGCTAGGTAGCATGAACTACATAGGCGAAAAAAATTGATAAATATCATCGGATTAATCTTAAGCTACTCTATACAATCTAATAATTGTTGCAAAAAACGGAAGATAAAAATCTTATTAAATAACTTTAGACGACAGTATTAAACTAGATTCATAATCTATTTCATCAGGCTATTAAGACGAAAAATCTTTAAATATCATTGTATCAATCTCAATACATCCTACTTGATTCATTAGCTGCTACACCGGGCTATTTAAACAAAAGATGTTCAAATAGTACTTTATCAACAAACGACTATCCTATTCGGTTGAAGAAATATTTTATCAGGTTAATAATGCTTCAATATTAATAGTATTAGCTCAGTTTCAAATTATCTCATCTAGCTTATAATCTAGTTAAGAATGCGCTACGTTCAAATTCTATTTGACATAAAATTAATTAATTGGATAAGCCAAAGTTAAAATTCAGCCAGTAGACAAATAGGGATAGCTGAGATTTTCGTCGACAAATCTATCATAAGCTTAGTTAAATCTTCAGTATTCTACAGAAGTATCTGTGACTAAATCTTTCTATATGGGCTGTTATGAAATGAGATTTTAGTTAGTTATGTTGATGCAGTCTCTATAGTATTAGCTCACTACAACTTTAACTTATTCTGTTTGACTATAGTAGCACAATCATTTAGGCATAAAATTTGCAGTATGTAAGTTCATAGAAGAGATTATTGATTAAATAGTTGCCTGAATGCATTCTGATGTGTTATCATTTGTTATGAATTACATATCGGCTGTTATCCTATTTGCAACAATACTATCGCATTCGTTGGTATTAGCAATATGCCGCTAGTAAACCGTTAGCTTTGTTCGACTGTATAACGGTATAGTATGGACAATAAAGTTTAATTCAATACTCTAGCTCTACTGGACTCGTCTGGAGATTTCTAGCAAATCTTCCTTGTTAAAAAGTGCAAGATTTTCGAAAACGTAACAATGGCATTATACAGGATGAAGTAATTGGCTAACATTTTACTTCCGGAGACAAGATGAATATCCTATCAGCCCGAAGTAGATAGAAACAAAGCCTCAAAATATAGAAGAAATGCCCATTTAAAGTAAGAAAAGATTGTAAACTTAAAATCTTTCTGTAGTAACCCAATGGGTATCTGGATTTCTTTTAAATTGATCAACCCAAAACATAATCTTTTCTGCAGTCAGAGGATATTCTTTATCCTCAACTTCAATTTCTTTCTCCATTGAGAGTGGAGGATAAAATGCAGCACGCCTATGATTATTCCAGTATAGAATGCAAAGACGAGGATAGCGATAAAGTAGCGGTTTGAAATCATCGCCATAGATTCGGTATTCTGTCAAAATTAATGGATAATATGATTATGTATGCTAGCTGAAGCAGTCTTTCAGATATGATAAGGGCACATATTACAACATTTATCTTGTCGCGCAAAAGATTGATTAACGCGGATCGAAATGTTACGATAGCTTTAGTGAATATTGTATATCAATAAAAATGATAAGCTACGAGTGTAGTAAGACAATTATAATTAGCTCTTGAAATCTATCCAGCTTACTCTTTATTTGTTCTTTATGATAGCCAATGGGAACAAACTGTGAAGCCCAAGTTGGAAATTCTTCTACGTTTAATAAAGTAATGGCAACTTTTTGATATAATGCATAGGCAGCTTTTAATAATTCCTATTTGTCGAGAATAGTATTAAATTAAAATAAATTATAATAAAGCTTTATTAAGTATTAGTAGGATAAAAATGATAGACTATATGGATAAATGAGGGCAATAATCAGAATATACGACTGCACTTCTTAAAAAAATAACATACCTTGTAAAATGTACTTGACTCTTGAGAATCTACTTCATTGACTATAGCAACCAGAATTGGCTCATCAGGAGCAAATGCAGCATGATAACCTGCGCCTTTACTTCCAATTCTAGTATGATATGAAATAATACATAATTGAATTTGGGTTAATGAATCTTCATCAGCGTTGTCTATATAAGCTAATTATGCCCGAACTATGATTTAAAAGGACTTAAGTTAGTGTTAACTCAATTTACATCCCTTTATAAATGATCTATCTTATCGAAATTATACCAAGTGAGCCAGAAATGAGCAAATTTACGTTAATCTATTTAGATGCCTATTAAACTGATCATGTACGATGTTATGTTTGACCATGGACTATTAGAAGAAGACTAGGTCTTCTTCCAGTAGTCCATGGTTTAACTAACAGCAACAAGACTCGACTAAAAATATCTACTAAAATCAACATTAATCCACTATTTTTACTGATAGAATCTGATTCTATTCAGCTAAAAGCTAAGAAAAATAATTTATAAATAAATCAAAAATTAACATTAATCTAATCTATGCCTTACTTGAAACTGATTTAATCCACGATTTAATGTAATGCTAGTTATGTTAAATTAATATTATAATCCATTTTATAGGCATACTATATGCAGGCTTATTAAAAGCTATGGTAAATAGAATAAGCTAAATAAGCATTTTTTTGAGGATTGAAAAATTGATCAAATTGGATTTAAGATTAAAAATAATGAGCTAGAACTGCATTAATCTTTTTCGGGCGCAAACTTGATCTGCTTATGTCTAAGTTAAAATATTACAATAAAAGCAATATTTGCGGCAGCTGTATTTCAACTAAATATAGTATTACTTACACTCTTCTGATATGGAAAGATTCCAAAGTAATATGAGTTATAGGCAGTCTCATATGATCAATAACAAAAGATACAATATGATCTGTGCACTGAGGGTAATTATCTTCACAGCGAATTTTTGGAGAAATTTTATATCTGAAAGATGAGTAAATTTTTAAATTAGATAAAAGCTTTAACAATTAATTATCCCCGGTCATAATGACTAGCTATTTAGATTTCTTGAAATAGTGTATTGTTTTATATCGGGAAAGTAAATAAAATCACTAGAGGACACATCAATTTCCTATTGTTAGTGCTTATGATTGAGAGCAATTTGAGGGTTTTAAAGAAAGTACTAGGTTAGGTAGCAGCTTTAAAAATTTAATTTTTCGTTTTGTTATCTAGATACCTCTTTTGATGAGACTTCTTCTAAACTAGATACTATTAATAATTAAATTTATCTCTTTATCTCTTTATCTCTTATGTGATTATCGAAAGTGTTAATATCATTTCATCAACAAACAGAACTAAACTACTTACCTGTGAGGAGCATGAAATCGATGGATCGCATTCTTACTTTCATCTTCAATCGTTTCGGCAATGGAACGGCCATGCGTAATAATATTAGCAGTAACCTGATCTTTTCTCTCCATATTAATCTAATTATTAATTCATTTTGTCACATTTTTATCTATGTCATAAGATTCCTTCCCCATATATTAGAAGGATGTGAAATCTTTTACTGACATGTTAATAAAATTTTATTTACTTTACCTCCGATATAGCCATTGGGTTCTGACCATCACTATCTAACCAAGCAATTTTGTTACTTCGCTTATAATAGCAATCGACTTGCCCGTATATCCTTTCACAAGCTAGTTGGAAACATTTTAATGGATACCATGTCTTCTTTTGGCTGTATAGAAAACTTTTAGCTCTATTTTGGGGATATACCGTAGCTACTAGTCGCACATCTTTGCTCTAAAATTACATTGCAATGTAAATATTATTAAAGCAAAGCTGGTAACTAACTTAAGCTTTCCTCTCAGCTATCATAAATTGCATTTCATAACAAATAAAACTCAAGATATCCTACAGTTGACCTATAATTGTATTTTATAACTACGTATAAATTACCATAGCAGATAGTTTTACTTTGTCCATTCGACTTTTCCATGGCATTGTGTTAGATATTGTAGACTTGGAAAACCAATCCATGACATACTTAGTCTGTCAGATTAAATAAGAAGAAAAAAGCATTAAATCAATTATAAAATTCATATTTATATGATGTACCTAGATAAGATCAAATATAGGCTAGAGAATGTTTACCTCAATGGGTCCATGGTAATCCAGTCTTATATATGGAGAATCAGTAGCAGCCTTTGACAAACATTCCTCCGCTCGAAACCATCCAAAGCTGCGAAAAGCTGACAAAGACGGAAAACCAGACACTCCATGACGTTGGCAACTCAGTGGATCATGATCACAATTGATGATATATATGGAAGCATGATCTAATTGGGGTAATAATATAGTGCAAGTGTAATCAGGATGCAGCTAATAATAATATTTTAGCAGATTGCTATAATAACTAGAGTATAAAATTAAGAATTAAGGATTTATTCTTACCCATATGTTGTACTAATTTGGCGATATCTTGAAAGGTTTGCGACTTTTTTTTACAGGATTTGCAATCATTCTTAGTAAAGATAACCTAAATTTATTGGAGTCATAATAAAATTATAACCCTTGAAACGCTACAAGCGCATTAGCTGGAGAGGTATTAACGTAAATCCTATAGACAAGTATCTGGTATAACGCATATAGTTTGTTAACGTAGATTCTACAACTAAGATCTACCGTAATATATACAGTTTAGGATAACTTTAGCCATGTCTCGATTATTCAAAACATAAATCGCTGACTGTATTTATTTAATCATAATTGTTAATGGCGAGAAAATTAAACGAATAAAGGTGCTTTAAATATCAACGGAAGTCAATTCAGCTGATGCTAATGCTTTAGGATTGATTGCATTATTTTATGTGTTTGTTCATTAACTGTATAGGTGTCATCAATGAGTACCTAATAGCTGATATATTTATTTAATTTAAATCTACTAAAATCAGCTATGTTTTAGAATTAATTAACTAACTAATATCAGACAAGCTGGTTTTAAAGTATCAGAAACGAGTTATTCAATTGAAACAACCTATTGACGGTGTTAAATAACGTAATGGTAAAAATAATTGATATCTGAACTTAAAGTTGTTATGATAAAATTAATTTACTATACGCGGCAGCATTATTTACCATTTAAGAACTTATTGTCGATAGCTATGTAAGAATCGCTACGTTAAATTTAAATCTATCAATATCTGAAATTTAGTAGGAGCCATTCAATTAATTTCAAAGTATTAGTACTGAGGTATTCTATTAATTTAGCCAGGGCATTGAAGCAAAAACAGCTTGTAAGACAGTGTAATATTGTATTTTAAGTTGATGATATATTTAGTAATGTCTACCGTAGGTGTTGTGTTCAACATGTGATAGATATTCTCGTTAGAGGCTTAAGTATTAAATATAGCTAGCTTAGTAACTGTAATCCTTTTAAAGAGGAGCGCTACAGTACTCACACTAGAGCTTCACATGAAAGGTGTAAACTATCCTGTATTTGAGATGCTAATACTGAAGTGTGTAGTAAGTAAGGTGCTAAGACTGTAAACGCGGAAAAGTATATAAGCGAGTAGTTTTGTATAGTAAGATAGTCCTTTCTCGTTAGAGGTCCTCAGCTAATAGATTACGTTGTATCTTCGTAAAGGAGGTTTTGTTCAATAAATCTTAATTTTCTAAAGTTTTGAAGATTCTTGATCTATCAACCTCACACTGCTCAAAGCCATTAAAATGATGTAAATTAAAGTAATGAAAGATTATAATACTAATTTAGAGCTGTGGTGATTGCTAATGCCTTACCAAAGATATTGCAACATTGTGTTGATCATTAGAACGCGATATTCCAGGATAGAAATTTGTTGGCAATTTGGATCTTTCAATAACTTCCTGCCACAAATTATCTGTTATAATTGGAATTCGACCAACGGTCTTAAATTGGAGTGTTGGCATATCAGTTGACTTTGCATATTTCTCCTTCAATTAGCGCGATAGCAACGAAACCGGACAGAAAAGTAAAGAATAAGGGAAATTGAAAGAAAAGTATCCAATATACGAACATATTGATTATAAGAACGTTGCAATTTAAACATTTATTACAGTTACTTGTTAGACTATAATAAATTGAAATAAGAAAAAGTTACAGCAATATACAAGTTAAATAGCTTAAAGTAAGGTAAAAAGTTCATCAGATGAATATATTCAAATTAATTTAAAATTTACCATCGTAAGTTTTAATATTTTGGCTTTCGTTGTAAAGTTAGATTTCTTCCTTTCTAGCATTTTTGCCGAATTATGAGCTGTAATCAAATTTTCTGCCAGATGTAACTCTCGACGCTTTCTGTCTAATATTTTTATAGTCGCTTTACAAGGCACAATTACTGATCTATTAACACTACCAAAATCTTTCAAAGCTAACACTGAACAGTTTACCTAAAAGAAAAGAACAGTAGTGTAGAAATACCCATCTTTGCCTCAATGCAATTATCACGATATCTTAACATTAACATTTATTTTAAGATATATTAAACTACTTGAGTATAAATTAAAATCTTACGCTCCGTAGCCTAGTTGCCAATCTAAAATGACATGGAGTTACTGAATCTCCAACTCCATCATGGAATGTGACATCAACACGCTTAGCGAAATCGTAAAGAGCATATGGTGTTGGCATCGTATCAACCAGAACTTCATGTCGAATTTTTGCCTCTAAATGATAGAAAAGTCCGATAAAAACTTATATTCTAACTATTTCAAAGGTAAAAAATAAAATTGAAATCTTTTATATCAACATTTTTTAGTAATAATTAATCGTAGTCAAACTACCTTTATTATCAAATGTCTGCCAAAATAGCATCGTAAATGGCAAAATTTGTGTCGCAGCAGGAGGAAACTTCATTACAACTACAAGGCAGAGCAGATCGAATTCGAAATGATAATAAGGTCAATTACGGTAACATAAGGAGCAAGTAACAGACAAACTCTTTAAACATTTTTCATCGTTTACCATTTCGATTGTCATAAATATTAACCATGCCAAATCGCACATTAGAGCCAAAAGTAGAGTAAATTTTATGGGATTGCGATAGGCTAGCGATCATTTTAATAATGTTTTGCCCCCAATGAGCATAAAAGCAAACGACGAAAGGCTTATAAGTCCGAGTCGGTGTCAGCACTTCTTTCTTAAAATTACCCTTGAATAAGATCAGAGATCAAATACTTAATACTTATCTTATCTCCCAATAGGAGACATAGAAAAACAATGATTGCAATTTAGAGAAATTTTCCGATACTTAAAGCGCCATATTTGAAATGATAGAAAGTGTTACACTGATTATATGATATCGAAGCACAATCAGAGTCACTTCCCATTTACTCGTAACACAATGTTACATAAAAATTATACCCACACTTACTTCATTCAGAACGATTAATTTGCTCTTATAAGCCGTCATAAATAAATTAATCCTATTAATGTTGATATTGAATTGTCCTGTTAGCTTCAGTAAAGGCCGCACATTTTGTAGACCTGCAGCTGTATTGCAATGTATAAATACCATTCAAGAAATCCTTTCATAATATAAAATCGAGCTCGATCTGCAGTAAATAAGAGAAAATTTAGGAATTCAATCTCTTACCAGAATTATTTAGGAATAATAAAGTCGGAAAGGTATGGATACCAAATTGCGTGATCAGCTTACTAAATAAATTTCGAAGGAATGAGATAATTAATTTACTAGATGGAAACATCAAAAATATGCGAAAAAGACTGTAATTTAATAACATTTAGAGAAATGAAGCATTGTATCATCAATAGATTAAACTTCTTGAATTAAAGATAATTTTACTAGGATTGCTTTTTAATGACATTGTAGATTCATAAGCTAATACTGTTATATGATCATGCCGCAATTGATGATTGTGAGATGAAAGGAAAAACTAAAATACATGGAAAGACAATAATAATCTGAAGATATGCTGGTGCCTACTGAGTCTCATATTAAATCACTTTCTAACAGCATCTAGCCGTAACCCAATTTCTCGTAGGATTACTGTTGTTAATGCATCTTAGATAGTAATGCTAGCACATAAAACTCAGAAATGCGAATCCTGTTGGAATCTATTAAGTCGATGTAAACTGATTAATCCATCGGCTTCGGAGGTATAATAACATCCTTAAAGATGAAAAATTGCCAGTGAAAATAATTTAAATAGATTTAAATCAGATGCGAACGTATTTAGAAGGAGATACTCAATATCAGATAGTAGCTATATCTCATTTCCCATAATTTGTTAATTCGAAATCAATGGATCAGATAGGTGCTAAAAATTGGTATAGCTACATAAAGGAGAGTAATAGTAGCGTGCATAAAGTTTATTAAAAGAAAATTTCCATCAAGAATCTTTAAATACCATAATTTTAAAAGAGCCTTATTAACTGACGACAATAAAAGATAAAAATGATTAGGATACCTTTAACTAACTGAGTAGCGTTTATTTTAACTTAGATTTAGCTTTAAGAATCGATTACAATACAGATCAGTTAACGTTTCCATTAACTTCAGTACCTTCCATCTTCGTTCAGGTGGTTAACGATATAGAAGTGCAAGCTATCTTTCCATCTAGCTTGTGCCTGTCAGATTCAATAAAAACTTTGCAGTTATAATAATAGCAATGACGTGTCTTAGGTGAGCTAAATGATATTATACTATCTATGTACCTGAAATAAAACGTTATCTACTATCTTGGGTTCATGTAATCCAGTAAATGCCAGCAATGTTACACCTTTCTTGGAGAATATTTTATCAGTATTGCCTATTGTATTGGCCTTTAAACTTCTCTTAAAAGCTTTCGACTGTCGTACGAGTTCAAAAATAATCCAAATAAAGGATTAAAGTTGATATTGCCTTTATTACAATGCAACATTAAGTACTTACCATATTCATCAAATACTGGTGAAAATGGTTCTTTGCATATTGATATTTTGTGTTGTTATAAACATTAGGAATCATTAATCCGATATGGCATGCCAGTGATGGGATAGTAGATGGCATCATAGAAATATCCGATACTTCAAGCTGTGTATAAATATAGGACATTTTTTTAATTTTTAATTAATTAATTAGATATCGAATTACACAGGCATTATCTTTTTCATGTATCGAATTTATACTGGTTTAAAAAGGATACTTCATATTATATGCTTATTCTACGAATATTACTACATCATACATGATCAAGTTCTACAATTCCATAGTTCCATCTTGCATACGGCATTTCTAAAGAAATTTTCTTCCAAAATTCTGCGAATTTAGCGGATAACGCTGATTTCGTAACTATATCAATGAAGAAGACGAGAAATTTACCTATTACCGCATATTGATACAGGATTATTTAACACTCAATTGTATACTGAAGTTATGTTAAGACCTATTTCTATCACTGATGAGGGAATACTTTCTGCATGATTTATAGATTTGATTTTAGAAACTACAGTAATAAGTAATTGCTTTGGCACCAGCAAATTAAGGAAGGCAGTATTAGGAGAACGAAAATTATGGCGAAATAATTTGCACTATAAATGTCAGCTGTCAAATTATATTGCTTCAATAAATCAAGAAACCTGGACACTTTTCAGCTACGATATCTGAAACCTTCATTTATTTCTAAAATGATTATGAAGTATACTTTATATCTATCCTTCTTTCTCCAAGCAAAGAACATATTAATGTATCTTACTTTGTTGCAACCTTATTTTAAATCCATACTGAATTCATTATATACGAGCATACGGTATAAATGCTTGTCGTAATATAGGCTTATCTTTTTATTACAAATGTTAAAGTAATTTCTTATGTTATTAAACTCTAACTCTGTCTCTACTCTTATCAAGAACTCTTTCTCTCTGCATTTTCCCGCTTTCTTTCCACACGTAAGCATGTTTAAGCAATTTCTATGATCTTACAATCCAACTCGTATATGAAATATTAGCCTTACATCAGCGAATTCAAAATCTAAAATTGATTGCTCTCTGTATATTCGTGTTCCATACAAGTCGATCAGCATTTTTTAATTCTTATTTACGTAAAGCCAATATTATGACAATAAAATTGTTTCTCTCTCATTCCAATATGTCAGCTTTCCTTCCATTTACGACTTGTTTACGCATTTTTTATGTTCCTGTAATCTAACACTTTCTTTATACACTAACTATTAACACTATGTCAACTTGCCTAATATCCATTTAACTTCCCTGCATATATCTGAGTAAACTATTTTCTTGTAAACGTATGTTAATACGAATCTTATAATATTAAAACCTAACTCTCTTCTCACTCATTCTGCAATCATTGGCTTTTCCTCTGTACGTAACATGGTTACGTATTTCTTATAAATGTTATAACTTAATCCCATATCAATTCCTCTATCCACTCTCTATTTACAGATTAGATTTCTTCTGCACGTAATAAATTTATACACTTCTTCAAGATATTAGAATCTAAAATTATATCTAGCTCTGAAATTTCCACAAACGAGTATATCAACTTTTTCTGCCACTACAATCTTGTTAACATCTTCGTTTACATGAAAAGCAATCAAAAATTGAACTTACCTCCTTGTTGTTTACGTATATAGACTGCACATGTTGGCGTTGTCGTTCTGACATTTAGCACATGTGTTTTTAACTCTGAAATGGAAATTTTCGGCAGCTCAACTGTATAAGCGAGCTGAAAACTGAAAGCTATCAGGCCAATAATCATAAATATTGAAGACGCCATATTGATTATAGCCGGTATACTGGTATATAATTGCCACTTGATGGCATCATCCGTGATTCCAGCTAGACTCAATTTCGATTACGCATGCGCCCGGCCTTAGAGCTTTCTTTCGCTGCCTTGGATCGATTGCCTAGCAACCGAAAAGGAGGAAAGGCAGAGCCAACTCCTATCAACTAGTCATAATATTAATAGATCTCGATGGATAGAGACATTATAATACTAATATGCTTAATGTACATCATGCTGACTTGAGTAAAAGGGAAATTAAATCGTGTTATATGATGCAAGTAACGACCAATTACCTCTACAGAAAGTAATATTGAAGAAAGAATTAAATTCTCTCTACAAAGTGCGATCACTGAATTGATCATTTGAGCCAATTACTTAACCTTTATTGTATCGATTCTAGCTAGGCAATAGCCAAGTCGCATGATGATGGAGTTAATGGTTTTTCAGGTATGTGGAATATGTGTGTAAAACAATCAATCAAGACTGATAAACTAATGTATATGAATTCATCATACTCCGTAACATTAAATATATCACATTCAGATAGGCAAGAATCCTTAAAATAGCTCTATCTAAGCAATCCAAACATTACTTTAACCTATCAATTATATTCTATGCTATCTGCTAGTGTTACAAACGTATTATCACGAAAATAAATCATCAATTTACTTTTGTACTCTTTGTATTTTGACTATAATAAAAGTTCAGCGAAAATATCATTAACTCTTTTAGTAAAGAAGCTGATAAAGGTTAAATTAATTTCACAACTCTTAAGGAGCAATAAGTCAATAAGGTAATACTATAAATTAATTTTGAAAATCGTACAAATAAATAAATCAGAAAGCAGCGATTGTACTTACAGGCTAAAATTCAATAATGTCGATGTCTATTTAAAAGATCTTACAATAAATAATAGTAAATTAATTAAACCTATCTACCAAGTTAGAATTAGAGATCATATTTTGTTTACATTAAGAGTGAGGTATGAATATATTAGGTTAAATATTTAACGAATTTAAGCACAGCCTGTACGTTACCGTATTTAGTACAGTATTTAGCAATAGTAGCGATAAATATCATTAAAGTTTCGAAATTAATGTCACAGTTTCGTAGAGTTGCATATCAAGATCATTATAGGAATGCGAGGGTGATTGAAATCGATGCGTATCCAAGCATAGATCTAGCGATTATTTTAAGATTAGTATCACTAACATACTCATAACATTATTAATAAAGCGAACATGTGAAACTGAAGATTAGAATTAATATTACGGCATCAAATCCGCTGTTTACTTTTGTTTCAAAGGTAATATCGACTTGAAACTTTGCGGTCATGCTTAGTAAATACAATTATAGTTACAAACCAATCCTAATCTGTGCACTTAGGGTCTACTGTAATAAATCTGATATTTCAAAGAGAAAAATTCAAATATAATATACTAAATATTGAAGTCAGCCAATCTTATTTCGTTATAAAATACCATTTTGCTTGTAAATTGCTGTTATCTGTTAATGATTAACAAGATAGACAAATTAATCCATATAAATAATTTTTCTGACTAAATCTATTTTAACTTATCTTAGATTTAAAGTCACTGCATTTCTAGAAAGAAAGCTCAGTACATGGCCTAGCTGCTTCTGCATACATAAATCCCTCTTGATAAAATGTTAGTAATTTACCGAAGCTGTTGGATATCGAGCTAATCCTGACTATTGGCTATAAAAAATTAAGTTTCAACCACGTTTAAATTTTGTTGAAGACTACATGTATTGATTATACTTACATTCAAATCAGTCCGCAAATTGATTTACTTCCAATAAATTCAATACCAATCCTATCTTCGCAGATAATCGAAAATAGATTCGATTGCAACTTTTCTATCGTTAATCAAGAGGGCTTTATCGCGATAATTACAACTGATCGAAATCGCGATGTTTATTTCTAGTGTTGCCAAGATTCGGCCATCGACGGAAAATGAATCTCCACCTTCATTACAGATTGAGGAAGATTCTATAAAAAGTAAAGAAACTAATGCCACTCATACCTTCAGCCGAATATATGATGCTGACAGTCAACCCTATCATATCTATCGGGATGCTATATCACCTTTATTGGAAGACTTTATTGCTGGTTATAATGTATGTATTTTACTATTTGGTGAGACAGGATCTGGCAAATCACATGCCTTCGCTGGTAATCATCATGGAGATTCAGTTGGTTTATTTCAGCTCATCATTGATGAGCTATATCAAGAGATTGCCACTTTAAAAACCAATAAAATTCGCGCTAGCTACGATCATGTAGATGGTAATGAATTTTTAGATCAAGCTAGGCCGTCATCAACAGCTAGTCAGCATCAACAATTACAACCCCCTTCTGATGAGTATCATCAACGTCGACGATTATCGCAACAACGCACTTTACCACTTTCCCGATCCGGTCAGCGAGTTAAAGATGGATTTATTAAGATATCCATGCAATTTTGCGAGTTATATAATGAAAAAATTCATGATTTACTGCAGCCTAAATCTACAACAGCTAAGACTTTGGAAATAAACGAGAGTGAACAAAAAGGGATCCACATTCGTGGTATAACCAGCACTCCCATTGAAGATGCAACCCAAGGTGTCACATTATTTGAAGAAGCTTGGGCTAGAAGAATCAACGTAGACACAGAATTTGGTCCAAGTAATATTCGCTCATCTGCTATTTTAACTATAACACAGACTACGGTAAGATATTGGCGGTATATTCCCAGCTATCATAACGATACGACTAGAGTAAAGTGCAGTTTGATATAATATTTCAAATTCATGACTTTATTATCTTGTCAATTTATTATATCAATGCATTCACTCAAAATTCACAACTAGAAAGGAGATGCTAATACCATACCCCATAAATCAAAATTAATGTTGGTTGAATTGCCTGGTGCTGAAAAATTGGCATCAGATCCCAATCATTTGCAAATGAGGGAAGGGAGCAATTTAAACAAATCCCTTATCCACTTTGCATTAGTAGTTAAGTCATTACTGGATGTGCACCATGTTCCTAATTATAAGTAAGTTAGCTATCTCCATCGAATCTTTTGTAAACCTGATAAGGCAATCATCTACAATTAAGTCTACTATGCTATTCTTCAATGCTATGGTCATAATTCGTTCTGAAAACGTTGTTTTCTTTGCCCATTTCTTTCCTCCACGCTGACTACGTAGCAAATCCAAATTAACTCATTTACTATCAGATGTTCTCGGCGGTAACTGCCAGACTTTGCTCTATGTGACATTGAAGCCTTATGAAACGCCCTATCTACCGACAATTTTGAGAGCGTGCAACAAAATTTGCAAAATTATTAATTATCCAGTCACCAATGACATCTACGCTCAGGTAGGGATTCAGTAAGATATAATCTCACGCTAGACTGTTATTAATGATAATATAAGAGAATGCTGCAGGATTGAACTCTGATTTTACCTAATTTTATACCAAATAATTTATAATCTATTGCTTGGATACGCTATAATACATGAGTAGTTAACAACATTCTGAAGTAGGAGCAGCAGGCATAGAAGTCCTCTATCAAAGATTGTTTTTAATATGAATAATCCTTCGTAGTACTAAGAATATGACTTATCTTTCTCTCTCTATATATATATAAAACAGGGTCTTATTCGTCTATATCGATGCCAAATAATCAACTTGAGGGATAAAGTCCAAAATATAGAACTATCATTAGCTAAAGAAGTTGCTAATGTCAGTCATTTGCAATCGATTGTTGATGAAAATGCAAAGAATAAGCGTTCTGAAAGCCGACAAAGTGATGATACTTCTAAAATGGAAGAAATGAAAGAACATATTAAAAAACTAGATCAAGAAAATGTTAGTAATTTTTATTAGCTTAGAGATAATCTAACTCACAGTAAAAATTAAGAAATAGTAAATCTATTAACTATAACACATTTGACAGTAGTGAATCTGTTAATAATCGCTATATTACATGCTACTGATTTGCAAAAAATGTTTCAATTTTAATTTTACTATGTCAATCTCGAAATTTTGAAATAATATATCACGGTGTATATCTGTTATCCAGCTGCAGCTGCATGATCAAGTAGAAAAACTTACCGGTAAATTAGATCGCATGCAATCCAGGTATAATGAAGTTTTGAGAGCTAAATCTGTTATATCGTCGCAGTTAATGAAAAAGGATGAAGAAAAGAATAAGGTTAGGCATTAAATTATACAGCAAAAAATACAACGACAAGATTTCTACTATTTGCTAAATTTATTTTCTGAGTAAACTACTAACTGCAAATATAAACTTTACTTGGAACAATGCAATGTGTAACGTAGTTTAAATACAAAGAAGCTGTTGATTAATGTCCTGTAGCAGAGATTTCAGGTGTAAAATCAAGTACCAATCAAAACATTATCCGATATAACCTTGATAATTATTAAATCTATACTCGCTCCGGCAGAGATTCTTATGCTTCAATGCCAAACTTTCTTGAATAATTTACACGCGATATTAGGCAATTTGTTATTCAGTAACTTTATCTTTACTTTTAATAACACTTCATCATTAACCTTTAAACTTTATTTAACGTAAAGTATGCTTACTTTTATTATGAGTTACAATAATTTTCATTTTATAATCTTAAGTTTACTTTAGACAGTACACATACTCATACAGTAACAGTCAATCGATAAATAACACTTATTAATTAATCAATAATACAGATTTATCAAGCATTAATCGATACTAGGATAGAAGTAACCAATTTAAACGACCAAAAGGAAATAGAAGGATCTGCTGACAAGAAAATTCGTATCAATGAGTTACAAAATAAGTTAACGGATCAAACAACCAAAGCCGACAGGCTAGATAGAGAACTGCGTCATATTAAGCAAGAATTAAATCAAATAAAAGATGAACGAGAAGAATTAATAGACGAATATCGAACATTAAAAGCAAATTATCTTACTAAAG